TAAATTACAAAACAAAGTTGTCATCCACCACAACATCAAACTTTATTGTAATGACTGATACATTGCTCCACACATACAACTGATGGATCAACACAATCACTATCATGTGATCACACCATCATGACAATCATGTTTATCAACTTGAATGAACATTCAAACAACTATGTTTCATCTCATCAATCTTCATGAACAACTTTGAACACTCATCCATTTGGTGATAACAACGAACATGGTAAACGTATCCAATACGGTTGAAGGACACATCGACGATCACTACAAATGATTTCAATCATGATTCCGTCATCACAACACCAAACAACACTGATCAATCACAACAACATTTTTTTGGATAAATTCTAAATGCGGAAGTATAGGGTCAGTAAATCCAGACAAAATTCAAAATCAAGATGACATGAACATTGACGCATACAAACCACATACACCACACATTTCACATGTACTGATCATGAAAATCACTGAATTAGCTCTTTATTTTCAAAGTAGCCATCATGAATCAACACAGAATCTCCATGAAAAAGTGTCAAACATGACCTGACAGAATCCTTCCATCACACAATGAATCACAGCACTCCACAACATCAATAATAACACAATGGAACAAGATCAACACATGGGTGATTACAACAACTCTAGGAAAAAACCATGTCTCACATTGTAATGCACTTCATGACAAAATCTTCTCAGGTGCTCAACAACAATACATTCTAGACATGAACAAGTACAACAATTAATGTCAATGTGTTGTACACCATCTCATCTACCATAAAAAACTATCTGCATCACTCTCCTGACAAATCTTCAAAAATTAATTAATAATCATTTTCAACACAGCTCATGTGCCTCATAACAAAATCAACTCATATACATAAATTCCAAAAATTTCAAAATAACAATATCACACTATATACTATCATATAAAGTCACTGTGATATTCTTGAAATTATTCAGTATCGTAACATCATGTGAAAAAGAAAAATGAATTGAAAGAGTGAGACACCACTTCCATAAATTGATGATTCAGTGAGTACAATCAACATGGATGTGTCATACTCATCATGATGAACATGTTGATGTGTATTGTTCATGACACAATCACTCTTGGAAGGATATGGTATCACACCTCTACAACATTCATCATGATACTCCACCAATAATGATCATATCCATCATCAATAGTCATAGAAATACTCTCCACAATGTATTATACAACATTTCAATCATCGGTTTATCGAAAAATTGAATCAATCAATTGTTATAAAATGATCATTAAATCATAAAAAACATACACCAACAACAATTCAGTATGATCACTTTCAACCATTCATAATCACATGAAACACTTCTACAATGATGATCATAACGTGTCATGATGATAGAATGAATGACATGAACAAGAGAGGAGAGTTGTACCCTTCCTCAAGAAATGATCATTTCCGAGAAAAGCGAAGTGCTCCCATTCCATGAAACAATCATGTCAATGAATAAAACTGATGATTTGTTGTTTGAATGATCAGAACATCCATCTACAACAATTTCATGAAGTTCTGTGAAGTACTTGTCTCGATCGTACTTTTCAGCTCTTCCATAGAGCCACCATCACACTTCACATCACACAAAGTCATGAAATGACCATCGCTTTGAACTGAATCAACGATCAATTCTATGGTTTCTGATCACTGTAACAACATTCCGATCATCAGATTCATTCCATGATCATCACATCCAACGGGAGCAGTTCACTACAATTCCAACCAGTACTATTTGATGATTATCATTTCCATGTATATTCATACACACAAAATATTCCTCATAAATGTTGATCATGATGTACACATTTGATGTGATCAATATAAATATGACATGATGATGAATGGAAACATGACCCGATGTTGATGATGATCACCTCAAAAATGCAGGGAGTTTTGGCTTCATTTTTTTTTAATTTTTTTTTGAAAAATTTTCATTTCATTTTTGACCTCACTGAAACTCCTTTAAACTTGATTTTCTCGAAAACTACCCTAAACCTGATCGAATGCTCTATCATGACCCCCATTATTTTCGTGAGATCTACAAAAAAGGTGTCGCTTAAATTCTATCAAAAATTTGACACCTGTTACCATTTGTTAAACGACGCAACCAACTTAGCTCACTATCCAATGATGTCGCTAGCACGAATGTACTACTCTTCAAAATCTATCGAATGATGTGCTTGGATCAAGCTCAACATCAAAGATGACGAAAACCCCGATCATGCAAAAGAGGTCTACTTTAAGCGAGTACAGTTCAATAATTACCCTTAATTAATGGATGAAAGTCATGTCAACACATAGATATACCTCCATACACGATCTTTATAAAAAAATTAAAAATCCCATGATTAAGCATGTCGAAAAATTAAGATTAAAAGTCAAGCGGGTCACCTATCCAAACCCAATTGCTATAATATTTTGACCACATGTCAAAATGTGAAATAAATGAAAGTTTACTTTCAAAACATGTGTCAAAGAGCCTTGTATGGTTGAGTGATGTGAGCTTCCGATGGTCTAAACAGTGATGTTGCGTAATTTAATAATCAATTGTGATAGCCTGACGGCCATCACAATATAATTTATTGCAATAGAGATGTAATGATATCAAACAGAAACATTGATTGACATCGTCTCTTCGAGCCGATATCAATTTAATTTATTCAAATAGTCACACCAGAGACTGACATTGACATGAAAGCTAAAAATATTTTTAAAAAATTTTTAAAAGTCAAAAATATTCATGAATCTTTAAAACTTTGGGAAGGTCTATCTCCTTAAATCCGAGAAATAAGACGCTAGTCCTTGAACGATCTCAAAATCCCTAATAAAAATCTACAACTAAGATTTTATTACTATCACAACTTTAAGGTCTATAATCTCAATAACTACTTCACAGAATTGAAATATTTAATGATCAATAGTCACCACTGAATGCAAATATCTCATGTCCCAAAGACGGTGGTTTTCTGACCACTCTATCACCGATGAAGAAAAACGCCTGTAGTTTAAGAGTTCATATCTCAAGAACCACAACGAGTTAGAGCAAGTGAATACCATCAAAAGATAGATAAACTCAAACGACTAAGGGGTCTCTTTTGAAGAAATAGTGTGATTATGTCTGGTTGTTGAGAAAATCGCGGAATGCCTCTTTCCAAACCCTACTCTTCAAAATCTATCGAATGATGTGCTTGGATCATGCTCAACATCAAAGATGACGAAAACCCCGACCATGCAAAAGAGGTCTACTTTAAGCGAATACAGTTCAATAACTACCCATAATTAATGGATGAAAGTCATATCAACACATAGATATACCTCCATACACGATCTTTAAAAAAAAATTAAAAATCCCATCATTAAGCATGTCGAAAAATTAAGATTAAAAGTCAAGCGGGTCACCTATCCAAACCCCCAGTTTCTGTTTCTTCAATTTAAATCTAATAACAATATTTCACCCAGTGAGTTACACAACATATTCAAATAAGAGATGATATCAATCAGTATTTATCGAAATAGAGCCTCACTTCAAGTTTTGGCTTGACTTTTCTATCATTTTGAACTTTGACATTTTTTAAAAATATTCCACCTCCAGCGAAAAACCGACTCTCCAACACTGGAGCTGATTCATTCAACAGGTACATCACTGTTCATGTCACAAACAATACAAACACTCTACAAATCTCTCTCACACACTACAATCTACGTTTAATTATCAGGAGAATATCATGTCAAGCAACATCACCCTCACGGACATATTCAGCGGCTAGGAGTACCACATTTCGGCGTCAGGAGTCAGTCATCAGCACACAACCATAATATTAGTGTTCTACATGGTGAGTAACACTTCATATATCAATTTGAGATACAGCTGATCAGTATTTATTGAAAAAGAGCTATATTTCATATTTTCGCTGGACCTCTCTATCATTTTGAACTTGGAATTTTTGAGTCCAAAATATTTTTAAAAAAAATTTACAAGTCCTCAAAAACCTTGTGTTCCAATTTCATTGCTTCTCTCTGGTTTTACAGTTTGAAACACCAGTCCGATAATAAATAATCATCCTCTCTTCATTTACAACATTAAATTTTTTTTTGGGCCAATTTACCTTCAAAATTCAGAGTGAAATAACTCAACAACCACTTCACACCTCTTAGAAATTTCAACACCATTAGAAAGCAAATGAAAATTAGCCTAGGATTTGAGTATATCTCGTCCTCAGCAGTTAACTTCGGACCGTGGACAGGACTTATTGAAAACAAAATTTTTTTTTGATAGTAAAGTCGTTAAAATGGCTCAAAAAAAAGAGTAGGTGGAGCCAAACCCTGTATGAGACTGATGCATATGTTTGTTGCATCTATTTGTGTTGTACTCTTGCTGAATTACAGGATAGAAAAGGTAATGTAAATCTTATTTATTCAACTATTAGACATGCGCACGTACACGCGGCGAAGAATAAATAATCCGTTTTACCAACCATCTTTCTGTTGATTTACAACAAACTACCCTAAACCTGATCGAATGCTCTATCATGACCCCCATTATTTTCGTGAGATCTACAAAAAAGGTGTCGCTTAAACTCTATCGACATTTTGACACCTGTTACCATTTGTTGAACTGCTCAACCAGCTTAGCTCACTATCCAATGATGTCGCTAGCACGAATGTACTACTCTTCAAAATCTATCGAATGAAATGCTTGGATCAAGCTCAACATCAAAGATGACGAAAAACCCGACCATGCACGTGAGGTCTACTTTAAGCGAATACAGTTCAATAACTACCCTTAATTAATGGATGAAAGTCATATCAACACATAGATATACCTCCATCCCCGACGATTTCATAAAAATTAAAAATCCAATGATTAAGCATGTCGAAAAATTAAGATTAAAAGCCTAGTCATCTTAATTTAAAGTCGTTGAAAAAAATATAACTGTAGTTCCTACCAAAATGAAGAGAACAGGCTCCAGTAGCATCGTTCAACGGCTAATTTCCCACAACAGCCACACTTCGAGCCTCACCAAAACAACAAGACAATATTTTTGCTTAAGAAATTGTGTTTTCAAGTCTGTTCTGTCCAACAAACCAAATTTAATTGTTCCGAACAACAAATTATTGTGTTGTCCAACAACAACCACATTTGGCCAAATACGTACTTACACCATCGCAACTACAAATACTTCAGCACCTTCATCCTCCGAACCAATCACTCTCAATTTGATGGATTACGAGAGTTGGAACGCGCAACAAGTAGCTTCTGTATTTACTGCTCCTAAATCTTTGGGTGGTGCTGGTTTGTCGCTTGCCGATGTGAAGCCTTTGTATGTTGCTGATTTTAAAGGCACAAATCTCCACAACATTGTTGGGGATATAATGAAGAAGGATGAATACTTTGCTCTTGATCAATTCAAGAACACTTTAACAGACAGTGGTTTTCAAATGACTTTTCAACTCTCCGACACTTGTCAAACTGTTGTATTTTGGGTGCTCGATCAATTAATGACCAGACATTATTCACTATGGCAATTGGAGCCAGTGAGCAAAAAAATTAAACAAAAATTGGGCGAACCAATTGCAAAAGGAGGTGCTGATTTGAGTCTTGATCAAGTTTCTTCATTAGATAGCAAAACTCTCCATAGCATTGCAAAAGATGTAGTCTCTTCCAAGCAAACCTCCGTCATTAGAAATCTTGACTTGAATTTGGGCACAATAGTTGTCCAGTGGGTCACACAATTTCTACTACAAAACAATAACATTCAAATTCATTTACAGAATATGGACATGTGGGTGCCACCCTTCCATTATTTCTCAAGCAGTGAAAGAGAAGTGTTGTTTAAGGCAGATGAGATTCTTAAAGGTAAAATTGATTTCTATGCAAAACAGACGAACATGCCGGATACACACAAACGATGGTACTTGTCGTTCTGTGATTTAGTAATGAAGGGCCATGCTCAAGATAATAGAACTCCCTCCGAGAAAGAGAGTTACACTCTCGATTTAATAGCACTTGTTTCAAATGCAAGAGATATTGTATTCAGCAACGTAAATACAGAAAGTATATTGAACAAATCTAAGTTTGAGACAGTCATGAAAAACATGGTGAATGATCTTTTGGAGGGCTCTCATGAAGACGCGTTGTTTATGAGGAAATTGCTTACTCCCTTTAACGAACGCTGCTCTTCCCAGTTTGTAAGAGATGTTCTTGTTCCAATTAACTCCGAGAAGAAGATAACAAAAGATTTGTTTCCCTTCATCCCAAAATTACAAGTAGATCTGTTCAATGAAGATGAAAGAAAGACGTTGGACCAAAAAATTCGTGATGGCTCAACAATTTGCATAATTGGACCCTCAGGTGTGGGTAAAACTGCTTTGGTAATTATTATTTTATTATTGTTTCATTTGTCAAACTTTAAACTAATTCGTTCTACAGCTTGCAAGAAGATTAGGAGTCAATCCAGGAATCATGATAACATGCTCATCTCTGACTGATCAAGATCGGCTTACGGAGCGTGGAATTGATCATGCTTCTGTTCTGTTGAGAGAAGTATTTGTAGCGACAATGAACCAATCTATTATCAAGCTCTATGGTACTGCTCTTCAACAAGTTCAATGTAATCTTATTGCAAGATTATTGTGCCTTCATACCGCATTAACCATATGGGAAAAAACAGATAACAAAATACCATTTGAAACTCCTCTTCAAATGCTGTCCTACTCCCAATGGAATGTTAATACATACATTACAGCAACCATATTCAAAAAATTGTTAGAACGTCAATGGCTTTCTGTACCTACTGAAATATTAAGAGATTTCACAATATTTTTGATCGAACAATTATATTCACGGTTAAAGCTGGATCTTGAGCAACCATTTATTATTGCTCTTGACGAGGCAAATCTTTTCTCCAACATCCGTACTCCGATGTTATCTACAAATGGTACACCCAGGGATTTATTGTCACTGATTGCGTTCGAAATTTCTCGACTTAGACAAAAGTCTTTTATGAAAATTAGTGTGAAAATTAGTGATATTTATTGTGGAACCATGTTTACCACTGACATTATTGATATCATTCAATCCTCTATTGGAAAATTGGAGGACATAGCTCGTGTTTACTCATGCGTTGGTTTAGACTCCATCACTTTTGAGCAAGCATTACAAATATTAGACAAAATGTATGATATTGAAGGAATTTTAAAATTATCCAATACCTCCAAAACTGACCTTTATCGCTCTGTTCAACACATCTTCCCAACAAGAAGAAGAGTAGTTGGACTTGTTGCCTCTCATTTAGAAATAACAACGTCTCTCAAAAAAAGCTTCACTGACAAATGGGAAGAGTTTGTGGGTCAGGTGGAAAAAAATGTGTTGAATAGGTTGAGTCAAAAAACGTCAAAAGACCGTCTTGATGCTAATTTTTTGTTGGACGTTGTGGTAACAAATGAATACGATGCCTTTTTAGGGAAATCAATTAGTTGCGATAGAGAATTAGCTTCTTCATTAATAGGAACTGGTTTAGCAAAACCAAATTTTGACTTTTGTTCCAACAGCAACAAGTATCATTTTGATACCTCAGATCCAATTCTTAGGCATGTTGCACGAAAAGTTTTAGAACAGAAATATCCAAACTCAATTTCAAAAGTCAATAATTCAATCTCAGTATTGAATTCTCTATTAACTCTTCCTCAACATGATCCTAAGAAATGGGAAATGGTATTTTCTCTTTTATTACAGCACCATAGTGGAAAGTTTATTAAGGACAACTTGATTCTTTCACCATTAATATTAGGTGAAAATTCTGACACAACAACAGAGAGAAAGAAAAGACCATATTCTCAATTACTTGACCACAAATTTGTGATCAAGTCATTTATTCGATCTAACGATTTTTATCGCAAATATTACACGTCAAAATGGGCTCAAGAAGTCTTCAAAAAAGAGAACTCAAGTAACAAAAACATTTTGGGAGATGTGTTATATTTTCATTGCTTGTTAAACTATAACAAACATATGGAAGAGTATGAGAGCTCTGCTAATAATATCAGTACATTTGCAGACATAATTGATGGATTATATTTTTATCCCTCGGAATATTGTCATGCTGATGGTATTTGTTTGAACTTTTCGGAGCAACCTTATGGTATTATTGTGAGCAACAAATTACATAATTGCCAGAGAGACAAATTTTTAGAACATGTTAAAAAAGGAGTCAAATCTGTGAACGCGAATAACTTTTACAAAGAAAAATTTGGTACCAACCTTATTGCAGGCTGTAGCTGGTGGACAACTGAGAAACAGGAGTTTATAACCACGTTAACAAACAATGAGAGACTAATACCCCTCATAGCGCACATACACGTAAAATATAAACAAATCACAACAAAGAAAGGTGTCGGTTTTACTGAAGATTATACTGAAAAAGGAAAATATTTAATTATGAACCCTGATTCAAATGGTTTAAGGTCACTCTGTCCTGATTTGTTTCAACTTTTACGGAAGAATCTATTTGAGACTGCAACTATTGATAACTTGAACACGGAAGATCTTGAATGAACGATGGGTGGAAGAAATTTCAGGTCGCTAGTAGACTCACGCAGAAGCTGATTCATTCAATAATAAACTACTGTTCATGATACAAACAACATACTTGCTCTCAAATATGCGTTTCAAATCTCGACAACCTGACACTGGCCCGAAAATCAAGAGAAGCAAAGAATAGAACTCTTCACAGGTGCAAGTTTCCTCGAAACTCTCAACACCTTAGTAACAAACTGGGTCAGTGTTAATGCTAATTTGCTTCTGGCATAACCATACAGTCGTTCCTCAAATACAACAGATTTTTAATAGAGCGGAGTGTCGAATTTTGAAAAATCAGAGCATTGATTTGTTGCTTAAATAGAGGGGAGTCCTCAAAAACGGCTCGAGGAATGACTGTATTTCAGGACGGTAATTCACTATGGTTATCTGGCTCCAGTCAATTTTTGACAGAACCTAAAATCGTTATTGCTCCCTTTCTCAGCAGTCATCCTTTTGTCATATCTTTTGCAATTATTTCGATGCATTATTAATTGCAAGTGGTTGACCCTAATTCTAACAAGTCTGACAAAGAACTAGCTTCGTACTTGAAGCACTTGCTCATTTCAGCACGATAAGTAGTCAATACACTTGCAATATCTCCATTTTGCTGCGAAGTCTTAGAACGAATTTGTTCAAATATTTGTAGGATATGATTGGTAATGGCATAATCGTCAGGATAATTTTTCAAATGTTCTTTGAGAATGTTTTCAGACTTGGAAAGATGATCCATTGCATTATTTCCAATCGACTGAATGGACGATTCAAAGATAGAAAAGGCCACCTCAAAGTCCTTAAACCTAGAATTTGCTTTTTGTTGCTCCAATTCGTACATCCATTCTATCGACACAAAGTTATTCACTCAATTCATAGTCTCAAATTAAATGAAAATACTTACCATCTTTTTCGAAGCTATTTTCCTTGATAATTTCATGAATAGATGAAATGGATTGATCAAATTTTTCATTTTCAAGCATTAATCTTTCTACAGGTCTACTGACAAATGCATTCCTAGCATCTGATGTCATGGTATGAGAATCTGCCAATACGGTACATCCAGTCGCTAAGCATAGAGATAAGAGTTTTTTTACATTGGAAAGAAGTGGGCCTACGATAGAGTAGAATCGTAAAGAATTTGTGCCCAAATTACCAACTTGTGTTTTTCCTGTCGTAACACCAATACAAACCTTAACTCCCTCATATCCCTTTAGAATATTAGCGAGAGTTTTTGAAATTTTCAAAGCCGCCTCTAAAGCAGACACATTAGGTTTCTTTTTACCATTGGCGACAAATGAGCATTGATACTCATCGACAGACAAAATTTGCAAATCTGACTGCATGGTTTTGGAAAGAGTGCTTAATCCGGTAGCTATTTTGGCAAAGATGTTACCAATCTCCAAAGATGACATGTGTTTGCACATGTTACAAATTTGAATGCTTACAACACTCACATCTTTTTCATGAAGACCAAGTTTGAACAAGGAAATTGCACCACCTTCAGCATGAAGACTATTCTTGCTCTCTTGATGATTCGATTTGTATGAAGATGTATGAGCTGAACTTGATGACCCAATGCCTGTTTCATTTCTCTCAAGCTTGCTATTTTCATTACTATCATTGGTCTTGCCATTTGGCTTGTCTTGGTCACCTTCCATGTTTCTGAGTTGATTGAAAATTGTTTCTGGCAAAAAGCTTTTGAATTCGTTTAACCAAATTACCATTTCATGAAGATCTTCATAAATTGAATCGATTTCCTTAAATCTACTGGAAGTGAATTTAACATTAACGAGATCAAATTTTTTGATTTTCATGAATTGTTTTTCCAAGTATGTCAAAGGTCCTGTGATTACTCGTCCAATTACTATACTTAGTAATAATCCAACAATGATGACAGCAGTAGCAACTCCAGCTGAGATGGCAGTATTGATGGTAGTTGTTTTGGATACATCCTCAGTGTAGACAATTAGATAAACATTCCAACGGATGTTTTCCAATACAAACTCCATTCGACGTATCATGTAATCAATTCCTAGACTATTAATTTCAAAGCTCTGAGGAGTTTCAGACATTTTTCCATACTGTTTTTTGATATCTGACATTAATTTTCCAGCATTCTTGTCAGTGAGCTCAAACAAGGAAACACGAGAGATTTTGTTAAGAGCTGTGGTATTAATAGATCCACCAATAACCAAATCATTGTATTCTGAAACCAAAACATAACCTCTTCCAAGTAATGACAAGCTTGTGAGATACTTTTCAATATTAAGCAGAGACAGGTTGACTTTTGAAATACCAACAACATTTTTGGTTCGATTGGCTATATATGCGACGGGATCATACAACTTTGCTGTATAGTAGATACAAGCAGTTGAATTAATGACAATATAAGGATCCTAACTCAAAGTGCAAAAACATTAAGCGTTCAGCCATATCTTCAATAACTTAAATAACTTACCCCATACACTCCGTCAACACCAAGTTGGTCATAGTATTTGAAGCTAGTGACCCAATAAGCAAGAGAGTAAATATTTAAAGGCTTGGTTTCGTTATATGCGAGGCTCAAAATGGAACCATCTTTTTCATCACAATACCATTGCTCAATTCCAACCATATCTTTTGGTTTAATATAAATGGTAAACGTTTGCTTGGGAATACCATCAGGAAAGAATGTGAGGTTAAAGTAACTGTACATTTCTGTATGTCATTACCAAACAAGACGTGTGTCAAAAAAAGCCCAACATTGTAAATAAAACTTACCCGTAGGGAAAAACAATCCAACGGCTGAAGGTCTATAAATGACATTTTTGGCAAACAAATACTCAAAGGGAGGTCGTCTTCCCACAATTCCTAAATTGAAATCGTTGGCAAGAGTACGAGCTAAACCAGCAATAGGGGAAATTTCACCACTCAAGAATACTAAAATCTTCTTTCCCACTTGTTCAATGAGATTGGTAGTGAGTTCATTGACCGTGTTTCTAGAGCCAATAAAAGAAGCAAGCCAAATAAACAAGGAACAAGTGAGCAATAAAGAAATGATCAAAATAATGATGACCACTCTCATTGAGAAACATCCTGCAAGAGAAACTGGCTTCTTTGCAGAAACCGATTCCCTGCATTCAACAAGTTCTTGCCTGTCATCTCCACCCGAGGCATCCGTGGTGTTATCTTGTGATGTTGGTACCACTTTGGTCATGATTTGAGATTTGTTTTTTTGAGTTGTAGAAATATGCAGAGAGCGTCTGCAAATGATTCTTGAGTGTAAATGGGATTTTGATCGTTTGGTCACAGGTTCATCTAATAACATCTATCGAAGGATATCAGTTTTACAGAGATGGTAGTGATACTTGGTTAGTGAGAGATGGAAAACTACAACTACCGTTAGTAGGATGGTATTGTAGATTCGTATCAATCTCGATTCTTGATGTGACTTGATGGCAGATGAGAAGTCGAGTGAATACAACAGAATCTCTGACGGATCGGAAGATATTGAAAATGGCAACAATAGCTGTCGACCTTTAAATATTCTCTTTTAATGCTCTTCGTCCTCTTTACTCTTCTCAACAAGGTCTACAGGTCCTTGTTCTACCAATTCTTCCAAATCTTTTTCCCATCCCAATAATTTGCACAGACGATTCACACTTTCATCAATTGTGAGATCTGTACCACCCACAAACAAGTCCAAATAGTTCGACTCTTCTCCTATTTCTGTAACATAACCTTCATGTTGTTTGAATGGACCAGCTTTTTCTCTGTTCAAGAGAGCTCTTGTACATCCTTTCTTGACAAGTTCAGGTAACATGGCTACAGGATGCACAGTCAAGGATGTACCAATTACAATGAAGAGCTTGCATTTTGAAGATGTGTGCTTCAAGTCTGATTTCACACATTTGCTGAACTTGTGAGGTAAATCTTCTCCAAAGAGAACAATGTCAGGCTTAATGAAACCACAACATTTGTCACAAAGTGGAATAGTAACATCCTCTTCAGTACCCATCTTTTCTACTACCTCAGCAAGAGTGTATTTCTTTCTACATTTTGTACAATGAGCAGTATCATACATTCCATGACAATTTACCAATATCTCATTTGAAACTCCAGATTTTGCCTCTAGACCATCAATATTTTGAGTGTATAATCTCAGTAACTTTCCTTTTTGTTCTAACAGTTTTATAAAGTAGTGAGCTCGTGTTGGTTTGTATCCAGTTGAGATAAAGTCTCTAGAAAGAAGAAAGAATGGTTTTGGATTTTCGTGAAAGTATTCCAGTTCAAATATTGCTGTTGGTCGAGGAAGATCATATTTTTGAAGATTGTCATATAGACCAGTTCCTGGTGAACGGAAATCAGGTATTCCTGCAGCAGTTGAAAGACCAGCTCCAGTTAATACAATAATTTCTCGTTCTTCTGCTTGTGAAATCTTTTCAGCTAAAATTTCAATAGCACGATCTCTTTCCTCATTCTCTTTTTGTTCCTTTTGTTCAGTTTCATGTATTTTTCTTTGATCAACTTTCAATCGTTCTATTGCTTCTCCGATTTCTACAGTTGCATCATGACCGCCAGGATATTCTCCAAACTTGGCTACATGTAATTCTCGTAAGATGAGTCTTGTCAACTCTCGATTGTCTACGTAAGCATCGCAAGCGTAGCAATAGATGCTCAAGTCGGCCAAGCTTAACACCATTGGATGATGAGTCGATTCAAAATGGTTCATCATGTGTGCTTTCCTGTATCGACTACAACAAACAGAATGACATTGAAGACAAAACCAATTCTCCGTTCTATCCCCACACACAGAGCAAGGTGCAGAGGTGGTGGTGTCAGAAGAATCTTCCTTTGTCATGATTGTCGAAAAGAGAGTTTTCAAAGCGTTTCGATCATTGTGCGGCATATTGAAACAATTGGAATCATGAAAGTGTGGGCAATTCAGTAATGGTTCTACAGCAAATCCAACACCTTCAATGGCATAACTCTTGTTGTTTGGTGCCGAGTTACTGGTTGGATCGGAAGAACCTCCGCTTGATGATGATGAACTCATTTTTTTGAATTAAATTAATTAATAACAAAAGCTGATGAACATGAACGTTGCACTAAATTATTACGATCGTACAGACAATAAATTGCTATTTGTAAGTAACCAAATACTCAGCATATGCTTGCTTGTTGTCAAAAATAACAAATTCTGTTCCTGTTGGATTGCCCTGAACGCTGTCATACATCTTGTCCTTGGTGGGGTCATAGGGTCTTGTCAAATTTTTGTTTTGGCTTGGAACGACCATAGGCTCACCAATTATCACTCGACACATGAAAATAGTTCGATGTCCATTGGAGCTTGCAGGTGCATAACCATGACTGTAGCTTGCATTGACAGCAAAGTAAGCACCCTGACCATAATGACCAGTTGTGGTTAAACGATAATCGATACCGCTTTCAATAATTTTCAGTGCTGTTGCATCATCGCACCCATGATATAGAATCTTTTCATTGGCTTTTCCATTGTTCTTTGACTTGATTTGAAAACGAGCAGTGATATATTCTTCCCATTTTTGAGCATTCTCGATTCTTTCAATTTTGACCACTTGAGCAGAAGAATAAGAGTGATGAATAGATTTCACAAATTTTGATTCGATCTTCTTGAATTCATCCGAGTTCTTGGGAAGGGAAAATAATCGAGTGTAATTCTTCTTGTTCACCAAGCATTTGGTAATGGACAAGGGTGGAGAAGTGGTCCACGTCTCTGGCCAGTCAAAATTTCTATCGTCAACTTCTAAATCGTTGTGAGAAAAACGAATTCTATGAAGTGGATCATTCAAATATTTGCATTTACCTCCAAATGAACATGGATGAATAAAATTGTGATTGTGATCTTCGTTATCTTGATATCGACATTGTTCTCCATGAGCACAAATATGAATGAATCTGGCTTTATGAATTTTGTTGTCCTTCCATTTGTCACAATTTTTAATGGTACATAAATGACGAAATTCACACTTGTGTTGAGGATCGCTTCGAGTGAGAGAACATCTTTTCCAGTTCAGGCAAAAGTTCGAAGCTTCAGGAATTTCATCCTTCTTGTCAGAATCATTCTTTGGTTGTGAGGAAGTCGACGATGATGCTGATCTCGTTTCTGTTTGAGGACTTTTTTGCCCATTCTTGATGTGAGAAACATTCTGACCATGTACGTGTGCTGTTGGCATGATCACAGGACCACTGAAATGAGAGGCTGGTTGCCAATGACCAAAGGATAAGGCTGGATCTTGGTAAAAAGAAGAATGAATATTCATTTGCAAAGGTTGAGACGAAGGAACAAGACACGTGTTTTGAGGAGAATTTGAAAAAAAATTTTGTTGTGGATTGTTGTTCATCATCACAGACGAATTGGGATAGTAATTCAAATTGGAATTCGGAAAGGAAGAAGGAGCTGTTCCATTCACAACCGACGATTGATGATACACATTGGGATGAATCATGGAAGGTTGGTTCATGAAAAAGAGTTGTTGGTGATGATCTACATGATTTGGAACTTGGTTAAAAGGAGTTTGCTGTTGATAATGCTGGTTATGATTGTTGGGATACATTTTTTTGAAACAACTGATGAAACCATCACGTTAGCTGCTCGACATTTGACACACGACACAACCAATTCACGTTCCAAAAAAATGCCTTTATGCAAACACGACACATTTTGTGCTTTCACAAATGATCCCGATCATAAAAACCAATATCTCCACACATGCAAATACGGAGAACAGTGTCGTTCGCTACACAACGCAAAACACACCGAATGGTTCATTCATCCATGTCCCTTCCAAGATAAATGTTCACTTTCGAATGATGTCAAACATAACTTGACTTTCACTCATCCCGAAAAACCGACATTTGTGGCACAACTTTTCAAACTTGTATTTGATCATGACTCTGGAAACGGAACTTTAAAACTTCGATGTCCTCATTGGGGTCAATGCTCTTTAACAAACAAGGTTGAACATACCACTCAATTTTATCATCCTTGTCGATATGGTGATGAATGTAGAAAGTACAACGATGAAGCGCATTGTGAAGATTTTTTCCATCCTTGTAAATATGGTTCCAAATGTACCAATCAAGATCCATACCATCGTTTTAGTTGTTTACATGAGGATCGAAGTCCAGTTTGGATGGATTGTCACAACCCAACAAAACCTCACGTGGCGCAGAAACCCAAGAATAATGGTAATTCCGTTTCGAATTCCAATTCGAATTCCAAGTCGAAGACCCATACAAGTACATCCAACACAGCCTCTTCTGGAACAAGCCATGGACAGTACCACTCATTAGCAGTCAATACCTCAGGAGAACATGTTCATCATTCAGGATCTTTAAACATGGGACATTCCATCAGCAGTACTACTACTCGACATCCGTATCATTCACAGTATTCAAACACATCGGTGCCTCATAACCAGCAAACTTCTGTACATGGTATTACCTCTTCATCGTATTCCAATGTAGCTGTTTCGAGCCCATTCAACAATTCCATGTATCCACCACTTTCGAGTATGGGAGGTAGTGCCACTTCACCCATCCCATACCATTCTCAGACACCCACTTTTCCAAACCAGCAACACTTTCCACAACAGCAACCACATGATACATGTAATCACCAACAAGGAGGTCAAAACAACATGTACATGTCCAACAACGCGAACTATGGCATGTTAACATCCAATGATGGCATTCCTCAACCTGTCATTCCTCCGTTAATTGTCATGTCCTACAATGTGTTGGCAGATTGTTATGTGAGTGCTGAACGATATTCACACATTGCAAATATCAATCATTTGAAATGGAGCAATAGAAAGCAAAAAATATTTCAAGCTCTCAAAGATCGTCCGTTCGACATTATTGGACTGCAAGAAGTTGATCAAAGCCACAAAAACGACTTTGCAGATTTTGCAACAAACAATGGATATTCCATTTTTATTTCAGACAAGCTTCCAAGAAAAAAAGATAGTGTGGCAATCATGTTCAAAATTAATCGATTTGGACAAGCTATAGGATCAGGAGGTGAAAGAATCATTGAGGGATATCCAGAAGTTTTTCAATATGTTGTTTTGAGAGACCTTCTCTCCAATTCCTATTTGATTGTAATGAATTGTCATTTGACATTTCAGCAAGACACGATCACTCCAAGAGAAAATCAAGTGAAACGAATGGCTGAAGTTCTTCACTCTCTCCATTCACAAGTATCTCAACAGTATGCTACGAATCGAGTGTCCCTAATTCTCGTAGGTGATTTCAATACTCAACCACATGAAACTCCAGTGAAGTTTATGGAAAGTTTGAACTTAAAAAGAGCACATCAAGATCGAACTGGATTTTGGACCTTCTCCACCACGTATACCAAAGTGTGTGATTATATCATGTATTTCGGAAATTTGAAAGTGACAAGTAGTGATCCAGAGCCAATTTTCCTTCCGAAAAGCACCATTCCAAATGATGAATTTGGTTCGGATCATATCCCTATTACTGCCACCTTTCAAATGTTTAATTGAAACCTGAACTAGCAATAAAACAAATCACCGCTATCCAAAAACTCCAATTTCAAAAAATCACTCAAATTAATTTATATTTTGTAAAAAAAAATATTAAGGGAACAACTCCTTAAGCCTCTGAGTCCCGACATCTTTTTCCAGTAACTTTAAAAAAGAGGCTTTCTTTTGCTGAGCTTCAGCATCGGTTTTTGAGTTCATCACTCCCCTGACTAGCTGATTTCGGCATTCCATGTCGGTTGCCGAAAACTTTTTTGCCATCTTGATGATGAATTCCCGAGTACCATCATCAGCAGGCCTGTATCCTTTTTGAAGGAATTTGTAGTATCTCATAATTTTGGAGGGATTTCCCTTTGCCCAAAAGATTCTATACTTTTCTTTAACAGGAATTCTTAAAACCTTATTCAATGTATCTTTGATTCCTTGTCCCCTTCCAATAGGGTCTATAATACATTCATTGATAGGGTCATACCACAACGAATTACAGGTGAAATCTCTACATATATTTTCTCCAACTAAATCAGTGCCAAAACATTGTGGAATGTCATCTTTCACTGATTTGTTGTCGTTGTTCAATCCATTAAGGGCCTTGCCTTCCAAAAAATTGCCATTCGTATTACCAACGACAATGAGACCTCTTGGTCCTGGAGGTTGTATACCTGCTGAATACTTTTTGCAAAGAATATTGTAAAATTCTTGTGTTGGACAACCAAAACCAATATCAATATCTTTGACCTTTGAAATAATAGTTTGAACATTGGTTTCGTTTTCCTTCAAAACAGCATACAACACATCTCTAACAGCTCCACCAACAATGAACACTGGTACTCCACAGCTTACAATGTAATTCATGACGTCGAGATACGTGGCACTTGGAGTTACTCCAGTGAGCCTCCCAGATAATGCATTCTTGAATACTGACACGATAAGTTGGTTCTTATAAATACACACTCTATTTCGATACCATGGTTGCTCAATTTGATTGGTGGGAAAACTGACATTTGTGACCTCTTCAGTTTTGATATGCCCTTCAAAAACACCCTTATCGGTCTTTTTAAACAGGACAACTTTTCCAGTCGCAGTGTTGTTTCCTGTTGCTCTTTCCCATCCAATGAATTTATAACCAGAGGGAGAGGTAAGTGGGATAGAGGCAGATCGTTTCCATTCTGTGACATGGGGACGCATGTTGCTCTTGTCTTTTGAGGTAAGGCCTTGAATCTCTGGCTGCTTTTTTTGGATGGTGGGCGAAACATCATCGTCATGGTGGCCCAATAAGCAAAAGAAATCTCTATGTCCTTGACTCTTCACTTCTTGAGACTTGCATTGAGAGCAGTTCTTTCCTTCAAAACATACAGGATGTAAATATCTTGTAAAATGTCCCCAATGGGAATCAGGACTAGAGTCAGAAAGATGGTTACACTTTTCTCCATACGAACAAATATGCATGTATTGATCTCTATGTTCCTGTGATTTGTCCGTGCATTTTTCTCCTTTATGACATTTATGTAAAAACTGCTGTAGGTGTTCTGGTTCTCTGTTTCGACAGGATTGAACATTAGGACACACATGAAGGTAGTTGGAGAGATGAGTTTGGTCTCTTCTCTCTGCCATACGACATTTTGTGCCATACCAGCAAACATTTTTAGGCCGAGAAGAGGAAGATTTAGATGAACAAGCAGATCCGACGCTTGTGAGTGACATTCTTCTTCCATCTTGAATTTGGGAAGAAGCATTGTGCTCCAATGAATTTTCTAATAACAATTGTTCATCTCCGGTTAAAGAGTGATTGAAAAGATTGCAGTGATATTTAGCATTTTGATCATGGCTGCAACAACAAAGTTTGAACCACTCACATTGTTGGCCAAAGGGACACTCGTGATAATAATGGTAAAAATGTGCATCACTAAAATCATTGACAGGACAGTTAGGAATTGTGCATGGCTTCTTATAACTAATATCCAAGCACCATGGTGGCATAGTAAACACGGGAGAGCAACTTGTGGAAGGAAGCATTTTTTTTGCGTGTTTTAATATTGACGTGAATTCTTGTCAGTTGTCAAGAGTGTGGATCACGTTCCAAAAAAAGTGACCCTAATTCACAGAAAAGCAAGCATAGACGGGAATGTGGTCTGAGCCATGAATTTGGTTGGGAAGAAATTCATTTTCCTTAATGATAATTTGAGGTTGATGTATACTCTTATTGCAGTCCACTTGGGGCTGCTGACCTAGTGGACTACATGTTTTCACAAACAAAAAATCAATGCACTTATGAATGGAATTGGTGTTAAAAGTAATTTCAAGTTCGTTTCCATGAATTTCCTTAACAGAGCTCTTGTATCCATTGTTCAAAAAGAGAGAATAGCATTTAGAACGAACATCTGCATTGAAATCTCCTCCAATAATGATTGCAGAACACTTGATATCCGATTTAAAATCATGCTGCTCTCGTATAAAAGTAAGTAAATTAATGGCAGAGTTCGCTTGCTCGGCTTGCACATCTAACTTTTGTGGATCACCAATTAGATGGGTTGTGGCAACAATAATTTTGCGTTTGGTTTTTTTGTGAACACATATGGCATAGACCATTTTCTGAGGTTCATCTAATTTCAATACATAACAGCCAGAATCCAGGACATCCCAATACATCTTGTCAATAACAAGAGCCAATCCTTCTTCACGGTCTTTCTTCTTTTCAAAAATTGAAAACGCATCGGTGACAGCATTCTTGACGACTCGCAACACATTGCTCTCTATTTCTTGAAACATTAAAATGTCTCCTTCTATTTCTTGCAATTGTTTGAGTATTCTCTGAGCACGAACATTTTCTTTCAAATCTTCCTTATTGCAGTAATAATAGAGCTTGTCTCTGATATAACTTTGAGCGAGTAAATTGTAAGTGACCACTGTAAAGTTGTTTCTTCGATTGTCCCATGTCGTTCCTGGTTGTGAAATGACATAACATTGTTGAACGGTTTGCAAATGAGTAGAAAACGCGTCCTTCCAGAATTCAGGTTTGCATCCATACTTGTTCCAATATTTAAACTCATACAATTGCGAATGAAACATCAGAGGAAATAGAATCAACGTTTTAACTTGATAATAATTCAAATCAAAGGAAATTCTCTTGGCCAATTCACGCATCATTTCCATGCATGACTGAGCATCGATCAAAGAGCTCTGTAAATATTGTTTTGTCAAAATAACGACATGACCATGCCACGGAAGAAAATCATGATGATTTGTTGAACCTTGTTGTTGTGAACTTGTTGTTCTGACATAATCCATTCGGATACGAGTGGTTCCAAATTTTTTCAACTCGAGCACTCGAGTGTCAATCAATTGCTTTACAGAATTCTCGTGGTAGCATAGGTGTCGAGCCAAGGATGGGAAATTATTCATTGGAGTGAAATGATTCGTTTCCAAATCGAATACTAAAAAAATGAGAAAGGAACAAGACTCTTCGTTTTCCTTTTTCATTTGGAATTGGAGAAAGGATGAAATTGGGTTCGGGTGATGATCATCATGATCGATTATAGAGCGAGGAGAGGATGATGTGGTTCCATTTTGTTGAAGAGCTTGTTGAAACTGCGAGAGTAGGCCTTCATCAATTTCATCAAATGAAATATTTTGCTGATGATGAGAGGGAGTCTCATTCCGGCGACCTGTAGATGATGAAGAAAGAACCATTTTTTATCTTGTTGCCCATGACATGAAAGGCCTGAAATCAAGATGTCAATGTCTAGGGAGTTAACGTGATCGATTGTTTAGTCAATAGAATTCATTATCTTGAAATTATTAATAATTTTCATTTTGAAAAAAACACAATGTTCGTTCCAAGCAACAACAATTTCTCACAGGAAGACCCGTTACAACGTGAAGTCATTCATCTGTTGCACACTCAGTTTCCGCACGTGAATGAAAGTACAATTCAAACATTATTGGAACAATCGAATTACGAGAAGGATCAAGTGCTGACAGTCTTACAGAACATGAGCCACCAGGAAGGTACATCAATGGGGAATTCATCATTCGCACATTCACAGCCCTGTAATTTTTCTCATACATCCCCTTCCATGGCGCCGATGAATTTATCGCAACAACAATCCATGGTGAATTCTGTGATGATCAGTCCATCCATGCATGCAAGTAGCAGTAATTTGTATCCACAGAATTCCATGATGGGAAATAATACACAACCGTATCAGTATCATTTTGCGTCAACTTCCAGTTATCCTTCTATGAATGTGAATCCATCCATACCAAATTCCATGATCACAGCAACTCCTGTCAACAACAGCACGGTGCCACCATATCACTTTCATGACAACATGTTATCAACAAGTTACTGCGGACCCTATTGCAATCCTTCATTTGTCAATGGCAATTTGATGATGAGTAGCAATACGCTCTCTTCAATGCCTCCCATTTCTCTGTCCACACGTACTAACACAGATGACACCCTGATGAAACCTATCAAATCCATCACTGAAAAACAACCTTGTCAAGATTGGGATTTATGCAAAAAAACAAATGATCAAGATCATGTTGAAAACTTCTTTCACCCATGTAAATTTGGCACTTCTTGTAAGAATATGAATCAACCAGGACATCGAAATCGTTATTTACATCCATGCAGCCAACCTCAAGGCAAATGCACCAAATTACAAGACAGAGAGCATTGCACCTTTTTCATTCATTATAGAGATGATAAGCCAGTCACATCAACATACACGTATCCAGGAGCTAAAGACATTTGTATCAGCGCTATGAAATGTTCCAAGAGTTCCAATAGGTATCACATGGTTTCATATAGACACATATGTAGAGAAGGCGAAAAGTGTAAGGAATTAGATTCAAATCAGGAGCACAAGAATTTATTTCTCCATCCATGTCGATTCAAATCCCAATGTACCCAGAAAAACGTCAAAGCTCATTCTCGAAACTTTATTCATCCATGCCCTGAAGGTTCGAGTTGTAAGAAATTCCTGGAAGGAATTGATATGATGCCTCACATTGTTCTTTTTTCTCATCCAGTTGGTTCTGACAGCTCCAACCTCGTGAAATATGAATGGCCACAGACTTGGGTGACACCACCTCCACCAAAATTAAGCAAAAATCCCTTAGAAAAGCCTCACTTTGCCAAAGTGAAAATCGCATCCAGCACTGCTGAATATCAACAAGTGCAACAATTCTTCAACAAAACCATAACAACTACCAAGACCATTATCTCTATTGAGAGAATTGAAAATTATTTACTATGGTTTAGATTTTGTCAAAAAAGAAAGAAAATGGGAAGTTTACACAACGAAACACAATTATTTCATGGAACCCATTTAGCATATATTGATTTAATTGCTGAACAGGGATTAGATCCACGTGTAAGCGGAAGTGGTAAATTTGGCTTTGCAATCTATACCAGCCCTTATTCGAGATATTCAGATACCTATGCATCAGCAAATAATAATAATCCAAAATATATATTTGTGGTGAGAGGACTTGTTGGAGACACATATACAATACCAGGTATCACAACGATGGGCTCAATTAAAAGGCCTCCAGTGAAACCAGGTTCAACAACACAATTGTATGATAGTGTGACTGGGTGGAATGGACAGGAAATTATGTTTTATGACCAAACTCAAGTGTATCCAGAATACTTGATTACCTACAATTAACTCCTCACATTCTTTACATCTATTTTTGAAATTAAAGACTGAATTCTCACACATGTTCACAACATTTGACACATGCCAATCACGCAAAAAAAATGGAACCAAACACCAACAACCAACCACACCAGTCTTTCCAACATGAAAATCACGTCGAAGCTTCTTCCACCATCACCAACAACAACAGCAGCATTCCACAAGAAAACAAAACAGCCAAACTCAAAGAAATTATAATATCCGTTCTCAGTCAACAATTTCCCCATCTCCCACAAAATACCATCATTTCCGCGTTGGCACAATGTAATTTCAATAGCCAGCAAGCGAAGCTCTTATTGCAGCAATCATCATCAGGTGGACAAGATTTGAACCCACGACCTTCCCACCATCAAGATATGAATTTGCAACAACCACAGAACCATCATGGCTCGACCAGTCAGACTTCACCTTTTCAACAACAATCACTGAATGGTTATGATCATCCGTTCATCAATCCTAACAACATCAACAACAATAACATGAGTGTTAGCTCTTCCGTAATGAATCAACCAATGCAGCAAGGAATGGTTCATCAGCAGCAGCAACAATATTCGAATGGAACCAATTCCACACCACCACAAGTAATTTCACAAACATCCATACAAGGGAATTCTCAATTGTCAAATTCATTGTTTAGCTTAAATCAACAATTGAATCAAAATTTAACACCTACAATGAATGTAACTTCTTCTTCACAACCATCACCGATCGTGCAGCAGGGAAATGGGAATTCAACCATCCAATCACAAAACATGTCCTTCATGTCAAATTCTCAAATGAGTTTTCAACCAACAACAACGAACATGCATTCGACGTATCAAGGTCCTCCTCCTTCCATGATGCAGTCTTCATCTATTCAGAATTCAGGTGTTCCAACGATGACTCAAAGCACCATGTCAAACTCCAATCCATATTCCCAATACTATCAAAACAATGCACAAGTCTCTCATCCAAATTTGGTTATGAATGCAAATTATCAGATGTTGCAATCACAACAACAACAACAACAACCAATAATGAATTACCAACAACCAACTATGCCCTCCATGTATTCATCATCCTTTCATCCACAACAGCAACAACAAATGCAGCATGGAAATTTTCCACACACATTTTACCATACTCAACAACAACCTCCAATGATGAATAGCATGACAACAACAAATTTCACACCTGGAGCATCCCATCATCAACCACTTCCTCCCAACTATTACTCCCAACAAGCTTGGGATGTTTCCTTACTGGCTCCTAAAAGTAGTAACGCGTCCAAACTGCAACAACAACCTTCGCAAGCTCAACAACAGTCTCAAACATCAAGCCAGCAGCAAAAACAAGGTACGATGACTTCCAGTGCTTCAAAACCCAAGTCGATCGTGAACAAGAAAAAGTGTAAGGATTGGGACGAATGTACGGAGACTTCCAATCAGGAACATGTAGAAGAATATTATCATCCTTGTAGAAATGGAGCCAAATGTAGAAATATTTCGAATGAGGTGCATATCAATAGGTTCGTCCATCCTTGTGAAGATGGTAAGAAATGTAAGAAGAAGAGCGACAAGGAACACAGTTTGCAATTTTCACATTAATTCATTTTGTAACAATTATTAAACGACTCGTCAGCAATTTACAACTTGGATGAAAGAGTCGAATTTTAAGGTATGAATTTGTACTTCAAAGTAGGAACATCGTCACAATTGTCACAAGCGACTTCCATGGTCAAGTATTTTCGTTTTGAAGAGAGAGAGGTCTTGGTGATCATTTCAAAGAGCTTACTCACAGGAGTTTTCAATTTTTCTTGATTGACTCGAGCATCTCCATATGCATTGTAAATCAATGATTTCCCTGATGAGATCATGGCGACTTCAAGTCCAAATCTGGTCCTATAAATTTCGATTAATTCTTCTACTGTGACGTCTCTCTTTTCATCCACGACAATGTGATCCCAAATTGAAAAAGTTTTTTCGTTCATGTATGGAACTGTTTGAGGTGCTGTTGGCTCTGTAAGGGTAATGAAAGGCAGGGCAATATTCACAAAAGCATTCTTGTAGCATGAAATCTTGTCGAATCCTTGGATAAGCTTGTAAAATTCAAAACCTGCAAGACCAGTGACAAGTGCAGTCGTGGTCACCATGGCAGGAATAATATTTCCAGCAATTCCTTTGGTGGTATGCTTGTCTGCTTCAGGAATTTTGTAATTTCTTGCACGTAAATTGCTTGTTGCTGTGATAAAGTCAACATGATAGTTGGTGTCGTCATCCTTTTCAAATTCAATGACATTCATGTGAAATCCTACAACTTCACTTGGTTTTGGAACACTTGATTGGAGATGGTGCATTTCTTTTTCGTCGTCATCCGAAAATTCTTGTTCAGGTTCTTTGTTTTCTTTTTCATCACTTTGAATTTTCAAGCCACTCTTTGGTCGGAATTCAGGAATGGAAATGTTGGATAATACAGATTTGAAATCATAGTCCTCCTTTCCATGTCCAGTCAATCCAAAAACATGGGCTCTTAAATTTGCAGCAGAGACAATAAAATCTAAATGAAGTGAATCATTAGGATCGAATTGTAATGGAAGAGGAGGTCTTCTAGCTCCTCCCCAAAATGGTGTTCCACTCGAGGTCACATGGTCAATAGGGAAATTGTACATTAATTGTTGAATCTTGTGGTTGAACAATTGATCGAATTTAAGTCTTGCCCATGCAATACAATCTTCGAATGAGATGGGTTTGTGTGTCACTAGAGATTCATAGACATTTTCCAAAACCATCTTTTTCGCAAATTGAGTATCGAGATCCTTAATGTAATGGGACTTGGTGACATAGGCATTCACGTCACTTGGAGTCTTGTTAAATAGTCCTTCAAATTCATCTCTTGCCCATTGAATGGTATGTTCAATAGCGTTAGGGAAATTCTTTAATGTGCAGAGTGGAATTCCTGGAGTTTCTGGATCTCTTGTTGCTCCATAATTTTCTGTTTTGAATGGAATGACAATTTGAGTATTTCCCTTAGTACCAAGAGTTCCTGATTCAATGAGATGCTTTCCATAAAAGATGCATTTGGAGTCTACATAAAGACGTGCTTGAATATTATCCAAAGCATTGGTCACACCTGTCAGCTCTTCCCAAAAATTATCATGAAAAGTGTCTTCTGTTTCTGGTGCCACTTTTTCTTGCAAGGCCTCAACATTGAACGAAGGATTCATGGTTTTAACTGAAGCGGCCGCGGTGGTTGATTTTTGATGACCAATGTGCTTGAATCGAAACAAAAATTGTCGACTCAAATTTGATTTTTCAATAGAATCCATATCAGTCACGCATACTTTTCCATTTGGTCCACATCCAACTCCCATCATGGCATAGTTTTTCAAAATTTCACATCCAAGAGCACCTGCACCGACAATAAATTCTTTAACATCTCCCAACTTGACTTGAAAATTCTTTCCAAAGACTGCAATTTGACCATCATATCTTGTACCCATAGGTTGACATTCGTCTTCGGTTGGATATAACGTTTCATCTTCAGGTAAACATTCCAAAGAATCGAAATGCAAATATTGATTCAATGGAGAGAATTTTCCACTGCATGCTTTTTGAACTTCCTGAGCAACAATTCCTCCCAAGAATGCAGCCATTGGATTTAAATTACCCCGACAAGTAAATGCCAATACTTTGACAATTTTCTCATTCAAATGTGTGGTGAGAGAGGGATATTTTTCAGTAACCACTTCCTTTGCAATTTCAAATAATCTTTCTGCGTCAGCTACATTGTAAGGTTTTGGAAGACAATGATGTCTCTTTTCGTATTCACTCAGAGCCAACATTGCAACATGAATTTGGAGTGGTCTTTGCATCTTTGCAAAATCAAAATCAATACATGAAGGAGTTGGCAATTGTTCCTTCAACGATTGGTAGGAATGTCGTTTTGGAACTTTAACTTGTGTCACATAACCACCAGATCCCGTTTGGTATTCTCTAAATAGAGTTGTATCAAGATCAATCTTGAACGTATGTTTTCCACACGACAAGACTTTGATTGGTTTTTTAACCGTATTGATTTCAACCATTCCTTCAACATTTTTGAATTGAACGTAATCACCTTCATAGAGGCCAGTAGTGGCTTTTCCATCATGAACCGTCACGGTGGCTGGATATCCATTCGTAATATCAGTCACAATGTTTGACACTACATTTTCTCCATCTTCATCATAGACCATAAATTTACTTCCAAAATCACAAAATACAGATCCGATCAAACCTCTACTCTCACATGCAATGAACTTGATCGATTGTTTCCTACAAATTTCATTCAATTCTACGAGTTGAGGAATGTGTGTATCTGTACACACGACCACATGGATCGAATGAGAAGTCAAGAACTCTTCAGTGAGTGTCTCTCCTTGATCGCCGATGGCTTGCACAGGAACGTAATCGTTGAGACTTTTCAATTGTGGTAGAGAGACTTGTGCTCTATTCTTTCCTACATCCTTCTCGGAGGCATAGAATTGAGAAGAGAGATCTTCCATTGAAACAGTCTTGGTATCAAATAAAGTAACACTTCGAACACCAATCAATATCACATTCTTGGCCACTTCAACTCCGAGACCTCCCAATCCACAAATGAGAACGTTGGACTTTTTCATTCGTTTCATGGCAGCGAGACCCAATACGTATGCTTGTCGATTATGAAATTGGAGATCAATGGTTGAATCGGAAGAGGAGTCTTGATTCTCTTCATCGTCTTCAATCATTGGATCTAGTTCAGCAATATCGTCGATTTCTTGAGGTAACATTTTTTTTTGATGATCGACATGACAGGTGTTGGGAAGGCTGTTTTTGAACGGTTACAAAATTATGAAGATGAACTTGTTCATTGTGCTATTTTCAATTCATACAAAGAGAGGTTCACCTCCCTCTAATTTCTCTTTACTTTTTCTTCTTCATGGCACTGTTCAATCGTGAGAGCTCAGTTCTCAGTTTTTCGCAAGTAGCCTTTTCTTGATTGTAATTGTTCATGAGCTTTTGTTTGGTGTCTTGCAAATTTTCCAATTGCTTTTTTAGTTTGGTATTTTCATCGAGTAGACTTGTCGCATTGGCACCCTGCAACAATTGATATTTGAGAGAAAGGTCAGATAGTTGTGACTTCAAACTGTTCAACTCGGTATCTTTCTTTTCCAAGAGGAGTTCCAAATCTCGTTCTTGTTGACTTCTCTGTTCCAGTGTTGTTGTGAACGCAGAATCACTGTTCTTTTCTTTGGCCTTGTTCTGAAGTTCGTCAATTTTCTTGAGTTGTTCTGTAATTTGAGTGTTTGATTGGGCTACTTTCTTTTCATATAGACCCACTCGGTGTTCTAATTCCATAATACTCTTCTTAAACACCTTAATTTCAGCGGCCTTGGATTCCTTGAGAGTGTTTAACTGTTTTTCATAGGCATTTCTAATCGTTTCTAGTTGAGAATTCAATGATGCATTCGCGTTCTCTAAACTACTGATATTCTCAAGAACTTTTTGATGTGAGTCAATCTGTTCCTTATATTTGATAAGTTCTTCATTCTTTTTCATACTGGCATATGTTTGGGCATCGATCTGTTGGTAAAGTTTCTTGATTTCTTCTTCTTTTTCGCTCATTAATAACGCATTTTCTTGCAGTTTGTGGTTCAATTCATTAATAGCAGCCGTGTGTTGCGACTCTAATTCGTTTTGCATTAAATTTGCTCTGTCAAGTGCTTCTTTCATCTTGTTACTGTCGTTGAGTAAATGGGCTGCTGTAGAGGTAGCTTCATCCAATTCTCTGGTAAGTGAAGTAATTTTTTCTTCATATTCAGATTGTTGCTTCTTCAATGCAGACCCTAATTCGGAATAAGATTTTTCTTGAAGATCTTTGTTCTTTTTGAGCAGTATCAAATCTTGTTGAAGTTTACCCATCTCCATAATCTTTTCTTCTAAGGTAGAGCTCTTTTTTGTAATTTCTGTTCGTAGATCTTCAATGACAATGCATTCTGATTTAAGACTGTAGATAATTTGATCTTTTTCTTCAATTTCTTTCTCTTTCATTTGAATTTCCAGTCTATACTTCTCGACAATATGTGTCAAGCGCATGTTTTCTTGTTCGTGCTTTGAAATTTCACCGGTCAATCTCTCGTTCTGTTCTTCCAACGTATGTTTAACATTTGATAATTCCGATTCCTGAACTTGTAATTTTGATTTAAGATCATCCATTAGCTGAAGTGTGTGATCGTACTGTTGTTTAGTGTCCTGTAAATGCTTTTCAAGCTTTTCAGTATCGACACTTTTAGATTTCAATTCGCTTCTTGCTACAGATAGATCTTTCAAAGCATGATTCAATGATTCCTTGAGATTCTTGTTTTCGCTCTCAAATATTTTGTTGTCTGTTTCCAATTCACTCTTCTCTACGTTGAGAGTGTTGAGTTCCGACCAAATTTTGTTATATTCCATAGATTTGTTTGTTATTTCGGTTTGAAGTTTAGAAATTTCTTTCTGCATGGATAACACTACTGCAGTATGCTGTTCGATCTGTGATAGTAGTTGCTTTCTGACGTTGTTAACTTCATTCTTAAGTTTTGAGACAGTTAACGTATCATCTTCAACTTTTGACATTAGTTGCAGCTTGTCAAACTCCAATGATGAAATGACTTGTGAAGCAGAATTATTTTCCTGTCTCAACTTGTTGACTTCTTGCGACATTTGTGAAAGGTCCTTCTCCAACTGTTTGTTAGATTCTTTCCATTTTGCATCTCTCTGCAAGCACTCTCTCGTATAATCTTTGATCTGTTTTTCTTGATCTCTATTCTTTTTTTCCAAGTCTTGTTTTTCATTTTCCAATCGTTCTAAACGATCTTTAGTGAACTGCATAGCACGTTTGTTTTCCTGTAGAGAAATTGTCGCCTCATTCAGTAGCGTGTTCTTGTCTTCTAGTTGTTGCTTGAGAGTTGAAACTTTTGCCTCATTTTCTTTGTGGTTTTCGATTACCGTTTTCATATCATGATGTAGTTTAGTACTCTCCTTTTTAGATTGAGCAAGTTGAGCAGAGGTTTGATTCATTTGCGAAACAAGGTACACCATTATGAAGAAAGCTCCAACGACTGCACCCACAAGAGGCATCGATAGCTTGGTGTTTGCCTTCAATATCAAAGCCTCGAAGATGAGGTCCGAAATTCCCTTGGCGTGGTTCGAATACAATTCATGGAAAACGTTTTTGGCCTCAGGACCACAAGGATCGAGCTTTTGTTGAATAAAGTTTTGCAAAGATTGAGTTTGTTCAAAGTGAGTTTTGATTGCTTTTTGGGCGTACAAGCATGAAACAACGGTCTTTCTGCAATTCAGAGAAAGAGCGTCGAAATGATTCGTAACTTTGACTCTCTCGTCCAAATCCCAATCAAAAGAGGATTCATCAAATCCTCCTTCCTCAATTGTACTGCTCTTCATTGGTTCTGGCACTTTCAAGCCATAGAGAAGTGCAAATTCTCTGATATTTTGTCGTTGAATAAGGCTCCGAACAAGTTTTTGAGCATGGAATGAGGCTTCATCCGATGATTCATTTGCTTGGACTATTAAGCATACTTGGCCTACCAATACTAATGTCATTAAGAGAATAGTGAAAGCCTTAAAATTGCCATGAATGTTTGTGTTTCTCATCAAGGCTTTCATTTTGATTCCAACCACTAATAACGGATTCCTTCCAAAATCGATTGAATTAATTTTTTTCTCTTCAAAATTATTAATCATCACACAGCAAGTAATTGCGTAATACACGACATGAAATGTATGAGATATATAAATGGCTTCCCTATGTACTGTAGTTAAATAAATTCAATATTAACGGAGTGCGCTTGAGTTCGTGGTGTCGGCGTGGAGAGAGTAATCACAGTGGTACCATGTCGTGAATCATCATGACCCTCTGAAATAGCTATCAACACTTCTTCACCTTGATGTCTTTCACCAATGTGAGCACCTTCATGATGCAATTTCGTCGTATTAAGGGTAGGTATTAAATTCGTGGTACTTGAAGGTGTCGATGAAGCGGGTGATGAAACAACATTTGGTGGAATTTGATTCTTGGAGAGTTTCACCAATTTGGAGACGACGTCAGATGTCTTCTTATTGCCTCGAGGAGCGTCCAAGACATCTAAATCTTCATTCACGTTGTGATCTGATAGAATACCCATTGGAGTGTGATGACGTTGATTGTGAGGATTGGAGCCACTTAATATCATGTCCTCATGATCTAATACGACTTCTTCTTCTTCTTCATGTCGATGATGATGGAGTTGTGGATGCAATGCTGCTGGACTCGAAGTTAATGAGCTCGGAGGTGTCACAGTATTGGCTGTTGCAATCGAAGTGTTTCCTGTTGTATAGACCACTGTTGGATATTGCTGATGAGGTGAATCCATGATGGTATCCAATTCAATGGCTGTATTAACCAACGCAGCAACTGAATTTTTCAATAGAGCATTCATCTTTTGAGTGTTTCTTCGTGTGAAACGAATCTTCTTTAAACGTTTCGTGAGAATTTTCAATCGAATTGTTGTGGCCAACCAATAGCAAAAGAATGACAAACAAAAGACAAGGAAAAGTCCAAATGAATAAACAATGATTGCGAACCATGGATTTCTGTAATAGTCAATCACATCGTAGGGCCAAATGTTGACCCATCTTGCTTCCATGTTCGTTTGAATCCAAATCAAGTAAATTGTGGGATAGATCATTAAGATAAATAAGTGCCAAATTCTGAAAACAACATTCGACATTAAAAATTCAATCAAATTGAAAATCATTTGTAAACCGTGATATCCAAAGGTACTGAGTTGTGTTTGATTGTGAATGACAATGATCGTAAAAATGTTGTAAAATCGTGTGTTGTGAAAATATTTACAATTCCATGTGATATTACCAAATTAAGTATTCTAACACAAACACACAACGCCACCACTTACAAATACGAAAGTACATCAGGATCTGTCGTCACCTTTCCATTAATTGCATACTGTGGAATCACAATAATCCAATATCCAAATGCCACCAATGTGGCAGCCACATGATTCAATTCTGCAAACAACCAAATCACAGTCGAAATAAAAGTAAATATCTTTCGAACCCAAACATTCAATTCTTCCACATTTCGTTTGGCCTTTCCTGTTTTTTTCGAATCATTGAAAAATTTGTAACACGTCGTAATGTAAAACAATCCAAACACAGATTGCAACACATAATACATGGCAAACACAAACGCTGAAGTATTGGTAAGAAATGAAAAGTAGGTGAGAAATGGTTTGGGTCGGAAATAGGCCACATCCACACACATCATAATGACCATCCATAAAGCGAGAATGACTCGATAAATGTAGAGGAGGATGGTGAGAGGTCGTTTGAAGGCAAATCCTTCGAACACAAATTGAGAGGGATCGTGAAGTCTGTTGTTGTTGTGATGTCAATATGATGTTCATGTAACCATATCATTATTATAGTGAAATAAGTGAGACAATTGTCCATCGGAAAGAGCCCAACATTCCCAATTTTGCAAATTTTTGAAACATTGTTTTTCAAATTCCAAAATAGTCATGTTTCAAACCACACCATCATCATGAGTTGTAATAATAACAACAACAATGTATAAGAAACCCAAACACAAAACTCACCTATTATAAATCAACTTTTTATCCTCTGCTTCCAATTCCGTGTCGTTGGCAAATTTCGGCAGAGGTATTGAATTCGGATCTTTGCCCAATCGGAATGTCATTTGTCGTTGTTTTAAATATTCATTGGTGATTGTCTTTTTTGCTTTGAAATGAAAACCTTTGGTCAATAACACAACTACTGCGCCAGCAACTATGAAGGCTAATGTGGTGGCATTGCTCGAGATGGCCAAACTCGGAATAATGTTAAAGATGTTTCTATCATCGCCCAAGAATGGAGTGGTCATGTTGGACAAGTTGTGGGGTCTGTAAGGACTTGTTTTGATCGTGGTGTTACTGTTATTGTTTTGGAATCCGAGTGAACGAGTGCAGTGGCAAATTGACAAGTGGCAGGTGTGATCAAACACTGTGGCAAGGTTGTGCTTATTTTGTTTGTGATTTTGAAAAGAGATGAAGAAGCGCGGATTCGAAAAAACTTTAATAGAACGCAACACAAACCAGATTGGCATTTCCTGCCTATAGAAAGGTAACAAACTAAAACAGAACAAAATATCTGGCCGTGTGAATCGCTTCTACGATTAGTGTCAAAAAATCACAAACGCACAACATCTTCTTGAATCAAAGTTAAATAAATGTCCTCAATAAATAGTTAATGAAGACAATCACTTTACAAAAAATTTGACAACCATCCGAACACACAAAATTCTTTCATCAAATGAAAAATCGATCGTTTACTCCGGAGCAAGTCCAACAATATATCGGAGCCTTCTCACAATTTGATACAGAAGGGGATGGTTCCATAGATGTAAGACAAGTGGGCCAATTAATGTTGTTGATTGGATTAACGCCTTCCGAAGAAGAAATAACGAAAATTATGAATGAAATTGAACAGGAGAATGGAGATTTAATTCAAAGGAAGAGAATTGAAGAAGCACAAATGAATGAACAGGAAATGGAAGAGCCAACGATCCGTATGGGATTTATTGATTTTCTAAATAAGCTTGAGGAATTTAAAAAGATTCATCCCGAACAATTTATAACTGTTGATATGAAAGATGAATAATACAATCATATAATTATATTAATATATATACTACATTACAAAATTTGAATGTTAATATTAATAATAATATTCATTGATTTGAAACTAGTTAACTAGTTAATTGAAACCGATCATGATCTAGTAAACTCACCTTGGTCAAGATGAGAAGTGAAATCGCCAACCATTTTCAATTTTAGGCTCACACCATGTGTTGAAGATCAGCAACTTTTGAAATTGGGTGTTGACCATATTTACACATTATCTATTTTTCCTTTTGAACAATTTGATTTAGAATTTTTCCAGAAAGGCACTTGATATGCATTGCTTGCTAACAACGGAAATCTTCTAATTTCATGGATGACGAGGTTTGCTTTAAAGAGATTGCGTTATTATGTTCCTTCACTCTCCAGAAATCAAAACAAAATTCAAACACATTCCTCTCACCACTATGAACACCCTTACCTCGCTCTTCCTTATCTGTTTCCTCCTCATTGTTGCATTCCAACATGTGGAATGCTCGACAGAAGGTGCCGATACCTATCTTCCAAGAACGGCCGTTGCTGTTCCTCTCACATACGCAGCAGCTCCAATCACGTATGCTGCTCCTCTTGCCTATGCTCCACCACCTGTAACCTATGCAGCTCCCGTTGCCTATGCACCACCGTGTCCACCTCCAGTAGCTGCTCCATTGCCAGCTCCTGTCACTTATGCAGCTCCTTATGCTTATGGAGGAGTGTATGCAGCACCTTATGCCGCACCGTATGCAGCACCGTATGCAGCTCCTTATGTAGCACCTTATGCAGCACCTGCTGTGGCAGCAACTCCAGTGATTGTTGCAACGGCAGCAAAACCATGTTAAAAACAAACCCCATAGATTGTGACACTATCCAGTGCTGCTTATTGCTTCTTCAATTTTTAATTGAAATTTCAACAAGTGACCACACCAAATTTTTCACCATGTTGTTGAGACAATTCTTTGAAAAGACAGCTTATATATTGTCTGTTTGTGAATAAAAGTATGATGTGTTTTTAAAATATTTACCTTAATGGAATGATCTTGTTGTTAATACATTTTCAACAAAAAATGAGCGAATTTCAAAGAGAGGAGTTTTTTTCGGCGTCTCCCAATGAAAGGATTTCGGAGCACCATTCATCTGGAGAGAAAGCAATGAATAATTTTCCCGAATTATTTTCATCATCTACTCCTTCACTGATGATGAATGATTTTGAAGCAATTCTCGGATCGGAGGAATTTCATGATGAACCACAGCAACCACATCAGGAAGAATATTCTAACGAACCCATCATGAGTACTAACCTTCATGAATACGACGTAGAAGGTTTTCATCCAATCTCTTGTGCATTCTGTAGAAAAAATCATCGTAAATGTGATCGTAAAAAACCATCCTGTACCAATTGCATAAAAAAGGGAGTCGCATGTGTTTATTCGGATCCAAGAAAGAAAGGACGCAAGAAAAAGAATGAAAAAAACCAAAATAAGGAAGCATCCTCCCATTCCATGAATGAAATGCATTCCAATCAAATAGATGGATCTCCACACGCTACTACCTCAAAAAAAGATGAGGTATATTCGAAACAACACATTTCTGAACCGTATGATACGAGTATGGTTAGGATCGATGATTCTTATTATAGTATAGTGGCGCTTAAAAGAGCAACTATAGATATGTGTACATTGATGTGAGTTTTTTCTTTTAATTCTATACCATTTACCAATAGTGAATGTGACATTAGAGACTCTCCAATATCCAAGATTGAATTAGAAAGGTTATTTATTCAAGCTGAATCTGATACTAATTGTACAAACGATATTAAGGCTGTATTATTTGCTGTGCAAGCAGTGGTAGAACAACGAATAGGACTCAAAGATTCCTCAAAACTTTCATTTAAAAGAGCTCGTGAATTAATTCAACCATATTTTGACGAATTTGACAATTTTTATGTTGGATGTACCTATTTATTTCTTGGAATGTTTGAAGTGGCAAATGGTGCTTACAAACGGGCACAGTTTTATTCCAACATTTTAGGTTTCTTCGTCAATCAAGTGAGACAGCTCGAGTCAAAAAATCTTCCAATTCAACCACGAATGAAAAAGCTTATGCAAGTTGCAAACTTTTTACAGATGAGTTTAGAAACATCGAGTGAAATTGATGTTGAAAATCCTTTGGCCATTGCTAAATTGTTTCCCAATATGGTGTTTGCTGCAACTGGAATGCAAGAACTGTCAAAGCTTACAGAAAAACTTGCAAAGCTTGAAAAAGACAAATTGGATGAATATTTTACTGTCATTGATATGGTCACGCAAATTGTACATGAACACATGAAAATGCAAGACGAGGCTGGTGACAAGAGGCCTGTACTGGACATGATGCGAGTCATTGTCAGTAATGGTATGAAACTGGCAGCTATTTTGACTGTAGACTCGAATAATTTGGAACAGATCATGCTTTACTCTTCGAACATTACAAAACTCACAGAGAGTGAATATTTTTTTTTGATTCCGTCTGCTTCAATTTCACACATTGCTCATGCATCCAAGCAGCACTTGAGAGCTCTCTCAATGCTTAAATTAGGATTTGTTCCTCCATCGGTGCTTGAGAGTTATGACATCAAAGCGTTGATCTTTCAAGATTTAAGAGCTCTCAACATTTTGAAAGGACGATTCGACAGAGTGGAAAAATATTATTCGAGTCTCTTGAATGAACTCGAAATTGTTGTGAAAGAGATGTATACTGAACAACAAGAGCCGACGCTGCCAGAGTTTAATGTTGATGATTTTAGTGATTTTTTGGCGTAAGATTGGTTCACAAGAAAATTAATGGCTTTATTATTGTTCGAGGAAACAAGCATAGTCAAACTGCACCGTGAAGCGGTAGGAATTCCATCACTATCTTGCTGGCGGTATTAAGTGTCTCCTTGTAAATCGGGTTGCCTGTTTGAACTGGATGTGACATTGTTGGTAATGGTAGCAGTTTGCACTGTTTGAGAGGTTTCATGAGATTGCAATGGTTGTCTTGGCATTTTGTTTTTCATGAACATCAGTTAAAAGATTTACAATTACGTCGCACAAAGTAAAATAACAAAAAATTTGGTTTTATTGTAATTCCTTGAAAAAGTCGTTGCCCTTATTGTCAACCACAATGAAAGCAGGGAAGTCCTTGACTTCAATCTTCCAAATTGCCTCCATTCCTAACTCTGGGTATTCCAAAACTTCAACCTTCTTAATGTTGTTAGCAGCCAAAATTGCAGCTGGACCACCAATGGATCCCAAATAAAATCCTCCATACTTGGAGCATGCTTGTGTCACTTCACGACTTCTGTTACCCTTAGCAAGTGTGATCAAGCTTCCGCCGTTTTGTTGGAATAAATCAACATATGAATCCATTCTACCTGCAGTTGTTGGACCGAAAGAACCTGAAGCATAACCTTCTGGAGTCTTTGCAGGACCAGCATAATAAATAATATGATTCTTAATATAATCAGGTAAACCTTCACCTCTGTCTAAACGTTCCTTCAATTTAGCGTGAGCAATGTCACGGGCAACAATGAGTGGACCACTCAATGAAAGACGTGTCTTGATTGGATACTGGGAGAGAATGCTCAAAATTTCTTTCATTGGTCTATTCAAATCAATTTCTACCACATGTTCACTCAAATCCTTTTCTTCAACTTCTGGAAGATATTGAGCTGGGTCAGTTTCTAATTGTTCCAAAAAGATACCATCCTTTGTAATTTTACCCTTAACTTGTCGATCAGCAGAGCATGAAACACCAATACCCACTGGACAGGAGGCACCATGACGAGGTAAACGAATCACTCTGATGTCGTGACAGAAATATTTTCCTCCAAATTGAGCTCCAATACCCATCTTTTGGGTGAGCTTCAAAATTTCCTTCTCCAATTCAACATCACGGAATGCTCTTCCTCCTGGACTGCCTGTTGTTGGCAACTCATCATAATATTTAGTACTAGCCAATTTCACAGTCTTCAAGGTAAGCTCTGCACTCAATCCTCCAATCACGATTGCCAAGTGATAAGGTGGGCATGCAGAAGTACCAATGGATTTAATTTTGTCTTCCAAAAACTTCATCAATGAATTTGGATTCAACAATGCCTTTGTTTGTTGATACAAGTATGTCTTGTTGGCACTACCTCCTCCCTTTGCAATGAACAAAAACTTGTACTCATCACCATCGGTAGCAAACAAGTCAACTTGTGCAGGCAAGTTACAACCAGTGTTCTTCTCCTCATACATGGTGAGTGGTGCAACTTGTGAATAACGCAAATATTGTTGAGTATATGTCTTGAATACTCCTTCAGAAATGTGCTTTTCATCTTGACCATCCGTCCAAACATATTGTCCCTTCTTACCCATCACAATGGCAGTACCAGTATCTTGGCAACCAGGAAGCTTTCTTCCAGAAGCAATCACAGCATTCTTCAAAAGAGTCTTGGCAACAAATCTATCATTGTCCGAAGCCTCGGGATCCTTCAAAATGTTTGAGAGTTGCTTCAAGTGAGCTGGACGCAACAAGTATTGAATATCGGAAATGGCCGTCTGAGTAATGGCGGTTAATGCTTGTGGATCTACTTTCAAAATTTCTCTCGTCTCGCCAGACTTTTCATCTCTCACTTTAAGAGTTGAAACGTAATCTTTGGTAACTAATCGGTATTCGGTTTCATCCTCTCCAAGTTGGAATAAATCTTCGTACTTGAAATTAGGTCCTGTTGAATAACATGCTGAATTGGTAGCTCCAACTGCTGTTCTCATCATCAACAAGGATGACAAGGATTTGTTTTGAGTGGAAAGTGAACGGAGGAGAGTCTTTGCGGATGATGATTGACGAAGCATTTTTTTTGATTTTTTTTAAATTATTATTCTCGGAGAATAATTCACTTATCCAAATTTCAAGTTTGTCCTACTGATCATTTTCATTAACTCAAAAAGTGAGAGAGTTCTTGTCCTGCAAGGAATGTATCCATTTCTTAGTTTATAACTCATTTAAAATCTTTTGACACAAATTAGCTTTCATCGTTGAAAATCGTCGAGTGGCTGCCAATTCTTTTTCAAATTGAGAAAATGAATAACATGAATTCTTTTCACATTGAGCTCCAAAATATCCATCGTTGCATACACAAGTGTTATTTGCAACACACGTTCCTCTTCCATTGCAAACGTCAGGTTTTGTTGAAAGTTTTCCATAACATTTAGGTAAGGCCACAGAACAATTCGCACCTACAAATCCTTCAGAACATTGACAAGTGTCCACAAAGGTACAATTTCCGGCTCCTGAACACACGTTGGATTCATTTCGTAAAATTCCAAAGCAGCTATAGATTCCACAATCCTCTCCAGTGATGGCATGATGTTTACAACGACAAGTGTCAGGTGCCACACAAAATCCTAGTGAATTACAAACCGAGTCGTCGGTGGCGTTCTTAGAGAAACATGTCCATTCGGTTCCTAGTACTGAAATACCATGTCGAAAACCAGTGGCAATGGCATAGGGAATAGCACCGTGTAGTTGTTTTGAAAATGTCAGAGTTGGAGTATCAGAAATCTGACTTTCAAGTGTTGGACTAACTTCAAAATATTCATTCATACCCTTTCCATAGACACTTCCTTTTCGTGTCATTAAATGAACGTCGAAATTATTACTAGTAGATCTTACATCTTCATTTCTGTAGCAAGAAATATCAATCACAGAATCTGTTGGATCCGTCAGATTCAATACTTGTGAAGTACCTCCCAAATATACCATTGCAACTCCATCGTCTGATAATAATACTGCATAATCATAACAAACGACCTTAATAATTCGTTTAGAATCAATGATTCCACCTTGTAATTGTACAAAATAAGGAATTGGATCTTCGGTGGTTGCATTGGTCAATCGACGTCCAGTATTAGATCCAGCTCCAAATACTTTTCCACTCGACGAAACTATATACGAAACTTCATTACATGCTGCAAAATCAATAATGGAATCTGAGCCTAAAATTGAGGTGTTCAAAAATGTAAACGTTGTGACAGGACTTGTTGAGCTCGCCAAATTTCCCTTATCATTCTTTCCAGCTCCAATCAATGTTCCATTACTAAGCAAGATGAGAGAAAAACCAATACCTGCAGAAATTCGTTTGGCTTTCCAATCGACATGATCTTGTAACAATGCAAAAGGGGACAAGTTATCTGCTGGATTCACTCCAAATTGATACGAATTGCTGTCACCCCAACCAATTACTGTTCCTTGATCGGTCAATGCAAGCGCATGAGCTTTCATATAGCTCACATCGACAATATTTTCCACAGTATTCAAAGAAGAATATTGATCGTCCGAAGGTGAAGTCACAGTTGGTTCCATTCCCAAACTCAACTTGTTGGGACAAGCTCCCCAAACATGCAGCGACGATTTTGTGGAATTTGGTTTGATCACGAGAGCATAATTACATTCTTCTCCACTTCGAACAATGACTTTGCTCAATGGAGTCGACTCTGTGCTATTCATAAAAGGTCGATAGGGAGTCGGTGGATTTTGACTGATGGGTTGTGCATATTGAATTTGTAGATAATCATCAAAACAATTGCGTCCTCTATAATTTTCACCCCAAGTAAATACTTGTTGATTGGATAAAAAAGCAATTCCTCCTTCCCTTAATAACTTGAAATGAACCACATCTGTTGGTAAATTAGGAACGACAGCAAGGGTTGACAATTGCTCTGTTCCTTGTTGAGGCGATGCTCCAAATGAGAAAATCTTTCCACTAATCAAACAAGCAGTGGCTCCTTTTGCAGCACTGCATTCTTTTAACTCGGGTGAAGAAATTGACGCTGAGGCAGCAGCGTTGTAAAAAGCTTCGGTAAGGTTATACGGTAAAATTTGAGTTCCTTCTCCAATAATGGTTGTTTCATAATTTTCATCAGATCCCCATGTGTAAATTTGACCATTTTTCGTCCATGCCACAACATGGGAGTGCATAATATCAGCTCCAACAAAAGGTCCAGTCACATCATAATCCAATGCAATGAGTTGAGGTATGACCACAATGGTTTCCTTGGTCGTTTCAGAAATTCCAAGTCCTAGACCTCCGTTTTGATTGCTTCCCCATGTGAATAAATGACCTGTGGAATTGATGGCCAAAGCAATGTGAGATTGTGAGTCGTCATTGGAACCAACGACAATTTTAGAGATGTTTCTTAAGGTTGGAATTAAGTTAGGGGTTGCTGAAATGTTTTCGAAACTATGTCCTCGAATGCCCGTGTTATTTCCTCCCCATGAAAACACAAAACCGTCACTTGTCAATGCAAAGTAAGTTTCATCTCCAAAATTACCTGCTTCATCAATTTGAGTAATATTCACAGGAATTTCAGCCAAAGTATCAGGATGAATCATAGTTGCAGGTATGTCAGTCACTTGAGTCCAAGCTCTCGAATACAAGGCATGAATGAACACTTTGCCGTCACTTGTCAATGCAAGGCAAGTGAACCAACACGTAAGCTGAACTACTTTTTCATTCCTCAAAGGATTAATTGCCAATAAACTATCGTTACTGAATGTATAAATAGGAGCCATAGGAGAAACACCATAGGGAGGCACATAATAATATCCAAGTTGACTATATACAACATAATAACAATCATCAATTCACAACACTTGAATAAAAAACCTACTTGTTTCCGTTATCACCACAGCCCAAAATAGTTTCATTCACATAAGCACCCAAAGAATTGAAATAATGCACTAGAACCATCTTGAACGAATATCCATCGGCAACCATCACTGGATTTGCATGAATATCCAACGCTCCATGCGTAGGGTTATAAGAATACGTATTGTTGAATGCCAATTGTTCAAACCGTTTATTCCTGATGGGCTTTGTCGACGTGGGAATGTAGGGATATCCGCATCTGTTATTTTCGTTGAAACCCCACACGACAATTTGAGAGGTGGGATACCAGAGAGTGTTGTTGTTGATGGATTGCGAAGAAACTGCGGGAGAGTTTAGCAGGATGATCATCAACAAAAGCAGCGAAGATGAGAAGGATATAAGAATGTTGCGTTGTTGTTGAGTTCTAAACAACCACGTGGTTGGTGTGGATGATGTTTGTGAGGTCATGATGGTGTTGAAAAGTGACATCATGATATTTTTTGTGTGTGTATGTGACCCGCTCAAGTTCACATTTTGATCAAACAATTGATGTTCCAACTCTCAGGTTTCTTGTCACTTACTTTGACTGAATACTGGCACCAAGAGGTGTCTGCAGATCACCAGCACTAGTTGGTGTAAAGAGCTGCGGCTCATCATCAGCAGCCACTCTTGGAGATAAGTTAATTTCCACAACTACATCATCAGGTAAAGTGTATTGGGTCCATTCCGATTGATATTGAGAATCTTCACATTTTTGCTTCCTTAACAAATTTCTGAAATTCTTTCGATGTCCGCATAAAAAGAGAATATCTGTCGTTTGTAAACACACCGTGAGAGATGGATTGGTATAAATGTATCGTTGTTGTTCACCAAATTTAAGTCTGCTGATGGCCAGAAGAACGAGGTCATGCTCAAAACATGCATTCGCTGTTTGATCAACTGGAATCAATACTACATGTAAATTAAAACTATCACATACCTAGATCTGCAACTGTCAAGTTGGAAAAAACTGAGGGCAAAGGCACTTCAAAAATAACGGATTGGTTGTCTCCAGCCACAAATTCATCAGCACACATTTGGTCAACCAAATCAACAATTTTCTTGTTGTGGAAAGATTGTGCCAAAACCTTACTAAGGAATGACGAAGAAGGAAATATTTTGCCTGAATATTTTCGTAATTATAATATGATGACAATTTGTAAATTAAGGTGTGTCATACATACCAGAAATATAAAAATCTGAAAATAAGCAAAATTGATCAAATTCGTCAATATCGTAATCCAATAACCCTCTATCTCTCAAAAATCTCACTTTTTGATAAGTAGGAATGCCTGCATGCTGGAAGAATTTCAAGTTAGATCTGTTCACTAATTCGATTAAGTGGTTTTTCTCTGGGTCCATGACAGCGATACTCAGTGCCAATTTAATAGCCTCAGAGTCAACTGTGTATTCGTTTTCGGCGCTTGTGGCATCCTCTGAATTGTCAAATCCACCGAGTTCCATTAAGGCTTGATCTTGTGTAAAGTACATCACCGATTTGGCAACAGAAAAACCTGCTCGTCTTAAATCATGGCTTTTCATTGGATTACCAGAAAGAAAGTAAACTCCAGAAAAATGTTTCAACCGTTCGTATAAATAATTAAAATACTTGTCTACCAAATGTGTCATAAATACTATGGGTGTAAACCTGTTCTTTCTCTGCAAAGATCTAACAATAGAGCAGATAATCAATGGCTGCTTAAATTCTCCTAACACCAAAATATGATCCTTAATTGCAAATGGAACTTTAAAACTTGAGATTAGAAATTCTTCTTTTGGTCTTGGATTTGTTGTCATGTTATAACTTTTCATGATACTAGCATAAAAATCTTTTTCTGCTTCTTCAAGTGCTTGACCAGTAAGATTTTCTCTAAGAGACTTCAACATCATTCTCTTCTCTATAAAGTAAGGTTCAGGGGAAATGAGTTTGAGTAAAATTTCCAAATGAAGCGTATTGACTTCTTCAGTTTCTTCATGCTTTCCTCTGAGCAAATAAATATCTGCGCTATGTTTGGTGGTAGAAGTTGTAGATCTACTTCGAGATTTTTTGACATTGTTCTTTGGCTCTCTCCTAACAGAAAATGTTTTTGAAAGTCTTTTCTGTTCCTTGGAGTCTGTTCTTGATGTGTTGGGTGATAGAGTTGCAACTTTCTTTTGCTCTTCTTCTAGCTCCATAATTTCCAGTTCTCCTTTGGTTTTCTCGTCGTTACTAACCTGTTCCGATCTGATGTATTCTGAAAATTTGGAATTGAAGCATTCCAAATCAATAATATCTTCTTTCTTTGGTACAATAGTAGACACTTCAAAGTTTTGAAGTTTTCTCCTCTTGTTGAAATGGAGAGAGAGTTCTTCAGTAAACTTGAATTCCTCAACTTGCTTGGCATGTTCAATGTCTCGAGCGATACAAAAGCATTTATCCTCTTCTCGAATGACATATCTGGAAGGATTTAAATAAATTCTACCATTAGCTCCATCTTCGATAGCAAATACAATGATTTCTAACTTTGTAAATAGCAACTCAGCAACCTCAATGAAAAGCTTGTTCGAGAATACAGTACTGAATTGAACTCGATAGATTTCACAATTTAGACCCTCCGAATATTCAACCAGCCACTTGATGTCATGTTCAATAGAGGAATGGTCCTTAACTGTGTTCATATTCAATTTAAAGTCGTTGCCCGTCAATAGACCTTTTGGAATGTTGTCTTTGGAAATGGAAACATCAGCTCCGCTTAATAAATTAAACAAAAAACAGCAAAAACCAGCCGAGTTAACAGAGGCAGAGAGCACTTTGGAGCATAAAACGTCATTGCAAACCACAATATTTGCTCCTGCCTTGATGGCATAATGTCGCGATTCGATGAGGTTGATTTGAGCATAAACCTTCAAATTTTGATTAAAGTTTTTGAGCGCAATAGTGGTCATGATCACTGATGTGTCTTCTTTTCTTGCATTGCCCATCTTTGGACTGTTCAACAAGAATACACTATGAGCTTGGGAAATTTTCAACAGGTTCAGCATGTCATAATTCATAATATCACCACAAAGAACATGAATCTTGTTTTTAAAATTGCATTTTCTCAAACTCTCCTTCAATTGGTCACAAAACTCTCGTTGTTTGAATAGCACTAAAAAATGTGCTTGTAATCTATCACAAACAAGATTTAAAATTAGTTCACTTACAAATAATTTTTTTGACTTTCTTGCTCTTGTATTGAAAGCACTCTTACCATTTTCAAGATTAAATCGATGACCGATCATTAAAAACTTACCTTTGATGAAATCTACAACTTCGTCCACTCTACATTTTCCTGTTACAACTGCATGATTTTTAAGTGTTGGGTTCTTAACCTTAAAAACACTCTTTTCACTGGTTATGAGTTCGTAAATTCCTGATATTTGTAGTGGAATTAGAGAAACGCCGATCACGAAGAATATAATTACAGCAAATCTCGATGGTACAGTTGTGGGCGACTATGAAAGGTGATGTCAACAATGATTGACGCCATAACAACAGTACTTACAATATCTCCGTATCCAATTGTAAATATTGTGATGGCAATGAAATATAACGCATCGTGAAAATAAATATCCTTGTTTCCAAAAAACTTTTCCATCCATTGAAAGATGCCAGTGAAAATTACCAGCAAACACAACACGGTAAAAGCTAGCTCACTAACTTTGGCCAGTACAGAATTAATATCTCCCTTTGAAGCAACCTTCTGAACGAGTGGAATTAGTCTCAACAATCTCAACACTCTTAATAGACCTACAAATGCATACAGACTGTCAACATCAATGGAAGGATTGAATGAAATTATTGAAATGGTTAGAGAAGGAATGACAGTGACATAGTCGAGTATTGAAAGTGGTTTGAAGAAGTACTTGATTCTGCATAGGGTCAGCAAAGTATTGTTGTTTCACAAAATGATCTTAATTTGCTACAACACTTACTTGTCCTTAGCTAATAGAAAGTTGATGACAAAAAACACAATAAATAAACTCGAAAAGATCAAATCCACAACACGCAGTGACAATAGACTTCCATCAATATCCATTTGAATGTATGAAGAAATGATGAAAAAAGCTGCTGACAACACACTCAACACAGTTTGAAACACCTCCATATCAAAAGTAAAACTCGAGAGTATTTGCTTCCAATTGACTTTCTTCGAACCAAAGATGTGATTGGCTCTTTCATGTTCCTCAGATTCATTGAATACATTCCGTTTGATGATTTGCTCCATGTCTAATATGACCTTTGCATTTCCTCGGTGGTGGTCAAACTGAACTTTGAAATCATTCTTTGCTCTAACTGTTGCTTCCCTGGTGGTAGCATCCTCCTGTTGTTGGACATTGTAGACTTCAGAGGTCTGAGTGGTCATAGCCTTGTCATTGGAATTGGATTCTTCTGCAAAGCCTTGTAGTTCAAAATCCTTCGGGAATGATGTTGGAGGGAGTGTGTAGCCAGTCATGACCGCTGGCTCACTCGTTTCGCACGAAGTGTACATTCAAAGATGATTAAGAGAGGGGTGATGTATGGTACTAGAAGTTGTTGTTGTTTTTCGCCATGATGATGATGTATTAATATTACATAAACTCTTGAATGCGCCAAAGCAACAACTACGAATTACATCCTATGAATTTGATACAACCCGTACGGGTCATCACTACCAATTAGAGAGAGATAGTTCCAACATCAAATATTATCACACGGAATCTATAGTATTCATGATGATTTTATAATTAGCACAAAAATTAATGCTCATTGGTCTTGCTATCAAAATTACTCTCTCCATGATCACTTGAAATGAACCAAAAGGCATGAATAATTGATTACATCGCGATGATAGGGTGATGGAATTTTTGAAATCTGATGGGAGAAAGTATTTCTGGGATTGGAGGATTTTCATTGTAAAAATTAAAAAATTCAAACACAAAAAAAATATTCAACACCACACGCTGCTGTGTTGCAAGTTTGTGAGCGAGAGGCTTTGTTTTGAGAATCGTCGCAACCGTGTTTGAGCAGGAGGATTGTACATCTGTGTATTAATACACAACATCATCGGTATATTATCATCATTGTTAGTGTTTGAATATTTTGAGTATTTGAACATCAACAACAATTACAACAACACGCCTACCACCGATACAACAGCTTTTTCTATTTTATTATTGAAAACAAATATTCCAAAGTCTTCCTCAATCGTCATCATTACACACATTTTTGATCAGCAAAATATTTTTTAGAGAACACAACTGATCCTCAACTAATCCTTATATTACAACAACAACAACATTACCAACTAAAATCATTATTTATTAATCGTGATCGCTAAATTACCACAAATGCCATCAAGTACTGTAGATAGCCTTTCAAAATTCCTCCAAAAATTCGAATTGGGGGTTCTAAAGACCATGGCTCAGAAGGCTCTTTCTGAAACAAAACAAGATGATGTCCAAGAACTCAGCAACGATCTCATAGATTGGGCCTATGAACAAGGCATTAAGAAATTTATTGGACAACTCGACGCCTCTACTCTCAAAAAATCCATGGCAGAGGCTGGAGTGAAAGACATTGATGCAAATGGAACCAAAGAAGCTCTAGGTGAGAGATTTTTGGATGGTGTTGAGCAAGACGAGGGCGGGCCTGAAGGATTCTTGTCAAAAATGGAGATTGCCACTCTGAAAAATTTTGTGAAAATTCTGGGATTTGAAACAGACGCCAAAGATCAACAACAATATGCTGAAGACATTTCTGACGAGCTGTTACTTAACGGAACACGCATGTTATTCGATTTTGTTGACGGTGATACCTTGAAACATACTGCTAAAAAGCTGAACTTAAAAGTTCCCAAATCAGCATCGAAATCAGTGGTCCAAGATATTCTTCTGAACGAAGTATTTCCAGGTCTCAGCCCAGAAGAGGAAGAGAAACCAAAGAAAGAAAAAAAGTCTAAGAAGTCATCTGAGTCGAGCGCAAAGCAAACACGGGAAGAGATGAATGAAAAGATTAAGCGTGAAAGACCTGATCTTCCTGATTGCAAAACCTTTGATGACATTTTCCAAAATTACTGGGTTGATGAATTAAGAGATTTCTGTAAAAAAAACGACATTAAGAGTCAAGGAAATAAGAAAGATCTTATTAAGAGGATTATAGCATTCAATGAGGATCCTAATAATAAGGGCTTTACTGAAAAGAAGAGAAAACGTAAGACTGGAAAATCTTCATCTAAAAAAGAGAAGAAAGAACATACCACAACAAATGGAGATGCCAGTGCATCATCAACACCTAAGGAAGAATAATTTATTCATCACCCAACGCAACAACACCATCTCAAGTACAAATCATTGTTCCTCTCTAGTTTGTAAAGTTATGTTTCATTAAAACGTCACAAATTTAACGTTGTATTAAGTCAGAGTGGCTGCCAGTCAAAATTGTCATGTCAAACCTCAGATGACTGTTAACGAAGACCCATTCGTTTGTTTGGGGTGTCATCTCTCTTAAAAATCTCTCACATCTACAACAAAATGAATCGAAAGCTATTGAGCGAAAAAGAGCTTGCTGAATATCAGAATCTGTATGAATTTCTAATGATTGATGATTACAAACAGGAGATGCAACGAAACCACACAGCAAACAATGCAGGAGAGTATCTCATCATGACGCCTCGTCAGCAGCAAGCGTTAATACCAAACTCAGCATCTCTATCAAAGTTGCTCCAAAAACGGCTAACGGTCAAACAATTGAAAAGTTTATTCAAACGTACAGGATATGAAGTGAGTGACCGAACAATGCAAGAAATTATTCATTCCAGCAGAGCAAGGTCAAGCAGATCCTCCTCGAAAAAATCAAGACGTAATTCACGCACATCTCCCTTAACCAAGGATTTGCAGAATTTCTCTCAATGGCCAATACAAATCCACCAGGCACTCTTGTCACAAAAAATCAAGTATTGCAAGCTTTCAAAATTCTAAATGAAGATTCTGAAAATGAATGGATGGATTGTCAGGTACTAGAAAATTATTTGATGAATTTTTCGTATCATACAGAAAAAGCGTTTGAAGCTAGTCATGCAGATTATTCTCTTGAGGAGTTGTGTCACACAGACAGATCACATACCACAACTGAGTCTTCTCATAAATCGTTTCTAAGCGAGGAAGTGAGAAAGTTTTTGCAACATGATTTTTCAAAAGTCATGAGTGTGTTGGACCCCTTTGGCACTGGACAGTTTAACTATCGAAAGTTTGTTGAGATGGCTTTTTGTGATCACCGTCATGTGGATCAATAAATGTGTACGTACAGCTGATCATGTTTGTTATCAACAGAACTTCAAATATTTTGTAACAAGTCGAATTGTTACAGTAATAAATTTACACTTTTAGAAACTTTCACGAGCCGCTTCACAGCTGGAATGACGTCTTCAATTCTCTTTACGTTCAAGCCAATACATAATTCATTGATAAGTGTTTGGAATTTTGTGTAGGTTCTAATTATTAACATATTAACATTAGTTATTATTCAAGAATGATGAATAATCAGGTAAATTATCATTATCATTATAGGTAGTTCCGTATAACTGTTGAATATCTTCTAAATCTAGGAATGGTTCAAATGAATCATTTGTTTGATTTTCGTGCATGTTGAAGCCATTGACGTTGGATATGGGAGTCGTTGATGACGACTGAAAAATACCATTCAACAAGTCTTGATAACTCGTGGTCGTCATGTTTTGAGGCTGTTGCTCCTGAGGAGTGGAGTGAAAGTTCAGTTGTTGAGCTTGGTTAGAAATGAATTTGAAAAAGTCTTTTGCTGATGCCATGTTTCCCAAAGCAGAGAAGTCCATGTGGTGTTGAGATGCAAAGTGATTTTCGAGATTATTATAATTCGTTGACGCCTGTACTGCTCCAGATTGAATAGAATTATCAGCGACCAATGGTTGATGATGGTGTTGTAATAATTGTGTGGATTGGTCAGCAAAGGTTTGAGTAGCTAATCTCAACGTCGCAAATAGTTGTTTTCTTTGAAGAATTTCTTCTACTTCATCCAACAATTTTTTGTTCTGAAGTACAACCTTTTTAAATCGTTTTCCTAACAATCGTAAACCTCTCAAGTCTTTCGACAAAATATCATAGTAATCAATGGATGTTAATGTGGAATTTCCATTATTCGGAGAGCTGGTCATGTTTCTTTCACCTCGTTCAATGGACTTTACAATATGCATGTGAACTTTGGTAGCTGCAACAAGATGAGGTACAATAAATGGAGGTAACAAATTAAAGAAATTCGATTCCGTGCCCTGTGTAATCTTGAACGCACTTTCCTCAATCATGTCTCTTCCACATCCTACAGCACTAAGAATTCCAATTTTAATTCCATTGACGACAAACGTCGCGGCGTCGTTAAATATTGTGAGCATTGTTCCATCACCGGATTTACTCACGTGAATTCGTCCTAGTTGTTCCATGGATTCAATAATCTTAATTATTAGTAGATAGTTATGGATGTTTAAATGTTGCGTGACAAAAGTTTTCCATTCTGTAGGAAAAGAAATTCCTAAAAATGTTTCATAAACTTCTAACCAATCTCGTATGAGAGTCATAATACTTGAATCGTTTTTACAACCGAGTGTGATGAATTGTTGGTGTTTTTTCAAATTTTTTTGATAAATTGAAAGGTTTTGTTTTTCCTCGTCTGACATCTCATCAAAATAAAAATTCAAAAAGTGTAAATAAAATTTTGCCATTTTGAGTCGTCCACATGCAGATTCGTATCCAGCCATGAATGCATATGTACAGGCCACATAAAAATTCGAATGTTTGTTGAACATTTTGGAAAGCGCTTCATGAGCCTTTTTAAACGTTTCTTCAGCACCTTCCAGCCCCATTTGTTGTTCATAATATGCTTTCATGGCTAAAAACATGGTAAAAACCTCCTTCTTGTTATCAACAGCTAGCTCAGTATTTTCAAGGTCTTCTTCGGAATCTTTTAACTTTGAACCTGCTCGACTACTAAGATACCTCTCAAGCTCTTGTCGTTCAATGAGACGTTCAGAATTTAGAGTAAAATACAAGTCGAGAACTTTTCTCTTGTCAAGATGTTTCTCTGTGGGTTGCTGATGCATTACTCCAGCAGGATAAGGAACCCCTCCTGAACCAGCTGTCTCCAATACATGACCAGAATTCATGGTCGTATCTGAATCTTGGTTTTGAGGCTTCCATGTATTTCTACCCTTTCGTTGTGGATTTCCGTACTCACATTTCACTCCCCTAGAGATACATTTCGAACACGAAGGAAGCATTTTGTCACACTTTTTGTGAAGACGCCTACAATGAATACATGATATAGGATGAAAGCCTGTTTGTGATTGGTTCTCTTGCGAAATATCTTCGCTGGATCCAGACAAGGAGGATGAAGAAGATGTCGTATTCGTTGGTGATATGAATTGAGACGGCGGAATTTGTGAGGAAGAAGTGAAAACTATTTGATGATTGTTAGAGTCGTGATTATTATTGAAACTTCCATTCCAATGAATGTTGCTGTTTGATAATGTCGTTACATCCGATGAGATCTTTGTTATTGAAGAAGAAGTATTGATCCGTTTGGCGTTATTCATCTTTTTTAATTGTTCCAGAATCATCATACACCGAGTTGGTTGCACTCTTTCCGAGACGCTTTTCCAAAAAATCGGAAATAGTTGAAAAAGTGTTGAGGCTATTTTTTTTGTTACAGCAAGTTGTTCTCGTGCGCACTCTTTCCAGATCCAACAACAACCTTCTAAAGTGCTTGACATGAATTTCCACGCATTGAACTCCAACCAAATCCACGTTGCATTTGTAATTATTGATGAAACATTGAAAACGTTGAATTGGAATATCTTCTTTAACCTCAATGGCGGAGTCTACACAAAGCGGACCTCATCGAGCGGGCTCAAACGTTTCCCGTCAATCCAATTTTGGTTCTTCTTAAAAACACAAATTCCCCAAACCTTGAATTTTCCTTCCAACAAAAAAACATCAGAGACTCCTCACTCATACACTCTGTTGAATTACACTTTGTATCTCAAAGATGTCAATTTGGGAAATTTTGTTCGTTGCTTTCGTATTGTTGCTTGCCTATGCCATTTTCATGGCTCTCTCGACTTTTAATAATTGGAGAAAAGTAAGACACATTCCTGGATCGTGGCAACCTTTGCATTTATTTAACAAAACTCCCTTCCTGAGTCCCTATTTGTATTGGGGATGTCATGAAGCAATAGAACAACTCCGAAAAACTATTGGAGATCCCAAGACTCATACTCTTCGAATGAGTTTATGGAGTCATAATAGTGTCTCCATATGTGACAAGGATCTATTGAAGGAAGTCATGGTCATGAAATCTCATGATTTTATCAAGCAGAAAAAAATCTATGCCTTATTTAACACCTTTGGTGAGAATATTCTGTCAGCACTCGAAATTCAAGGTGATAATTGGAAAAGACATCATCGTGTTGCATCGGGTGCGTTTTCTAGTAAGAATTTGGAATACATGTCACAAGTAGCAGTCAATAGCGTCGATTTGATTCGTTCTGCTAAATGGGATAAGGACATGGAACAAGCTTTGAAATCAGGCAAAAAGGGAATTCTACTCGATGCCAATGCTGATTTCAGTGATGTCACTTTGGACGTGTTAGGAAAGGCTGGATTTGGTCTCGATTTCTCCATCTTTGATGAGGTCAATCCTGATGGAAAAGTGTTCAGACGTTCTCTCGAATTTATGTTATCCACTGGAGTCATGTGGGGATTCTTATTTACCAACTTGTATCCAGCACTATCGTTCTTGCTGCCCTATGTCAACAAGTGGACAGGCGTTGAAAAATCGGTACAAGTCGTCAGTTCCACACTCGATCGAATTATTTCAGAAAGAAGAAAAGAATTGGAATCGAACGCAAGTTCCGAATTTTCTGCCGATTCCACCGAAGAACGAAGAGATTTATTAAGTGTCATGGTCAGTGCCAATATGGAACAGAAAGGAATTCTCACCGATGAAGAATTGAAATCCGATGCATATGTATTCAGTTTGGCAGGACATGAAACCACAGCAACTGCCATGCAATGGGTGTGTTACGAGTTAGGAAAACGACCTGAAATTCAATGCAAGGCACGTGAAGAAGTGGATCGAGTCTTGGGAAAAGGAACCAATGCACGAAAACCTTATTACGATGATTACACTCGATTGCATTATGTCAATGCTGTAATTATGGAAGCTCTGCGATTACATCCACCCGTGTTGGGAGTGTTTAGAGCAGCTCGTAAAAACACCACGATTGGTCCCTATTCGATTCCAAAAGATACCACCGTGGCCATTGACATTTACTCGGCCAATCGATCGGAGAAAAATTGGGAGAAACCACTCGAATTCCTACCCGAACGATTTCCTCTCAATGCTGATGCTCAATTGAAAATTCAACACGATTTCACGTTTATTCCATTTTCAATGGGAAATCGTAAATGTATTGGATACAAATTTGCCTTAATTGAAGCTTGTATGATTTTGAGTCGATTGTTGCAATTTTATGAATTGGAATTGTTGAATGATGAATCGAATCCAAAGGATCGTGTGCATGACATTCCTGGAGTGACGGTTCGACCTGGAAATTTAAAAGTGCTTCTCAAGCCAAGAAGTGATTTGTAAAGTTCAAATCTTGACGACCTGTAAATACAATATTCAATTGCTGTGTAACACCCAAAGGTGAACTCTGTGTTGTAGAACTATGAACTTGCCGTCATGACCAAGTTTCTTTCATTCAAAAAAAAATTGGTTATTGCCTTTAGCTGTGATCGTCTCTCTCACGTGTGTTGATCAAGTCTTTCATATTTGTTTGATCTTGCAACAGTCATCTTTGATCATCATCATCATTCTAATTTATTCATCCGATCATCCTTTATTCATTCCGATCTCTTGATCTCTCTCTTATAATAGTTATCATCAACGACTCATATGGGAATGTTCAGTAAAGTAAAAGCAATCAAGGAAAGAAAGGCCAATATTTGGTCTCATGGTCCTCCTGTACCTTCATCCAATTGTTCTCCAATGCAAGGTCAGGGAGAAGCATGTGAATCCAAAAAGCAGAAACATACATGTAAAGAATCTACAATTGTACTTCCACCTCCAGTTCTATCTCCACAGCAACAAGTTTGGAGTGGCAGTGTTGCTGCAGGAGGAGTTCCAACCACTTTGAATCCAACTGTCAGTTTACCTTTGGACAAGTATTTGGAAATTCTGCAACAATTTCAACAACAACAAAAGTTTTTGGAAGAACACTTTGATGATTCTGTCATATCAGCTGATGATCAACCCTATATTGTGAGATCTATGGACATTAAAGGTAGTGAGAATCATGTTCAAAAGGCAGACGATTCAGTTCCTCTGAAGGATTTAATTGGAAAGGACGAACCAGTGGTTCACAGTTGTAAATTTGAGGTGACCTACATGGTTGACATTTTGGAGAATGTGTCCAAGAAGCAAAAAGCTATTTTGCAAAAGAACAACCTCTTGTTGAGCAAAAAGTTGTGGACTCAATGTGTTCTCTTATCCAACGTTCAACGTAGAATTGCTTTGAGAAACTGTGTGGTGAAATACTTGGGAAATGAGAGTAACGAAACTGACAAGGTAAATTGTCACGTTTCAATTGACGGCAATGATATCATTCTCCTCACTGATACTGCAGGTCTCTATGAAGTCAAATTGAACGTTGATGTCAATTATTCAAATATTGAAAGTCTTAAGAACGAGACTTCTCCAAGACAAATCTCCCTTAGTCTTCCAAACGCGGTCACTAGCAATTTTGAATTTTTGATCATGACTGAGAAGTGTCAAGTGAAAATTACCCCAGCACTCTTTTTTGAGCAGTCAAACATTTCACTCAATGATAAGACCATCACAAGAATATTCACACAACTACCCTCGTTGAGTTCTTTGAATATTGAATGGACTCCTGAGGTCACCAACAAAATTGACAAGATACTCCAAGAATCAGTTACCGAAGAGAAGGAATCCGATGAAGTTGTTAAAGTGGCTTTACCTGTATCCATCAGCTCAACTCAAAACTCGAGCTGTCTCATCGGAGAAGGTGTCATTAACACCAAGAGTAGATTTGAGTACTCGATCGTCAATGGAAGTATCACATCTTTAGAAATTGCAATCAATCCTTTTGGCCTCCCTTTCAGAATTATTTCTGTCACTGGCTCTTCCATTAAGGAATGGCACCTTGTGAGCGAGGAAAATAGTGGAGAAGGCTTGAAAGATGAACAACTCGAAGATGCTCAAACCTTTGTCAATGCAAGAAAGAAGCTTGTGGTTACCTTCTCAAGAGAGATTGAGAGCTCATACACTTTGGAAGTTACTCATGAGGCAGATATGGGTGGAACGTCTGCATTGGTAAAGACACCATCTCTCTCCACATTGAATACTGTTAGAGAGACTGGTACACTTGCCATTATTGCCAAGACTGTGATTGAAATTGTTGAAAAGTCCAGAAAATACTTGAGAAAGATTGATGTCTCCGAATTGCCACATGTCCACAAGCAATCAGGCTTTCCAATCTTGATGGGTTACAGATTCCTCGAGAATCAACACGAATTGCAATTGGATGTAATTCGTCACGCAGACGTTGCCGTTCTCTCAACAAGCGTTGATAATTGCAAGTATAGCATCACCTTATCCAGTGACAAGTTACTTCACAAAATGTCTATGAGTGTCTACAATACCACCAAACAATATCTCAGAGTGTCATTACCAAAGCAATTGGCTGGTGCAGAAGTGTGGTCCACTACAGTTGACGGCTCAACTGTTAAACCTGGTCAAGAAGTTCGTGGAGATGTCAAAACCATTCTAATTCCTCTCAACAAGAAGCAAGCAACCACAGCCATGAACATTGATTTTACCTTCACTGTTCCATCCAAAGTAATGAGTTCTTCTGGTACAATTGATGTCACCCTTGCCAAAATTGACTGTCCAATCAGCAAATTGAACTTGGCAGTGTTCTTACCAAAAGGATACAAGTATGGAGAATTTGAAGGAAATATCCAGGAAATTAAGAATTCATTCCTTACGAACACCATCTCTGACTCTGTGGTTGGTCTCAAGAGATTTGCAAAGAAAAAGCAATTCTCAAATCAAAAAATCGCTCAAGTCAGTGAGGCCTTTGAAAATGAAATTCAACAAGAGTTCTATGACAGTGGTGTGAATCCAGTCAACCTTTCCTCCTTAGACACCACAAGTGGTCAAATCAAATTCTCTTTCCAAAGAATTCTCTTATTGGAAAACGAAGCCATTGCCACTTCTGTCAAGTACAAGGAAATCACCAAATATTGGTTCCAAAGAAGAAACCTTACTGGATTCCGACCAACGACCATTATTTTCTTCTCATTGATCATTCTCTTCATTGCCATTGTAGTTTATTACAAGTTGATGCGTACCATTGTGGTTGAAGCAAGTGATTCCTCCTCACAAAACTAACTCCTCTCAATAATAAATTATTGTTTGTGAACAGAAACCCTTCCCTCAATGATCTGTTGTTGGATAGAACTCCTTACCTGACCGTTCGATTTGTGATTGCTGTTTGGCAACTTGACGTTACACGAGATGACAACTTAAATGAGACAAGCTTTTTTCTCCATCAAAAAAAAAAGTTTTAACACAACAGATTTGATTCACTTACGACAACAACAACAAAATGGGTAACGTCATTCCAGTGAACACTCTCTTCTTAGGTATTGATGGTGCTGGTAAAGTACGTACATTTGAGTATTAAATACTGGTTCATAGAATAATGTGATAAAAACGAATGACACCTGCCACTTGTCATTTCCTTTGATGTTATAATTTATTATTGTTTAAATGTGGTGATGACCTTCTGCTCGAATCATCCAACACAATTTCAAAATGGCACTTTGCGGTTTCATTGTCTCATTCCTGTCATTAGACCACCATCATCAATGTTGGTCTCAACAAATTCAAAGCTCTCAAGCAAGAGCAACGCGATAGCATCACTCCTACCATGGGTCACGATTCTAAGAGATTTGTCGTAGAAGGAGTTGAATTTATTTCATGGGATGTAAGTGATGATGATTGTTCTCTCTCTCTTAATATATATATTTCTGTTTCAACGAATTCTTTCATCATTGTGTGTGATGATTATTGTATAATATTATATATTTGAATATTTGGAAATATGTGAAATATTGAAATGATGAAACGATGGATTCTCTATTGGTAATTCATCAATGACTTGTTACGATCATCTTGTGTGTGGGAATGATGTGTGTTGTGTTGGAAATATATTTTGATGCCCCACATCAACAACAACCTTTCAAACAACAACAACAACCATCTCAAACGGTTCTGTGTGATGAACATCATCCAACCCATTGTCAATCATCATTATCCTCCTATTCACTGTTCTCCAATATATCTTGGATCCATTCACATAATGATCGATGATTTCATCATTCTTTAACTCTCAACAACAACAATTATCATCAAATCTTCTCGTCTCAATATTAATAATAATAATACCATCAACACACTCCTATTCGACCAATTGTTCTTTGAATGAACAAACAGTTCCCTGGTAAGGAACAACTCCGTTCCACGTGGAATTCCTACTATAAACACGCTCAAGTGATTGTCTTTGTTGTGGATAGTGCCGACTCGGATGAACGTTTAGAAGAAGTGAAGGAAATCCTTCAGGGAATTATTCAAAACGTACAACTTCGTGAATCATTGCTCCTCGTTTTGGCCAATAAGCAAGATTTGAATCCTCCTCGAAAATTAGATCAATTGAAAGAGTTCTTGGGTCTGAGTGGTAATTTGAGTGGATTGCGTGATCGTACATGGAAGATGCTCGGATGCTCTGCTCTGACTGGAGATGGAGTTGAAGAGGCTTTTGAATGGCTTGCAGGAGAATGTAAACGTATTGCTAAAGAACGAGAGAAGAAGGCTAAGGAGGAAAAGAAGTAAGGTATATTTATAGTTTTCATCCTCAATATACTCTCTTAATGCTGCTTGTTGCCCGAAGAGAGTTTTACTCCTCATTATATAGTGTTGAAACTCCTATCACATTGCTTTTTCGTTTTTCCAAGTCGAATAATTATTATTCAATCATTTAGAAGATGTAAATAAATGATTTCATCATGTTCATATATATGAAGGTGTTTGTATATTTCATGGTTTTTTATAGCAATTGTTCATTTTGATCTAAATCAAAGAAATGATCTCCCTCGAGTATTCTAGTAGGAAGGAAATACTAAGGTTTTTTTGGAGTTGCGGAATGTATGTTTCAAAAAAATGTTTCAAGGTCATTATGGCCCGGCTGGCTTGTTGCATCTTCTGTTTTCCGATGTTTCGTTGGTTTGGTTGATGATCTCAACCCAACTCATTGATATCACCTTTTTTATGTTTGTTTTACTTTGTAAATTTGTTTGCAAGATGCAAGTCCAGGAGTGTCCATATCCTTTTGTTTGTAGTGAATACTCAACATTGAATTTGGAATGGATACGAGCTGATGCATTGATGCCGACAAATAATTATGCAGCATTTTCTCATAGTTTGAGTGGAACGATGGTATTATCATTGATCTTGACGGTATTATATGTGATGATACAGGGAAGAGGAAAGAGATCGTTCCTGTCACTGTTCTCAATCATGTTCATGGGAGTTTTTTCTCACTGGTTACTAGATGTAGTCGTCCATCGTCCAGACATGAGTCTTTTCCCTCCTTTCACTCAAACATTGATTGGAATGGGAGCTTGGCATTATTGGTCAAGATTGTCCAATCTTCTCTTGGAATACTCATGTGTTTATATTGGACTTGCTGGAATCATTGCCACAAGAATTATGAACTCGGGCATGAAGGGAACTTCATGGAGCTTCTGGATTGCCTGTGGATTATTTACCATTGTTGCAACTGTGTTAAATTACGTAGCTCTCTATGATGATACGGCAAGGAAAATTGCTAGTACGGCTGTGGATCAAGCAGTGTTGCAACCAGATCATGCCACTCCTGTTTGTTTCTCCTACTTGATTTCAATTTCCATCTCATACTTTATGGACTCTTCACAGATGTCATTTGAGAAATCAACAGATGTGAAGATCAAAAGTAAATGATCATGAGGCTTATACCCGCCAATTTTCTACAATGTATAATTTTCATGTTAAGGCTTGTTGAGTTTCTCAAAACGTAAGGTCTCGTTTGTAATAGTTGAAAAAAATATCAACACTTCAAATACTTCTCGATTTAGCGCAGACTCAAGGATAAACGACCTTAAACTTAATTCTTCCAACTTGTAGTTGACTTGATCGCTTAACCATGTCAGACACAACTCAGGCTTGTACTCCTTTAAATCAGTACCATCATGATTCCATCATAACTCCAGAACAACCAGCGACCATGAGTAAGGCTTCACCTTGCCAATCAGACAAATCAACTCCCGTGGACTCTGCTCACGGCTCTTCACCTCATTCCACTCATGATGGCCAGAGCTGTAATCTTCAACATGATCAAGTTACTACTCCAATCAAGAAGAAAAGTCAAAGGCTTGCTATTTCTCCTTTCCAAAACACCGAGAGCAGTGATTTCAATCAAAATGAGTCTCATACCAAGCCTTGCACCAACAACAAATTGAAGGAACATTCTTCAAATAGCTCACCTCTCTTGTCTGATATTTCTCCTTCTTACTCTTCATTGGAAAGTGATGAAGCGGAATTGGACATGTTAGCCTTTACTTCTCCAATCGTAGATCCAAGAACCAATCACTTTGGAACCATTCGTGGAGGAGCTCGAATGGAAGATTGCACGTTGGAAGAGGTTGACGGTGCATTGAACCATTTACAACTTCCATCCAAAAACAATTCTTCTTCACCAGAAGGAACCTCCTCCCATGCTCTTGTTGATGAATTCACAGAGAGTGATCAATCGTCATTAACAACTAAAAGTGATGATATTTGTTTCACTCCAAGCCCACCCATGTTGAGAGAGCAACAAGCAATTCCTGAATGGAGAATTAAGGATGATAAGGAAGTAGCGTCTTCTCCTTCTGATCTGTTCTCTGCTTTTGGATCAACAAGAACTCCTGATAAAAGAAGAGTCTCCAAGATTTCACCTTCGTCTGGTACTTCTTATGGTACCATGAGCGCGAATTCGATCACTACACCAAACAAGTGCAAAGGAGCTTGGTTCAATACCGGTTCCAACAGGTCAACACCACAAGTATCAAGTTCAGACAAAAGTTTTCTGAGGTCGCCACTTTCCAAAGCTTGTGAAGAAGTGAAAACGATCAGTAGACCCATGCACGAACAATTTCCAATGGAGGTTAACAAGTTGCTTCACAAATGGACTCACTTACAAAGACATGCACCTCATGCACTCCACGTACACTGTGCTATTCTCAAGCAGAAAGCTCCTTGTCCTTCTCTAGTCACAAATGCTTCTTCATTCGATTTTGAATGCAAGTACAGACTCTTGAACCACGAGGGAGTTGTCTTGACGTCAATCGGAACAAGTAACAGCAGGGTTCGAGCAAGAAATATGGCTGCCACAAGCATGTTGATTCAGCTTTATCCAGAATTTCAGGGAGATGTGTTGCAAATCATGAAGCATTTGGATCAACAACTCAAAGAGAAGAATATTAATCTGAGAAAGATTATTACCGACGAGAATGATGTTGCACACCAAGAAGAGACATTCAAACTGATTGATGAAAAGGTCATTAAGGAAGGTTTCAACCCAACTTCTACTGTCTGCACTCGTAATGAATCTCCACATGGTGAAGGAACAAACAAATGCAGTGACACTACGAATTCACAATTGACTGCCCAAAGCCCATCCGAAAATCCTTACGGTAGAGTTGGACCATTTCCAATGTTTGACCAAGTTACTGGTCTTCCATTTCCTTTAGAGGAACCCATTAAGGTACTCAATGAAGTAATCCATTTGAAAGGTTTCAACTATCCAACATGTCGCCATAAGGAGTTTCCATCAAGCGAAGTGATCTCTGGCCAACCTGCACAACACGGCGAAGGTGAATTAGTTTTGAATCGTCTCCCTACCATTCATTCAATCATTATGGTTTTAGAAACTCACAAAGGAGTTTACTATTCGGAAGGAAAAGGATATGACGTTCGCCAAGCAAAGAGTGAATGCGCTTGGAAAATGCTAAACTATTTGTTCCCTTATCTCAATGGAAACTGGGCTCTCATTTTGAACCAAATCGAAAGATTACGGGAGCAAAAGAGAAAGGAAAAGTTGCAAAAGAGAGAATTTGGAGCTAAAAGAAAGCTTGACTTCTCCAACATGATGCCCACTGACGTAGGTTCATCTGGAGTATCAACTACTGGTCCTCCCCAAACATCAACTGGAGAAGGAAATGTGAATTTGGATGGAAAACTCAAGCAAACAAGTTCGAACTCAGCCACAGTGAGCGCACACAACCAAGTGCCTTCATGTAAGAGTTGTGCTGTCACATCCATTCCTGTCCCTCCTCAACCATTCAACAACAATGGATACCCCTTCTATTTCATTTCACCTGAGGGAATTCCATTGCAGACTCAACAACATTTTCCCCCCAACAACATGATGATGGTTCCGCCCATGTATTACCCACCCCCTCCATCTTCACAATTTTTCAATCCATACGTTCATCATCAGGTAATGAGTAGTACTCCTCACCATGCAAATGTGTATCATCATCCATTTGGGTTTTTGCCTCAACAACCTAGCTCGTATACTCCTCAACACGGACCATTCTGGTTTTCATATGGAGGATTTCAACAACAACCGCAACAACATTCACCAAACTTTGGATTTATCCAACCAAGTTCAAATGATACCAACAAGAAGAAGTAGTATCTTGAATGAGCCTTTTCCACTTCCTTCATTCCACACGCAAGCTCAATAAATCCCACAGTTCAACACTGCTGTCCGGTGACTGGTCAAACAGGCAGCCAAAGGCAAACTCGATTTTCAATGATCATTTACTGCTACTTGTTACTTTTTCTTTTCGATTTAGAAATAACTTCTTTTTCTTCAGGTGGAGGGTTACCAGATACCTTAAAACTTACAAACTCAAATACAACTGGCTCCCCTTCTTTTTTCTTTTTGGGCTTTGGGCCTGGCTTTTTTCGTTCTTTCACGGGCGTCAGTGTGGATGGTGCTTGTGAACTTTTTGTTGATTTTGAGTCAGTCTCTTTCGATGGAGTGGAACTTGCAACTGGTTCTATTTGGCTTGTCGTTGACTGTTGCTGCTGGGATGCATTGACAACGGTTGAGGCATTGCTGCTCGAAGGAGGTTCCATGGATCCTCCTTGCTGATCCAACATCAGGGAGGAAGGCACTTGAGGAATGGGTATATTGTTATTTCTTTCTGCCATTTTTCGTTTTTGATCTTCAATGGCAAGAATGGTCTTTTTGGTTGGTTTCATGAGAATGGCAGGAATAGTTAAATTCAAATTTTTGATTTTCAGTTGAGCAGATAATTTTCGTTTCGCCATAAGCTCACATTCCACATAGAGATGATATTCCATCCGTAAATTAATCGATCTTAAATAGCTTAATTGTTGCTTTTCTAATTGTACAGAAGGATGATATTCTCCTCGTGTGATACCTTGAATCAATTTTGTAGTATAGTTGGGTTGATTAAATAAAAGAGATGTTTGGTTGAAGAGTTGAGAAAGCGTTCTGGTGAGTATCTCAGGTTCGCTAGGTTTGGGAGTCACGGAGTTTTTAACAAGTGGTGAGGGAGAATTAGTTTGACCACTCGAGGAGATTGTAGACTTCTTGTGGCGTACTGACGATCCATTCATCAGCTGTTGCCATTCACGTAGCTCCTCTTCGCGTGATTCAGAAATATCAAAATGTTTCTTCTCGGTATGGTCTTTTTCATTTGATAACGTAGATGTTTCTGGATTCAAGGAATTGTCAGTAATAGTTTCGTTTTTCAACGATGAGGACATGCGATCGATCATGGTATGGTTGGTGGTGTTTGTGAAAAGGCATGGTGGTAAAAATTGTTTAAGGTACATTCGATGGTGTTCCTTCAATACATTATTCCATGTGTGCATGCTGAATATCGTTTTGAAAAGTTGGGGATTTTGTATGAGCTCAATAGGTATTAAACAATCATATCCGGAGATTGATACTGGCTCATAAATAGGATCATTTTCTTGTTTTGCAGTTTTCATTTCAATGTCATCATCCATGTCATTATCAACAGCGTCTTCAGAGAAAATATTGTGATGTTCATTTACCACATGCTCCAAGTAAGAGTTGGGCATAAAATTATTCGACTTGTCAGCTCCATTAATTTCTGATTCTTTAACAAAGCACCAAGGCAATCCGTAGATGTCATCTCGTAGTTTATCGTGGCTATAATTTTTAGAGAAAAATGGAGGATCTAATGAATGGCCAAGATAAATATAAATTCAAGTGTTCATAATCGTCGTTTAAACAAAACATACCTTCAATCTTTTTCAATGATTTTGATGCCTGAAATTCGTATCGATCCATGATAAATAGTCTTTCATCGTCTTCAGTTGCGTAAATGTTGGTGTCTTTTTGCTTTTTTTCTAGAGTTGATTTTGGTAAGATTGTTGCTAATGAAGCGCTAGATGTAGCCTCTTTCATTGGAGTGGTGCTAGCAGTAGACGTAACTGGAGGTGTGACCACTGCAGCTGTTTTTGTTTTTTTCTTCTTGGGTGTGGTTGTTGTAGAATCACCTTCGGCCGATTTAGATTTTGCCTTTCGTTTCTTTTTTGCAGGAGATGGCTCTTTTTCTACGTTGGTGCCATCCTGATCTTTGGTTGCAGCTGCTGCCTCTTTATCTTTTTTTCTAGTGTATTTTCTTTTGGGTTTGGGTGTAGATGTGGCTGTTGTGGTTGTTGCTGTTGCTGATGGAGTTGTTGCAGTATTTGTTGTAGTTGTGGATAAAGGTGTTGTTGAGGTTGGCTTTATATCGGCAACCTTCTTTGATTTTTCTGCAACTTTTTCATCTGTTTTTGTTGACAATTCCACAGGCTGTGTGGAATCTTTTTCTTTTTTCTTTGTTTTCCTTTTCTTTTCGGGCTTCTCATCTATTTTCTTGCCTTCCTTTTTTTCGGAAGGTTTTTCAGTCATCGCTGCTGCTGGTGGTGGTGGAGGTGGTACCATTGAGTTTGTCTTCTTTTTCGTTGTTGAAGTCTCCTTCTTCAATGTCTTTTTCTTTGGCTTCTTTTTCTTTTTAAGTTTTTCCGAAGATGTTGATGATGATGATTCATACGAGTCATCATTTGACGACTCAGAATCTCCACTACTGCTACCGCTATCAGAATCACTCGAATTGCTACTATAGCTTAGCATGTCATCTTCCGAATCATAGGCTTGTTTTGATGAAGTAGGAAAAGGAGGCATTGAATTCAACGAAGCATTGGACATGGCAATAAACGGCTGTTGACTCACTGGTTTGGAAGACATCAATGGAGTAATTCCTTTCAATGAAGCCGAATGCAATGGAATAAAAGATGTTGCAAAAAACGGGGTAGATGTTTCCGGTTCCTTCTTTTTAGGGCCTCTTTTTGCTGTTGTAGAAGACGATCCTGCAGTAGTACTACCTCCAGTAGTTTTTGTGGAAGAAGAAGCAGTCTTTGTAGTTATCGTATTGCTAGGAATATTGGCTGTTGTTGTAGTTGTGGATAAATTCCGTGCTGATCCATTATTGGTCATCATGGTTGGAGAAAATGTTGCTGGTGATGTTCCGCCGGAGGATGATGATGCACCTGAAGTATTATGATTTATCACTGATGATCCGGGATTTGCTGTCGTGGGCGGTTTGACAACATTCCTCCAAACAAAACTCATTTTTTTGTAATCTGAAAAAAGTTTTTGCTTAAGAATGGTGAATCATGTTTTAGCCTCGACAATGGCCATATCTCAGAAATGTTGAACAGAAAATTGAACGTATATTAAAAGCTCATTTCCTGCTTTTAAGGCTGTCTAGAGATAGACTTGGATGTAATTGGAAAATAAGCAATAATGAGCTTGATTTTTCTTATTTCACAATCGTTATTGATGGTTCTACCTTGTTGACACTCAAAAGATAACACAACAACACAGAGTATAACGTCACTGTTTGTGGTTCTTCAATTTTCGTATTCGTTATTTCTAAATACAGTGAGCCGTTGAACGTTTCGAATGCGAGTTTTTCTAAATCTCGCTTCAACATTTTTCTCTTGTCATGCAGATCAGTTTTAGTTCCAACCACAATTATTTCTGAGAATCAATGATGAGTATGCAAGAAAATTGAAAGATGACTTACCTGCTCCATCTGGTGCGTGTTTGAGTGTTTCTTGAACATATTGTTCCAACCAGTTATTCTGGTCCGCCAAATCGATCATAAAATAAATAACTCTTGCACCTCGATAGAACGCTGAGGTGATTGATCGAAATCGTTCAGGTCCACACTGATCCCACATTTGAAGTTTGATTTTACTAGTGTTCCCCAAAACGAACATTCGCATCCCAAAATCCACACCAATAGTAGGATCGGCATGGTGTGAGCTTGGTGTATCTTGCAAAGATGCTTTTAAAAAGGAAGTTTTTCCTGCTCCATAATTGCCTGACTCCCAATTAGAATCACCATTGGCTCATTGAGAACTAATTCAGAAAAACATACCAGCTAGCAATGATTTGAACAGAAAATCAAATTCTTGCGTATACGATGTTGACTTTGGTACTGTTTTTTCGTTGGACGGATTCTTGGTTGTTTGAGTCGAAGTGGAACTACTGGTGCTCTTATTACCTCCAAATAACGATGACATATAATCCAAAACTCCTTTGAAAATTCCACCACCTCCGCTATTACTGGTTTTGACTGTATCTGAGCTGATGTTAACTTTGGTTGTCGTGGTATGGATTTGAATTCCTTCTCTCACATCACTGAAATTTGAAAAATGTTGTTTCAAAATAGAGAGCTCGGTGTCCAACCATGAAGGATTGCACTCAACTACTCTGTCATCATTATTTATGCGATGAATAAGTTTTTGTAACTGAACGGCATAATCAAACACACATTTTCTAAGCATGTGTTTCACAAATCTCTGACCGTGTGTTTTGGTGTAAAAGTCTGTCATAGAGGTAATTTCAAATTGATCATCGGCTTGTTTGGAATGATCATAAATTCCAGTAATGATGGCTTTATACTGTTCTTTCACGATCGGAAAGACTACTTCATCTCTCCAATATTTACAAACTTTTGCAGCCGAAAAAATCAATTCAACCGAATTCAAATATCCAACAATAACACCCACAAGCTCATCAGGCAATTTCTGAAATATATTTTCAGAATGATCAGCTACTAGTTTAACAATCGTACACATTTTTTTGGCCATAAGAAAGAACAAGCTGTTGGTGCTTAGGCGTAGCGTTGAGCTCATGAGAGCTTCTGTTACAAAAACTCATTTCTTTTAATTGGGTGAATGACGTGGTCGATCAAGCACAATGAGGTAATTTAATTAACCAGGATCGAAGGATTAGATTGCTCCGGCGACTATTTTCGATCTTTCTATCCGTCAATCCAATCCAATCCCAAAATCCAGTCTATTTAAATTTCCTCAATGAAATGACAAGAGCTATTGTGCGAGCTCAACAAATATCTCAACAACACCGAATACAACACTACAGTTTGTGGTTCTTCAATTTTCGTATTCGTTATTTCTAAATACAGTGCGCCATTGAACGTTCCGAATGCGAATTTTTCTAAATCTCGCCTCAACATTTGTCTCTTGTCATGCAGATCACTTTTAGTTCCAACCACAATTATTTCAGCTTCAGGATGAGCTCGTTCACAAATATGTCCAGCTTTTTGCTCCAACCACTCATTCTGGTCTGTCAAATCAATGAGAAAATATATTACGGATGAGTTTCGATAATAGTAACCTTGTGTGCTTAGCTGATATCGCTCAGGTCCGTACTGATCCCACATTTGAAGCTTGATTTTACATGAATCTCCCAACATAAATGTTCTCAATCCAAACTGTATACCAATACTTAAACAAGGGTCTGTTAAGTTTGATGGAGTGTCATATAAGGACGCCTGTAAAAACGATGTTTTACCCGCTCGCAAAGTACCTGTTTTCCGTAAATTGATGAAAACACAAACAAGGTTATTTCCATTCAATGTAAGAAATGGTAAAAACATACCATCCAGCAATGACTTGAACAGAAAATCATTTGTTTTTGATTGTGGTTTTGAGATTTCATTGGGGTCTTCATATGTAGCCCTAGATTGCACCATGGAAGTTGAATTGTTGACACCAAATAACGATGATATATAATCCCATGCCCCTCTAAAAATTCCGCCATTGTTGGTGCTGGTTGACGTATCATAGCTCGATACTGAACGTTTTTTGATAGAGTTGAACAGAATTCCTTCTTCTTTCACATCACTAAAATTGGAAAAATATTGTTTCAAAATTGAGAGTTCAGTGTCCAACCATGAAGGGTTGCATTCAACTACTCTGTCATCTTTGTTATCATGGTTGGAATAGTGAATAACTTGTTGTAATTGAATGGCGTGTTCAAGCACACGTTTTCGGAGCATGTGCTTCACAAATCGCTGACCTTGCTTTTTAGTATAAAAATCCATCATAGAGGTAACCTCAAATTCTATTTGATGACCATATATCCCAGCCACTACAGTTTTATACTGTTCTTTTACGACCGGAAAAACGATTTCATCTCTCCAATGTTTACAAATTTTTGACACTGAAAAAATTAATTCAACAGAATTCAAATATCCAATGATCATTCCAATAATTTCATCAGGTACTTTCTGAAATATATTTTCAGAATCACGAATATCACATAGTTCCGTGTGTTGTTGGATTTCATTAAATTCTGAAAATGATTCATCAGATGTTGCACACAAAAATCTTTCATGCATTTTTTAATTTGTGAGCGACACCAATTTTCCCACAAAGTTTAGCGTTGGTCATTAAAGAAATCCAATATCGGCTCTGTAATATCTTTTGAATATAGATCCTCATTGTTGATAAATCCATGTGCAAATTGTTCCCACATTTTCACTGTCAATTTGTTCGGATTTTCAAAATTCACAGCTCTTGCAAATTCCAATCCTTCGTCTCTCAACGCATCGTATTCAGCCGTCCACAGAAATCCATGTGGGATAATTAAGCCATGTATGAAATCTTTGGTATCGATTCTTTTTGAAATACCATCGGATCAACCAAAATCGTTCTCACAATCGCTTGAACCGATAGATGACCACCTGCACTATCTCCCGATATTGTAAATTGATTTAAATTAGCATTATAATTCTCCAGATTCCAATGTTTACCAATCCACATCAATGCATTCAAATTATCATTCAAACAAGCTGGAAAGACATGTTCTAGAGTTCTCCGACAACCCACACTCACCACAACAAAGCCTTTTTCAGCAATAGGTCTACAAACAGTATCAAACAGATCCAAATTTCCCATCATAAATCCTCCTCCATGAATAAACTGAATCACTGGATAGCCTCCTTCTCGGAATGATTTCGGCTGATAAATTCTCAAAGCATACGAAGCATGGTTGTTCGTTCCTTTTTCTTTTAAAAACAATTCCTAAGAAGAGAGATCATAGGTGAGAAGTAAGGTAGTTTCTCTCAATGATGAAGGAGTTGGAGTTTGTTTCAATAAATAGGTTTCAGCAAAATCTCGAATACCTGCTGGATGGGTCTTGAGAATAAGTTTCACCAAAGAACTGTGCGCAATCCGAGAGAGACGCACACCCTTAAAACGTAGGCAGGACATGATGAGCTAAAGCCGCTACTACTACCACAACAAGGAGAAAGCTCCACAGAACAACTCTACTCATGTGAAAGTTGTGATGAAGTTTTTTTGTGAAACGCCAACTGTCAGATGATGGCCTATTGTTAATTCGACTTGTCAGGTCCGTGTTCTCAACCAGAATAAAGTCCTTCTTCAAAATCAATTCATCTACTCAGAAGAACAATGAACAGTGTTGTGCATGCAGCTCAACAAAAAAAATGTCACAAATTCCTTTGGATCACCCATGGTCATCATTTATTCCATCACCACCACCTCCAGTCGTCAACACCAATCCGTTTCGAACGGATTCCATTCCTAATGGTCCGATCAAAGACAAAATTCAACAATTTCAAATGGAGCATGACTTGGATCGTGACATCAACGAGTCCACCTCCGATTCCGTTTCTTCTTCCTGTTGTCTGTTTTTACAACTTCTCCCATCTGAAATTCAAGTTCATATCGCTACCTATCTTTCAGTGAAAGATATATTTCATTTGGCTCTCACTCATCGAAAGCTTGTCAAACTCTTCTTCAATCAAACACCAAAACGAGTTCAATTTCTTTCATTATTTCGAGAAATTAAAGTTGATCAAGATTTTATGTGGAACGGAAATACTGAACTGAGATCCTTGAATCAAATGATCACGACTAAAGAAATGGCTTCTGAATATCATAAAGATGAATTGGATGATACGTTTAGAATGGTTCAACAACTCATTTGGAAATTTCACGTGTGTCGTTATTTCCCTCGATTCGAATATTCTGCTGTGAACATTCAGAATTGGATGCATGTGTTGAGAAGACGAGTGGCTCACTTGAAATTACATTCGCCACATTTATTGCCACTCTTTGAACATGAAGAGAAAATTCGAAAAACACAACAGTTTCGAAAGCAATTATTGAAGAATGAATTATCATCGTTCAATTCGAACCATGACATTCCACCACCACCACTTGTTTCTTACAATCCTTTTTACAATGAGGTTCAAGAATTTGATGGAGTCAATCCATTCGAAATTGATAGTGTTGAAAATTGTGAATGGATTTACAAGTGTCCTTTAGATTTCTTTCAACTCGACACAAACAAACCATACGATCCATACAGTTCAGAGACACAAAAATTTTGTACACAATGTTCCAAAACAGTGTACAAAGTAAATACCGTTGAAGAATTAGAATTTCATGCAAAAGAGGGACATTGTGTGGCGTTTATGAGACCAATACCGCTCTTACCACCCTTAATGGGAGTGCCAATGCCTTTCAATCCATCTGAGCCTCCACCATTTGTGTTGATTCCAAATACAGGAGAAAACATTCCACCTCCTCCATTCTCAGGTGTTCTAGGGGAAGGGACAAGTATAGGATCGTCAACAACAAATGGTACTACATCAAACACAAATTCTGAAGGGGAGATTCCTCCACCACCTCCTTCTTTGTAGAATTTAATAGAATTGACAATTTTAATGGATTGCAATGTGTCAAAGCCTTAATAAGAAGTTGTGTTGAGAGAGATTTTCGGATACAATTAATTAAAAAAATACGCCAACTTTGAAACGGCTTGAACGAATTATCGGAATAATTCGTTATTTTACTATTTGAACGAAATTAAATCATCATCAACGTAATAACAATGGTAAAGAAAGAAGAAACAACGAGTACTACTACATCATCATCCGCCAATAATGATCCGAATACTCTTTTTAACTGCGACGAAGAAACATTGCGGGACAAGTTACATCAATATAAAGTTGTGGATTTAAAAGAACAATTAAAAAAGATGGGACTGGGAAAGGGTATTTCGGGACTTAGGAAAGAAGAATTAATTGGGAAGATTGTGAATAATCGTTTTTTATTACCCTCGCTACCACCAAACCACGACACTACAACATCGACTACTCCTTCACAATTAGTGAAGAGAAAACATGAACAGGATGAAGAAGACGTGAAAACTCCTATCAAGGCATCGTCTTCACAAGCTGGTACTCTTTTTGCATCACCATCATCTCTCATTAATTCACCATTTGCATCTTTGAATGTTTCAACTCCGAGTAGCAGCACTGGTATGGTGTCATCTTCGACATCAGCCACACAAGAAAGCGTCACATCTCCAAAAAAGAAGGTAAAACTTACGGAAGAAAAACGAAAGGCAAGATTTGTCTCCAAGCCAAGCATTGCAACAAAAGAAAGAATTGCAAGAGCCTTGACACAAAGACTGTATTTAATTGAGAGAAAAAATAGAGTTGATAACCTTGAGGAAGAGTTTGTGGTATTGGGATCCACCGGAAACGTCTACAATGTCAATATTTGTGAAGTGCCCAGTTGCTCTTGTCCGGATTTCGAAAAGGGCAATCTCTGTAAGCATATCGTAAGTGTGACACTTGGAATTATTTTGAAAACATTTTAATCGTTATATTCTGTTTATGAACTCCATTATTTTCATGGCCTTATTTGGTAATGATTATATAACGTTCGTTTATTCTATTAAGCTGTTTGTATTTTTAAGAGTTCTTCGTGTGAATCAGAACTCACATTGCGTTTATCAAAAAGCCCTTCTTCATTCAGAGCTGGAGTCCATATTCAAAGATGCTCCTCCAATCCCTACTTCTGTTCAAGCCAGTGAACGCGTTGTCAAAGAATACAAACATTTAACAGGCGAAGCTGAAGGTGAAAGTGTGCAAGAATCTACAACAACGAAACAAAAACCTCTTCATGATGCACATTGTCCAATTTGTTATGAAGCATTCAGTGGATCTGAGAAAACCGACTTTTGCAAAGTGTGTGGAAATAACATTCACGAAGATTGTATCAAAATGTGGAAGGGATTCAATCCTTCATTTCCATGTCCAGTGTGTCGAGCTCCACAGCTTGGAAAGGCATCTGCAAATAAGAAAGTTGTGGAAAATGAAGGATATGCGAATCTTGCTGATTTCCAATCAGGAATGACCAGAGAACGAGAATATTATCATTCATCGAGATGGTATTCAAGAAGAAGATATTATGACGATGACGATGATGATTATGACGAAGATGATGATTATTATGGATCTACTTTTGAATAATTGAAAAATATTTGACTAAGCGAGATCTCATTGTGGACACGATTTTGTCATTCCCTAAGGCCGTGATTCAACTCATGTTTTGAAAAAAGATTTCACTTGTACGAATCCTGGCTCTCAATTCAGTAAGGTCCATCAACATTAATCTTAGTCTTGATAGGTTAGAGTTGGATCTCTTTTGACTTTTCCCTTTCTTGACAAATAAAAATGGATACATTTTTGTGCAATAATGTCAATGCTGTTTCATTACAATACTTTAAAATATATCCAGAATTCCTTCTTTGATTCATTTCTTTACAGTAACTCCAATAGTACAGACTGGCTAGAAACTGAAACTGCTGGGCGGTAATCCACATCAGGAATATTATCAACAGCAAGTTGTAGTCCCTTTCTATTCACATTAATACATAAGGATCGATACGAATAAACCACCTCCACGACATCTCCAGAACTCAATGGTTTTGAAAATGACTTTTCTTTTCCATTCAAAGAAATATGTCCTGTTAGATAGACAATGCCATACCCATTACCATTGGCTCCAATCCAATCATTTTGAGTTTGTTTGGAATTCACAATTCCAATAATAAGACCCCAAGAATTCTGTTCTTTGACAAAGTCATGAATTTTCACCCTGAACGAAAAATTTCTAGGATTGAATGTTCCACCTTTGGTGATTGGATAGAGTTCCCAAGTATCGTCTAAATCGTACAGATCGAGTATTTCGTGTCCAGAATATTCGAATATCCATCCCGATGGTCCACAAGTCCATTCTTTTTTCACTTCTCCCAATTGTTGGATATTCTTTTTCACTTGTTCCAAAGTGATCTTATCCAAGTCGATGACAATATTCTTAAGTGAGCGAATATCTGTCTTGTTGACTTGTTCTACAAGATTTTCGTGATTTGAGATTGTTTTCTTCAATACAGAGATTTTCTTTTCTAATAATATATTTCCGCTCATTTGGGAAAGGTTACTGAACTGGTTCAGTAATTCTTTGAATTCACTTTCTTGATTGAGAATTGATTGGATTACTTGAATACCATCCTTGCATTCTTTTTCTATCTGTTGAATCAACTCCTCTCTTCTCTTCAACAGCAAGTCTCTCAACATTTCAATTTGACAAGTGACATAACGAACCAATTCCTGTTGTTTGTTCTCAATGAGCTTCCACTCTTTTAGCAAATCTTCATTGGCAATGGAACAAATTTCCTTCATCCACTTCTCTCTCTCTTTAGTAAATTCCGCTAATTGACGTTTCACAATCTCTCGTTCTTCTTCCACAATTTTTGAAATTAAGAAACTGTTGTGTCCATTGTGTTCATCAATGCCACACACGGAACAAATTAATGTTTCGCAACTTCTACAAAAACAATTGATCGGAATGTTGTGGAGTTTGCACATGGGCTCTGATTGTTGTTGTTGTTGAAGAGATGATTGAAGAATAATTTGATGGTTTTTATATTTTCTTGAATGCGCTTTGAAATGATATTCGCACAAGTGACGCACACAAGTTTGGCACAAGTGAGTGGCGTTACTTTCAAACTCTTCTTCTTGACAATCCAGACAACAGTGTAGGAACATCTTTCGTATTTTTTTGTACAATTCTTTGCGAAATTAAGAGTGACACAGAGCACGCGTAACTCCAGCTAAAATTTGCAGGCCGTGTGTCATTTTAATTTTGTAAAGAATTATGAATTCCGATTGGGTATGCCTTACAACAGGATCTTTCAACTCGTAAGCGTTCCAGAGGGTTTAAAAGAAAAACTGAGTTGGTCATTGGATCAAACTGGAATGCAACCAAGGTTGACCAACAAAAAAAATGGGACAACGAAAAACCAAGCATGTTCATCAATCGGAAGAATTTCAAAATTCTAATAAAATATTATTGATTGGGCGAAGAGGTATTGGAAAAAGTACTTTATGCCGTTCATTAAACAAGTTCCGAGTCGAGAATGGCAATGATCCACTTTGTTCTTGTGAAGATTTTCAATCACGTCTCGATAATGCTTGTGATCGTATCATTCAAAGATTATTTCAAATATTAATGGATGATGAAATTCAGTTGATTTGTAAAAACACGGCTTTTGAAGGTAGGCATGATTTGAAAGATCATCTCTTCGATCATGATAGGCAGAAATTTACGAGCGATCATTTTGTAGAGCTTTGGAATAAGAATAACAGATTAATGAGAGAGTATTTGTACACCAATTTGATTGATCCATATGGTGAATTTGAAAATGTGGATCTCTTTTATCATCTCATGACATTGAAACAAGAATTTGATCCTTTTCAAATAATCTCACCTCCAAGTGCAGGTATCATTGAACATCAATATTCAATAATGCCCAACAATTCACATGTTAAGATTTTGGATGTTGGAGTCGATAGAAATGAACGAAGACAGATTACTCCTTGTCTCAACAATGATGTTGTGGTAGTATTTATGGCATCACTTCCTGAATTTCTGAATACAAATTTTTATTATGATGAAGGATTGGACTGTATGAGAGAAAGTTTGGAATTTTATTCACAATTTCTTCAAAGAGCTAATTTAGTAGCAAAATTACGAACCGTTCTTTTATTGACAAAACCTGACTTGTTTATGAAAAAGTGTAATCAATGTTTTGGGAGCGAACTGCCCTATACACGACCAACAGCAAATGACATTCGTACAGAGTTGAAGAATATTGGAACATTGAGGAATTGGCCACGCATCATTGTCAACTCAATCGTTTCAGAATATTGCAACATTTTTAACAAACATTATCAAGGGAAATTTGAATATCATATTGTGAATACTTTGAACCAAGACGAAGTACTTGAAGTGATGAAAGTAATTTTAGCAGGACCTTCAGAAAGACATTACATTTCTCCGTGTCTGTTCGCAACACAGGCCGAAGCACGCTTATTCATGAACATTAATTGTTTTAATGATGTGACATTCAAATTTATTGAGGAATTTTCATTGAATTAATTCAATGATAATGACAACACATGTTAGATCTATCAAATTTGCCTTAAAGAGCGACTTTAGAACCACGGTTGCATATATATCAATATTTATTTAACAAACTCAATTATTAGCATTTCTAAATGGTTGTTCATCCACATGATCACCTTCTTCCTTCTCAACTGGATCCTCCAATTTCACCATATCTTTCTTTGCTCTATTTCTCATAAAACGGACAACGGCAACAATACCTGCTGCAACACCGAGCACCAACATACATCCAGCAATACAAATCACTAAAATCACAGCCCATTGAGATGGAGTCAACCAAAAGATCAATACCTCGTCCTCAAGAATGGTAACCTCTTTAGAATCCAAAACTTTTCCATCAAAAGAAGCGACCACTGAAAAGGTACCAACAACGTCCGAACAATTACACGAGACAACACCTTCTCCATGTAAAGTATTTGGAGGTGAACATGAAATGGCATTTCCTTTTGCTCCGTGTTCTTCATAATTGGCAGTAATCTTAAATTTCGACCAGTCCAAAACCTCAGTAACGACTCCATCATTGTCAAAAACGATATATCCAACAGTGAATGGTTCCAATGGAGAGAGGTGGTCTGTTTTCAATTGTAGATTAATACGTCCTTTCGTTGCCATTTGATACACTTGAATGCTTGAATCCAAATCTTGCCAAGAACCGTAAACGGATGGACTGGGTGTGTATTTGAGTTTCATTTGCATGGGACCAACACTGGTTGGTGTGTATTGAATGGATCCAACACCGGCCCTAATACTTCCGGTTTGAAGTGAATTGACACTTGTCATGGAAACGACTCCTTCCTGCCAGGTGTCAACATCTTGATACTTGTTTAAAAAACTGAATGCAAAGGTCGAAGGATATCCCACATAATGTCTTGAAAATTGTCGTGTAGAGGAAGTTTGCACTCTCATCACATTGGCTGGAGAAATGACACATGACAATTGAACATTGAATCTCAACAAGGCATTGGTAATCAAATTATTACTTTTCACCATCATGTAAGCACCGACTGAATCTGGAAAGGGTCGATACGATGGTTTTCCATCAGAGACACAACTTGCATATTGATCCTGATTTGGACTACTCTTATACTTGGAATATGAAAATGGTTGTGAATTGAGTGCTTTATCCTTATTGGCAGAATCGACGAGGAAGTATTGAAAACCACTCGAATCTGCCGCTTGAATATTCACCAATCCAATGCCAGCTGTTTGTTGTCCACTACATTCAATGGATGCCAAAACGGTCCAACGATTGGCAGAGATTGTTTTCGGACATGGACTCTCTCCATTACATCCACAGTTGGGACATGAACATGATTGTCGAGTGTTTGTTGTTGTCGTCATGTTGACTGGAGAAGAAGGAATTTCGAAATTTTGTAACATGGAAGAAGTTGGAGTTCGAATGACAAAGTCCACATATTGATCAATTGGAAGGTTTGTCGTTGACATTACGATGGTTGTCATCATGACGAGGAGGATGAAGAAAAGGCTGGTCCTTGCGAAAAGAGAGCCTTTTCCTACGTGATGATTGGAAGAGGAGAATGGTGTAGACATGATGAGACACTTGAATTTTTTTTGTGTGAATTTTGAATTTCTGCGGTTGGCTCTCATTTGGTTTTGTAAAGAATGTCGTGGACTGTCATTACCAAAATTGTATGCACACCAAATCCAACATCTAATGAGGAAATTTAAATAGATCGGATTTTGGGATTGGATTGACTGAAAGTTCAAAATAAACGCTGGAGCAATCCGATCCAATCCTTCGATCCTGGTTAATTAAATTACCTCAATACAGTAGTCAGGTCAGGCATGATGATATGTACTAAAATTAATCAACTACCTGAGTCAAAAATACAGAAATAAGAGAAGGCCAATCACATTCTGCTTGACATGCTCAAGTTCATTCCTTCACAACGAAGGTACATGTCAAATGTGCTTAAAACCTTAATAATTGTTATTCCACCGTCAGCGCCCTTTATTTTAGAGAAGCGGTCATTGGCAGTAACCTAATGCAACGAATCAGTTGCTTAACTTTCCAAAGATCAGAATACAACATACATGAGTGCACGCTTTGTTCACCAAATTTGTCCTTTTCTCTCTTATTGAAGACAGAAACATGCTCTTGTCGCACTTCAGTTCCGTTTGTCACTTTCAAAAAAAAACATTAAAACATGTTCATTCGTTGCTGTCGAGATTGCCAAGAAGAAGAGGTAGAAGTGGAAGCTAACCACACCTGTCAGACCTGTTCTTGTCATTTGTGCGATTTTCACTCCAAAATACATGTAAGAAAAAACAAAAATCATCAAATCACTACTCACTCTCAAGATGGTGATTCGGTTGGTTCCTCTTTGACCTTAAAGAAGTGTAACCAACATCAGTCAGAGATCAACTGTTTTTGTCGGGATTGTGAACAATTAGTTTGCTCGTTGTGTGCTGTTTCCCAACATGTAAAGCATAACGTCTTTCTTATTGAATGTATTGTACAAGAAGAAAGAAAGATTGTGAAGGATCAACTCGATCGTCATTTGAAACAACGTGACGAATGGATGAAACAAAATTCCATTTCTGAACAAGTGTTGCAAAAGGAATTGGGTCTCATTGAAAATACAGGAACGGATCTGAAAAACAAAATTAATACCTTGTTTGAGCAACTGATCGACCAGTTGTACCAGAGAAGAGATGTATTGCTGAAGAAGGTGGACAGTGAATGCACAGAAAGCACTCAGTTAGTGCGAAAGGTTATGATTCAAATGGAAGAACGAATTGCTTTGGAAAATGCATTCTCTGACATTTCAACCATGCATGGCAATGAATTATTGGACAAGAAAGTGGGCTTGTTGAAAAATTCAACGAAATTATTCAATGAAATGACTTCACAGTTGGAGAATGTAAATCTTCACAAAGTCCATAACATCTGTCTCGAGAGAACTGAAAACCGTTTTTATAAGGATGTGGTATTTGCCGTTAACCAATTAGGAACTGTGAACAAGTACTATGATAAAACACAAGTTTCGGTAGACGAATTGCAAGAACCTATTCAGAAATCAGAAATTCAAAAATCTTCATTCAGTGAGACATATGCTGAAAGTGAAATGGATGATGTAAACCAACCTCCAAAGCAAAGTGAGTACTCGATCAGTCAAGATGATAATGTCTTATTAAGACATTATGAAGAAGAAGCTTCTTCCCAAAAGAAAGGCGGAAGGCGTCGTAACAAGCGCAAAAAAGCTTCGTCCCAAAGATAACAGGAGGCAATAGAATCTATTTAAAATTTTACCAAATGTAAATGATGTTAGATGTTTTGTTTGGGTAACATGGATGTTCCTTAATGGACTCCCTACGTACCTAGCAGCCTGAATACAATATAAAAATACATCAGTGGATCCAGAATCAATCTTTCTTGAACTTTTTCGGCTTCTAAAGCGAGATGAAACGTTAACAAAACTAAGGCCTTACTATTTATTGATACTTCTCAGCATTCACCTGTGAAAGTTACAATTTTCTAATTCCGAGAGGATCTGGATCAGGATTCACTGTGCTTCCACAAGTTGGTTTGGTTCCCCATCGTTGAATATCACTGCTCGTGATGTATCTGGTTGTGGCTTCCGTATTCACTTCTCCCAAGAATCTCATGTTATCAATAATCAATTCTCTTGCCTTGGATGTGTCTCCCAAGTAGAAGCTCAAACGATGAATATTTTGAACCTTTTCTGGGAATTGAATATCAGAAATTGGAATTCTAACTCTGGTAAATCTTGTGGAATCAATCTTAAAGTGTTGAGTGTAATTGACTCCAACTGTGATTCTTGAAAAATCAATCACCTTATTGGAAGTAGCGTTGTAATAACCGAAATTAATTCTCAAATCTGGAGTTCCAGTGTTGTTGGTGGACTTGACAAAGAATTCAAAATATTTGAAATAGGTGCTGTCAATGTAGAGTTTTTTGCCAATTTTGTTGAATGACACACTTCCTTTCTTGATTTTCATGTATGCAGAGGAGGTACCACAAGCTGCTGGAGTGTAATTGCCATTAAAAACTGTCAAAGTGTCATCCGATGGATTTTGGTAAGTGTAGGGACTCCATTCTGAACTGAAAGAAGTTAAATCTTGATAAATATTGACCAACGAAGAAGAGTTCTTCAATGACAAGCTGTCACATGGTTTGACAGCTGAAATGGCAGGTGGCAATTGACAGATGAAGGAAGCAGTGGCATTGTTACAATAGAGTTGAGCTCTCAAATGACCAGTTGGATTCTCAGAAGTAGAAACCTTGACAAACATTTCTCCTTTAAGGAGAGAATTCCATTCATCGTACGATAACATCAAACTGAATCTGGATTGAGAGTATGCAGAAATTCTTGCCATTGGTTGTGAAATGGTTGCAACAGTTCCAAGGGCTCCAGTTCCAATTTCAATGGAAGTAGCAATACTACTCAGAGTGTGTTGTAATGTGAAATCCAAAGTTCGTTGATTGTAATTCAAGAAGGCATAGACATTTCCAGAACCTGCTTTAGAACCTGCAGCAAGACTTTTCACAGCTGCTTGTTGACATGTTTCGAGTCTTCCAACAAAGGTGTCTTCTCTCATTTGTGACTTGTAAGTAGATCGGGCGTTGAGTGGATTTGCAAACTTTTTAGGAGCACAATTATTCTTTGGACATTTGGCAACGACGGAAATGACGCCAGCTCCATAATAATCCACAAAGTTGTAAAGTTCCTTAAAGGATGACTTGGAATTATGATTTTGAACCTTGAGATAGAGATGTTCAGTAGAAGCGTCATAGTAATACAAATTCTTTGGATCATTGATGACATTTGCCAATGACGACGTTCTTGTCATGTTCGTGACCACTGAATTAACGTTCATGGTAATAGCAAATTGAGTATTATTAGGATATTGAATAGCAACGAGAATCCAATCACCAGAATAAGAAGAGTCCAAGAAGAAGGTCAAATTATTTGGAGTTGGAATATCATAGGGCCAACGAATGGCATAGAATCCACGAGAAATGACATTTGCTTGTTGATAATAATTGGTTTGTGAAAGAGCTCCCTTAATGTTTGTGAATCGATCACGCAGCAAATCCCACAAAATCAATCGATCGACCTTGAGATTGGCATTCCTAATCTCTGGATGATCCACACCATTGCTACCAGTGGTGTTGAGATTGGTAATATTTGGATTAATGACTCTGAACTGAGCATAACTTTCACCAAAGAATGGACACACGTATTCAGACCATTCATATTTTGGAGTACACTTGTCAAAATACATGGTTGTATCGTTACCAGTAATCCAAGCACCTGGAGAGACACTTGTAATGGAGCCATCCATATCCATGATTGCTGTGGCTCTGTGGTTATCATAGGGAGAAGAGTTGAATACGTAGAATCGATTGGAATTCACAAATTTAAGATCAGTATATCTGTTTCTTGTTTGATGTTTGAAATATTGAAGAAGTTGAGTAAGAGCACCCGAGTAGTGATATTGATCAGGAATAAAGTTGATAAAAGTAACTGAATGTATGTGAAATTTAAAGTGTCAATTCGGTGATGAATCAATGCATATGAAATTCATATCACACTTACCATTTCTAATATAATTTGGACCACCATTATCATAGGTCATATAACCAGAGACAATATCCTTGCTACTTGGAGCATATTGGAAATGTCTACTTCTTCCACCGAGATCGACTTTGGAACGATACGCCAATCCAACATTATCAGAAAAACCAATAATGGTAGAATCAAAGAGACTGTTAGGACCTGGTGGAGTGATGAAACCATTCTTGTTATCAGAGAGATAGACATTTCTGAAGGTCAAAGCTCCTCTTGCCCTGTTAATTATCATTTGAATGTTGATGAACCAAATGGTGTGAATTGTGTGAATTGTGTAAAAATCAAACAATAAGCAAAAACTCTCAACACCTTCTTGTAAGAACTTACCAAACACCATGAACACGATTCTTATAGGCTGTGAAATGAGTATAGAGTGCCTCATATCCTGCTGGAGGATAATAACCTGCTAGTTCTGAAGTTCCATCTGGTTTCTCCATATCATCAATATGAAGTCCATTTCCATTCGAACTGTGAGCCACATTGTAATCGAACGGCTTGGGAGGAGCAGTTCTTGGATTAATACTTCCAGGTGCATAACGATTAGCACTCAAACCAGTTGGGAAGGTTGGCATGGTAAACCAAAAACCAAATCTTCCTCCAACTGCATGGTTTCCAATAAAAGTATTATTTGGATTGGTAATCCAAAAGATACTGACATCAGCATCGGATGGAATCAATACTCGATCTGTGTTTTCACGAGCGACTGGTTTGGCACGAATACCCAAGTTATTGATGAATTCGTTTCCAATTTCAGAACCGTCTTCTAAAAAGTAGGTATGACCAAAAGCATCAAAACAAACGTTGTTTTGAAGCAAAATGTAATTGGTGTCGTGAACGGCATAACATCTTTGATAACTGTGATGGACAGTGCAATCTTTGACAAAGAAATCACGACCGAATGGAGCACTGGCAGCTTGATTTTGAAGTAAGTGGAACTGGGTGTGTTCGATGTGTATTTGATTCATTGTAAAGTGTGAAAAAATCAAAAGTTGGAATGACAACAAACTTACATGGAGAGAATAACGACCCATTAAACCTTGTTGGCCGAAACGAGTAATTTCCAAACCTTGAACCTTAAAATATTGAACAGAACGAATAATCATGTGACCACCAAATTGTGTCTTCTCGCTCGACTCATCTCCTTGAAAGACAATTCTACGAGTCAACAAACCAACTTCAGCTCTTACTTTTCCATCAGCACTCGCAAAGTGAGTGTAATTTAAAGGACGATCTAAAACAATGGTTTTACCACCGTTCAAAATTTGAGTAACGACACGTTCTTCCTATTAAAGGTGCGAATTGAGAAAATAGTTGAAATCATCATCGCCTTAACGGATTCAGAAGATGAATAAACTTACGTTTTGATCTGGGAAAGGTTCTCCACGTGCCCAATTCAATGATGCATTGGTCACTGTTCGATAGTTGTAAAGCTCACCAAAATCTGTCGAAGCAATGACAATGGAATCACCAACTCTCCATTTCACAGAATCTCTCAATTGTAAAGTATTCGTTCCATTCTTTGCAGTACTCACAATTTCGGTCCAACTCGTACCGTTCACTGTTTGGATAAACAAATCCGAATCGTTGTTTCAAAAAGAATTTTGTACAACAACTCAATCAGAGAGAACAAACACTTACCTTGTCCATATATTTGAACTCTGGAACCAGATAGGAAAGCAATACCTTTGGATCCCAATTTACCACCATCAAATGGATCAGCACCAAGATCATTTACTGAAGAATTGACACGATCTCCAAAGAATGTAACAACAATCTTGCTTGAAAGTGGACATGTTGCGCTTCCCATCACAAAACTGGCATTGGACTCGACTCGAATGAAAGAAACATTTAAACTCAAATTCACGTTATCAAAAATTAAGGAACCACCTGTGTAGGGGGAGCAGTTCGAGTTTGTCATTTAGGCACATATGTGTTATTATTAATAACATGATCAAAATTAGGTGAAAAAAACTTACCTGACGCAACCGTAATGGAACGAAGACGCACAGTGGGAGAAGAACTGATTTTCACAGGTTGTTTCACAACAACGTTTGAATTGGCAACATTAGCTCCTGCGAGTGTTGCAAAATTGACCAAACCAGCTTGTTGGTGAGGACATTGAGCTGAAACAGCTGACAATAGCATCAGGATGCTCAAACAAAGAGCAGCCATGCCAAGAGTTAGCATGTGATGACGAGTGTTACTCATTTTGTCTTTGTGCTAACAACAATTTTTTTGAATTGCTAAACTTGAGCAGCTTCCAGGTCTGTTCGTATTTGAAGGATTTTGGGTAGTGCTGATTTGTGACAAGGACTCGCCAAACCAGTTTATCCTGTTTCAAGTCCTCCTTGTGAACTGAAGCTGGGTTGGCTCTACATTTCATTACAATAGTAGGGCAGAAAGTGCACTGACAGAATACCTTCAATTACCTAGAACGTAGCAATGATTCGTCCGGATCACTAGTGGTTTGGTGTCCCAAAATGTCGAAAGTGACAAACCAGTTCGATAATTCTTCAATTTGGAGCTTCGCTGGGTGCCGACAGCCTTTATTCATTTGCCTTATTAAAGAGTTATAGTGATATGATCGCCATAAAATCGTTTGAGAGAGCCAACAACATTTTGCAGCACTGTATTTTCTTCTTTCTTGGTCGCACTACCTTGGCTGTTGGATTGGCTGCTCGAACTGTAAGTAACACCTGCTCCAGTTAGATCAATCGAACGAAGATTGTCACAAGCGAGACTTAGGTTTTTCAAATTTTCACACCAGTTCAATTGAAGTTTAGTGAGCTGAGGGCATGAAATGAATGGTTTGGAGATGAACTTGCAATTAATAATTTTGATTTCCTCCAAAGTGTTGCTTTGAATGACAGGATTCTGCAAAGGTTCACATTCAGTAAGGAAGAGCTTTTTCAATGCCCCGTATTTTCTTTTCCTGAAATTCACATGAATATCAAAGATGCTGTCATCATCATTCCTTGCAGGTTTGTCTCCGTTGGCAATTTCTTCATCTTGAGTATTAAAACTTCTATTCAAGTCTTCAAGTTCTTCCACCAACAATGGTTTCAAGGTATTTAACAATGCAAGATCGGAAACATTGGCACATTTAAATAAAACTAATTTTTCGAGTTTTGGAACGTTGGCAAGTTTCAATCCGCCATCACCCAGCGAACAATCATAAAACTCGAGTGAAAGTAATTCTTTGAGAGCTCTCACTTCAATAGACGTAAATGTACATGAACTGAAACGAAGATATTTCAACTGTTGAATTGGAGATTTTTCTTGAAGAATGGTGGATGATGGTGATGGTGTTGTTGGATTTTGAAACGTTCCAGAATTTAGTAATTTTCTATCAACTAGAGAGGGAGAGTCAAGTCCACATTCCCGAATGTGCAAGTCATATAAATTGGGAGGTAACTTTCTATTGGTTTTAAAAAATTATTGTTAAGATGGTTTGTGATGATGATAACAGATATGATTATCGGAGTGTATGAAAATATTGCCAAAGAACGGTTGATGATTGGTAAACACAAGTTGCTGACAATAATTGGAAAACTTACTCTAAAAGACTGCTCAAACATAAATCATTAAACCACTCCAATCCGTCCAGAGAGAGAGTTTTCATTCTAGGAAATCTATTCACAATTTCAATGAGTTGAGTTACATCTTCCGATACTCCATTTCCGCTACTCAAATTCATTTCATCACAATCCAACACTAATTCCTCAACACTATCCATACAGGCTCTATATAGTTTCTTTGAAACCAATGCCACATTTAACAACAAATCTTCAACCGGAAGAAACGACAGCAAATGCAACATTGGGTGTTTATGAGAAATATCGGATGATTGTTGATAAGAAGCAAGCATTCCACTTAATGAAAAATCAGTAAAAGAAATCACCGTTGTAGGTGCCGATGATGATGAGCCATTACTGGCGTGGTGTTTGGTCTTTTTTTGACTCGATTCAAGAGAGGACGTGGAATTTTCTTCGAAGGTTCGTTTCATTTTTTTCTGGAATTAAAATTTTGTAAAAGTGGCCTTAACACGAGGTGCAATCACAGCTCAAACAATGAATTCATTCTTAAAATCTGAAAAGAATTGCTCTGCAGATCTTGGTTCCTTTCCTGTAACAATTTTGAAATCTCCATGCACATTTGCTGTAATTCCATTCACTTTGTACATTTGAAACAATTTCACAAGCATCCACATGACAAAGGATGGCATGTTCATTTGTTGAAGATTATTGGCAAAGACATCTTCTGGAATGGGTACATGCTTTACCTCGGCACCGATTGCTTTGGACATGATTTGTGCCAATTGATCGTAATTGAGTGACTGAGGTCCAGTGATATTGTAGGTCTGATTGGCATGTTTCTCTACAGGCTCAATCAACACAACAGCAGCTAAATCGCCAATATCCCTCACATCGACATGAGAGATTTGATAAGGAACAGAACGATCGCTCATAGGTCGATAGAAGGCTCCTTGAGATTTGATCACAGCCAAATCTTGAGAAATAAAATTCTGTAAAAACAAGTTGGGCCTCAGAATGACCAATTTCACTTCTGTGTTGTCCACCAAATGTTGAATGGCTCTCTCCGAGTCATTGTGCCATCTCATCAGACAATTGATATCTCTATCGTAGGAGCTTCCCAATGCAGACACTCGTATGATTTGTTTCAAAGTTGTACAGTATTTCACTGCCAAATGAACGAACCCAGACTCGATCTTGGCTTGCCACGGAGAGGAAATAGTGAGAAGGAATAATCTCTCAACGTTGGAAAATAGATCATCGACCCGAACCTTCTCTAGATCATTCAAATCTCCAACCACATACGAGAATTGTATATTTTCGAATTGATCCAGCAGGGAGCGAGCTTTTTCTTCGTTCCGAACTAAAAGTCTCACTTGAATTTTCTCTCCTTTCAAGAATGAAGCTTGATCGTTGAGAGCTCGGATAACCTCACGACCAACTGTGCCCGTAGCACCACTCATCAAGATGACCATTTTTTAAAAAGTTCATGAAACACAAAATAGAACCTTATTTTCTGATATGAAATAAACTCGAGCTCGAATTATTGATATTCACAACAAATATTGGTGACAAGATGCTGAAAATTTAATTTAGTGTTCTTGTTGTTCACCAATTTTGTTCTTGATGGATTGAGCAATTCTGTTACCTTTGGAAATGGCAATAAATCCACGATTGAGTGTATGTGCTCCGGAGCCGTCGTTGGACTCTAGAATAATGTGACATCCATTTTCACCATTAACAGTCGAAGTAGGATCAACTTCAACTTGAATATCCGCAATCGAATCGTATGAGTATTCCATTGTAGAGGAACAGCATGAATTGAGTAAACTACCATAATTGTGCACAATTAATTCTCTCTTGTTGTCATCAAATTGAAAATCAGTTGATTTTTGAAGCAGAGCAACGGTCAAGAATGGGCAGCCAAGGCAAGGACATAAAAAACAACAGACACACCCAACCATACCGAAAATGTTTGCTAAAGTGTTGGGTTCCGCTTTGATTGTGGAATGACCAGTGCCTGTCATTTTGTATACGTGCTGAATTGAGCGCCCTGATAAGAAGAATGTGAAATATTTTTTTGTCGTTTGGTATGTTTGTGTCTGAACTTTGAGCTCATGCTTAAATATTTTTGGAAGAAGCTGAACACGTACTGCCGCCCCATCACAAACCAAGTTCAAGGTTTGTACGTTTTCTAAAGGAAATAAGCTGCAGCTCCTAAGCAGCAGAAAATGGTACATTACGCTCCTCATACATTCACTAGTGATTGGTCTGCGCTCTTTCTAATTCAACTCCTAGATCTAAAAGCGTCCCAACAACCAATTGACATAAGAAGCGTGATGTCTTCTCGAGTCATCATTGAATTCAATACACAACTGCATTTAGGTTGATAATTATTTCTTCACTTTTTTCTTGGACATTTCTTGCAAATCTGACGGACTCAAAGAAACAAGCTTGGCCACAGAAAGCGATCCATCCAATAATTGTGACACAATATGCTTGTTTTTGAGCAACTTTACAATCGCAGCAGCATGATCGCCATTCGAAAACTCAGGGTTTGGTCTCTTGAGAATTGCTTTTTCTATTTCGCTCGCTAATTTTTTGTTTTTTCGATCATCAATGTCGTGGATAGCCATTGCTTCTGAAAGTTTTTTGCGTCGTGTAGTTCTTACTTTGTCGCTAGGAATATCGTGTTGGGAATCTTCTTTTTTTTCTGGTTCTTTTCTTTCTCTGCCTCTCTTTTTTGAAGAGCTTGTGCGCTCATTCGCAGTGCTGGTAGATTTTTTAGATTTCTTAGTAGGCGGTGAGCTGTCACTTTCTTCCTCTTCCTCGTCATCCGTATTTGGTACGCTATCTAGCTCAACGCTTTCTTGAGAATCGTTTTCTTCCGCTTGCTGCAGTTTTTTCCTTTTTTCCAGTTTAGAAGGGCAGTCCGCACATACAAACAGTTCTTGGGTTCCATAAATCTCAAATGGCGAGACATTGTCTTGAGGAAAATCTTGTTTAACACCTTTGTCCAGTTGTAGTCTATAAAAGCACACTGAACATAATTGACGTTTACCACATTCCTTGCAAGTTACGAGTTCTGGTCTATGTGTATTGCAAACATTACACACAGTACAAGGCGAAAAGAAGGGATCTCTGTCACCGCTATCTGACAATTCTCCTTGATCTGCCTCTTCTCTTGCTGCAGTACATAACCGTTCAATATAGGGAACTACTAAGGGATTGATTTGAGGCTTGCGTTTCGCCAAATTGGTGTTAAGAGGTTTGATTTTTGGTAATTCTTTTTTCACCTTGATGCCCTGGGTTGTTTGTTCTTGTGCTAGGAGTCGAAGTCTCTCCTGACTCTCTCTTTCCAGTTGTTCTTTTAGTTCCAATTCTCTTTTTTCTCTCTGAATTTTTTCTAATTTTTCTCTTTCCTCTCTTTCTAGACGTTCTCTCTCAATTTTTTCTAATTTTTCTTTTTCTTCTCGTTCTGCTTTTTCTTTTTCTGCTGTCAACTTTTCTCTGAATTCTTTTGCAAATTTTGTACTCGACAATCGACTATGCCCAAATTCCACTTGCTGGCAGTTATTTAAAATAAAAGTTGCGTGTTCCAACACCTGCGATTCCTCAATGCCATTACGCTCTTTCAAAAGAGAAATAATAGAAGAATACCCACAGTCAATGTTCTCCACAATAATGTCATGCAAATTCAACCAAAGGTCACATTTCTTCAAAACAATAAATATTCTCTCCATTGCAAAAACTCCTTACCTTAAGAAAAGGGTCATATATAGGCTTGTATTTCTTGCTTGGGTTCATTAATTTGAACCAACCATTTGCGTTTTCAAACCATATTCCTCGTGACTCTTTTGAATAATCAAACACCCACCGAATACTGTCTTCACAAAATAAATAATACATCCTATTTTCAGGCTTTTCTAACAACGATTCATCCTTTGTTTGTATGTACTGTTTTGCGTCACTGCATGTTACTATAAATCCTGTGAAACAGAGTTGCATTTCATCTTGTGATTCCACTCTAACCAAGTTGATGTCGTCTGATGTAAATTCAATGCATCGGAATTGTTATTAATTTTGTTAAATAATTATTATTAAATAATAAATACAATATTATTTTCCTACAAATCCTTAAGTAAACTCACCATCACAGGCCCTGGTTTCGTCTCGAACGTTTCCAATGGTAGTGGGATCCCTTCCGATACTTCTCGCTTCAAATCTATCCAAATAGGACAATGGCTTCTTTGTTCCCGAAGAAAAATCTACTTCACGATATCCTCCAGGTATTTCGGAATCCAATATTAGGGATGGTTCCGATGAAGACATCTGTGTAATGTGATATTACTATTCTAAAACAGCAAGATGGCAGTGGTAATAGACGTTTTGGCAATGTTTGATATTTTTTATGCGTTTTTGATAATTGAGGAGGCTTGAGCATCCACTGAATACAAACCTAACAGCCTCACATCTCAAAAGAAAATACCAAGTCTTGGAAAGTGTAATTTTCAGAAGAAATTAAGGGCCCATGAAGCGAACTGGACACTATTTTCCACTTGGAATAGGCTTTGAGGGGAGACTTGTCCAAAATGACAGTTATTTTACGTATTCTTAAATGTCTTGAACCTTTTTGAAGTTTTGATAACTTGTAGTAATTGCTGTCGTAGTGCTCGTCTTTGGGTTCTCTACGAATTTGGAGAAAAACAAGTTGTGACGTGTTGGGACAGAATTTAAGGAGAGAACGGCAATAGCATCCAATGTTGGAATCCTCGAAAGGTTCTTCAATACTTAATTTTCGCCAAAATAAAGTATACAAGTTCAATTCCCAAATGAATGGATATTCAGTGACTTTGGTACTGCTGTGAACACCACCACAAATAAATAGTGAATCTTGTGATTGAATCGATGTCATGTGATAGACAGATGGTCCCTCATTTCTCGTTTCAATATATTTCCATTCTAGTGTTCTTAAATTAAGGGAAAATAAGTTATTCATGGAGCTGTACTTTTTTTGTTGAGGATCGTAGGACAATCCTCCATACAATATCAACGTATCTTTTCCATAAATATGAGAAACATGATGGCATAATGAAAGTGTATAGATGAAAGGTTCTTGATCCTCGAGTTCAACTTTCAGTAATCTTCTATCTTTCAACGAATATATAAGTATAGATTTTGTTGTCTTTAACTCCATATTCTGACTCTGTTCACAACCTCCGTGCATGATGATAAACTTATCCATATAGAGACTGCATGAACAATGAAGAGCAATGTCGCTAAACGTAGCTCTTTGAAGCCTATTGTTGAAAAAGTGACTTCGCCATTCGGGTACTGTGAAAAATTCACTCTCTCCAAAATCAAATGAGGTGTCTATGATTTCCTGTCCCACAGCCTCAATCAGGCGTGCATGTGTATCAAAGAGCTCAATGATCATTTGATCCAAATTAATGACCATGTGTCGGAACGGCGATGAGTTTTCATAGCATGTAAATCGAATAATCTTGGAAAATTGAAGGGATTTGTTGAGTCTTGTAGCAATGTCAAACTTCTCTCTGGTATTATATTGGTAGACAATGCCTATCGTAGAAGGTCGATTCGAATGGTATTGAATTTCAAAGCATTGAGGCTGTCGTTTTTCAGGACACATACTGTTCACAAAAAAGCTGTCGTCGTCACTATCTGTGGTGAGAGAGCCATCAAATAGATGGATACTTTGTTGAAGTTCAATCAAATCATGGGACGGTATTGATTTAAATTCAAAAGCTCGTGACTTTTCAAAATAGCACAAGGTATCATTGCCAATGAATCCTCCATAGTGTCCTCCACGTGCACTACTTAGTACACTTTGGCCGTTGATGGAAATTACCTTCAATTTTAGTTTTAGGTATCCTAGGGAAAAGACAATATCATGCCCAATTTCAAAGTAATGATAATGATAGAAATAATAAATATATCCAAGTAATGTACTGAAAGAAACTGCAGAGCCACTTAAATCATCTAATTTAAAAGTAATAGTTTGAAGAGATCGAAAACACTTCTCGCTGTACAATGGTAACTCCTTGGAAATGGTGTATGTTTTGAAATCGTAGTGAGGGTGGCTATAGTATGGGTTACTTTTGTCTCTAATTTCACAATTAATTTCATCATTGGTTTTTTCTCGGCATTTTGATGGATCCATAAAGAAGAATCGAACAGGTATTTCTTGACCAATCCCAACACCACATGTTTGTCTTTGATATTTTCCTATGAGTATCTTATCTTCGTCCATATCTCGTAGTATCACTCTGTACAGTACTGAACTTGGAAAGATTCTTGCATAGAGAACTAAATTTTGAGTATCTGTGTGGCTTAGTTGATTTGTCTCTATCAGCGACGTGCTGCAAAAAGCACAATCAAACTTGGCATCACTCGTATGTGAAAGGGGAGCAATTTTCATCAATAATGTAGGTTGTTCCTTGAAAATAACCTCACGATCTAGGAAATTCTTATTTGGTTGTGAAATGACAATGTCTACAGCAGTATTAGAAGTGATAACACCAAAATGGGCAATCTCGTTGCGTGCAAAATACAAGTTGCTCACAAAAAACTCAACACAGCTCTTAGTCTTTTTAGAGTGCTTGTTCATGGAGGAATAATCCAATCCAATGGTTTGGTTTTTTCCAAAGATATGTCCAATGTAATTGACCTTGACAAAGTTTGAAAATTGTTCTTTAAGTGTATTCTCATCGAGTTTTGAATTAAGTGAGTTATTTCTGAGTTTTAGTAGACCAATGATATCCTCTTCATACTTGACAGTAAAAACAATGCTCTCCAAAACTGCAACTTTGGTTCTGTTTCCGAATGTAAATGAGTAAAAGTCTGGGCACAATCTCTCTTCTACATCCCACTCTAGATATGAAGACTCTATTGTTACTTCATCAAATTCATCAACTTCGAGAGATTCTCGTTGAAAGAAATTCAAAGCAATTGTTTTCATATTTTTCTTCATAAAAGACTTTTTCTTTTTCGAATTCGCTGCTTCATATTGTTCAGGTAAACAATGATAGACATATCTTTTCCCTCGTGAAGAGAGTAATAAATAAATAATTTCTTGTCGAGAAGGATTAGAAGAAAATGTGACGGACTCCACTGAATATCGTTCATAGAATGCTTGCTTTCTCAACTCATGAAATAATTTCTCTGAGACGTAAACTCTATTTCCTTTCACCATGGACTCGAGGCTAATTTTTCGAACCGAGAGTTTCCGTATTGCAACCGGATTTCCCTTGGTATTTGCCTCCTTGTCCAGCAATGTATTATCAGACATCAATAATGGATCATCGATAAATTCTTGTTCCGAATAACTATCAATGGGTCGTTCTTCTCGCACTCGGACCTTCTCGTTGAAGCGAACATGTTTATGTTCATGATCCGAGTCATCACCTCCACTACTGCTGCGGTTACTTCCATGACTATCATACGATGAATCATTGAGTAAAAGATCGCCATCATCATCGCTCCAATTTTCGTCTTTCATTTCATCAACAAATACAACTCTTCTTCTCCGATTTTGTGTTGTTGTTGGAGATGATGAATTTGAAGTATTATTGCTATTACTACCACTACTAAAAACGTCCGCAGAAAATTGGCTACTAGAAGCCACAGAAGAGTTGGAGGTTGATGGCACCGATGACTCGTTTTCTATTATCGGGCGATCATTTTGCATTTTTTATTTGTGGGCTACTGAAATGACGGATCATGGCAGTTAGTTGGAGATGTGTGTGTGAACCTCTCTCTCTTGGATGCCAGAGAAGTCCGAGAAGGATTCTTTAATAAATTTCAATTTCCAAAATATCCAATTCTTGTGCGAGTTGTTGGCTTGTCAATCTATCTTGTGGTGACAGCTTTAATAATCTCTGCACGATATTAACCATTCCTTTAAGAACAATGTCTTTGTAAGCTTGTTCTCCTTGATAGCTTGCATAATTTCTGAGTATCAAGTTCATCATTTCGTTTTGACATTCTTTTTCGTTTTGAATTAATTTAAATGAAACATTGTAGTCAATATTAAGGGAAAGTAATTGAAATAATGTCACTCCTAGTGAAAACATATCTGCAGAAAGCCCATAGGAATGATGAAGCAATACCTCAGGTGCTTCGAATAGCAATGTTCCAATCTGTGTATGTCGTGTCGTATGAACATCTGATTTGGCCGTTCCAAAATCTGATAACACCACATGAATATCATTGGTAGAGGGATCAAATGATCGAATGAGCATGTTATGTGGTTTGATATCTCTGTGAATAATACTCTGTGCATGAATAAAAGATACAGCTTTGGACATTTGGAAGATAATTTGGAACACAAGTTTCAAGGAAATTGGACCTTTCTTGCCCTGATCGAGAAGTATGGTTTGCATTACATTGCCATACATGTATCGCTCCATTAAAATACACAGTAACGGAGAGAATAACAAATTGCCACTAAATGCTGGTGTTTCTTCCAAAACTTCTTTCCATGTAAATACTTGTTTCACTGTTGCAATATGTTCGTGTTGCAGCATCTCCATAAACATGGCTTCTCTTTTGGCACTCTCTTCTTCTTTACGTACGTCTTCATCTTTGTCATAATGATCATTGCTGGAGAGAATGAATTTAATGGCGAGTTTTTCATTTGTGATGGTGTCTTCACATCCAATCACAATGCCGTATCCACCTTTTCCTAGAATATCGGTTGTGAGATATCTATTCTTGATCAAGATTCCAAGGAAAGCATTCGAATAGTTAGCCATACTATCTGCTCCAAATTTTTTGGCAATGGTTGTGTTTTTCTTGAGTTTGAGTTGATTCACTCCTTCCTTGTCCAATTCCATCTCTTCCATGTCCTTAATATCAATAAATTGTTCAAATGTTTTGTCTAAAAATTGTAAGGAATATAAATCCTTTGCTTGAGGAAGGTCACATCGCTCAGCAATCTTTACAATAAATGAGGAAATGGTTTCGGTGGATGATACCTTCATTTTAAATTTCTTGGTCGATGTTTGAAAAACATTATTGACATATTCTACAGAAAATTTGTATGCAATTTCTACATTAGCATTCACTGGATCCATTGGCTTATTTAAAACAACTTTGAGCACAGAAATATCGTTAGGTTTGTTACTAAAAGTACGTTTCATAACATTGACTGCATTATCGTCGGTCACTCCAATATTTTTCACTTGATCCGAGTCATAATAGAGCTCAATGTTCTTGTCATCCTCATTTTGTAACTTGTTAAATCTGTCTTTTGCCAACGTTTTCAATTGTGCCAGAGTGGAAGCATCTGTGATGGTTGCAAAAATATTCTTTTCTTCAAAATTGATATATACAGAGATTGTTAAGCTTGGTGGAGCTTTTGTGGTCGAAAGAAGATTTGAATATTCCTCTTCTTCTTCTTCTTTTTGTTCTTTTTTAGGTTGAACTTTCTTAAATGATTTACGTTCAGTCTCTCGTGGACTCGTTGTGACATCAAAAACACTGTTCGGAGAGATTGATTTTCTTGAAGGTGGTTTTGCCGAGGTCTTTGATGGTAATTGTTGTACAACTGGCGAAGACGTCACGAAGCCAGTGGATTGTGAAAATGGTTGGGCTTGAAAATTAGTATTTCCAAATAATTGAACCTGTTCGGTTTCTGGAAAATATCCTGATGATTGTTGAGGTGGTGGTAAATATTCATTATTATACGCTTGTTGATTGTAGTGTTGAAACGTAAAACCACCTGATGATTGTTGAGGAGGTGTCAATGCATCTCTGATCGTTGGTTTTGTGACTTCTTTTGTTGAGCTCGGAGGTTTGCTGGTGGCAGTACTTGTGAGAGGACGAGAAGACAAGGTATGAGAGGACGTATTCGGAAGGGCAACTTTCGAATAAAATTGATGAGAATTTAGCTCTCCAGTAGATTGTGCTTGATTCATGAAGGAGTCGGACGGATCGGCATCAAAATTCTTGTTGGTTGACCACTAACATGATTTTTGTGATGAAATCAATTTTGAAAATTATGAACGACGAGTCGGAGAGAGAGGTATCGATGAAAACAAATGACATTTATGAGTACATATTTAAATATAAATTGAAAAATACGCACATAATTTCGAGGTCCCGAGTTTGATGTTGCCTCTATATTGAAATCACCAGTAGCGGTTCCACGTGGCATTGATGTGTTTCCCATTTTTCGCTTGGAGAAAAACGACATGCTGAACTAGGAACAGGTATATTTTTTTTAATTCGAACGTTTTTTCAATCCAGCTCATGAACTTGTGCTCGTTTCATTGTTTGGCATAAATAAGGAGGAAACTTTGTGAAATTGAAACTTCTTCTGGCAAAACTTCTTTGACATCCAAATCTTGTATTTCGTACCATTTATCCTCTGCAATATGGTGTATGTGAATCTTGTAAGATGCTCCCTCTCCTAAATTACCCTCGTGACAAATATTTGCAACCAAGTTATAGGTGGAACTGGTGTTAGAGGGATAGATTTCACTAATGTCTAGATTTTTGAGTGGAAAGTTGACAATGGTATTGTTTTTCTCTTCAAAGAAATAGTTTTTTGAAAATCTCTTCACATGAAACACAAGATAAGGCGGTAATTTCTCAATCTTGTATCTTCTCATTTCAACATCTCCATTCTTGAGAGGTATGGCTGTTTCTTTCATTCCATTAAATTTAGAAAGTAAACTGAACAATGAGACTTGTGGTAGGATATTTCGTGCATATTCATCTTTAAATAATGGTGTAGATGGAACATCCAGAGTCAGGTACATGAAAGGTGATTTTGATTGAGAAGTAATTTCGTCCTCTTTGTTCTGAGTGCTAGACGAAGAATCTGTAGCGGCTTTCTTTCTCCGTATTAGTGTTGAGGTGACAGTAATTTTTCCTCTAAATGTTTTAGAAATTATACTTTCGTTTTTGGGTTGATTGTTAGTGAGCTCTGTATGAAGAAAGTTTAGCAGCCATGTGAAAAATTGAACGGGATCTATGCTTTCTCCAAGCTTAAATTGCTTATTATTTTGAAGAATGGTCTGTACAAATTCGTGAGGGTTGACATGGCTTTTAAAACTTTTTGGATTCCACATTTTCCTCAATAGTTCGCTCAATAATAAAACTGCCCTAGATTTGACTTTGGTCAAGTTAATTTGATGTAGTAAGAAAAAATCACGAACGCTTTTCACACGTGAGAGTGCCTGAATGGCCACGTTGATACCATCGGTGGATTGCTTGATAGAGTTGAGGCCAACAATTCCCGGTATAAATTTTGCTCCATTACTCAAAGCCACACACACTTTCTGTTGATTGTCAATTTCTTGTACTTCCTTTTCGGAATAGGTTGGATTAAGATTGAATCGAATATCATCCAAAGTATGGTCAATGACTTCATAATTATCGGGTAAACAATAAATCTTTCCGTTTGACAAGCTCATAAATATGTGATGCCCCTCATTGAGAGCATGTATGAAGGCAGGAGTGGTCTCTCCTTTTCCTTTGAAAAATTTACCATCTACTAAACAACAATATACATTGGTATTTGATAGTGTCTCACAGCACTCCTTCTCAAAATCAAAGTCGAGAACTTTCCGATTGATAGAGTCGAGATAGGGACAATGATAACTTCTTTCATCAATAAGACTTCCTTTTGATGGTTTTGTTCGTTTCGGATCCTCTCCGTCTCCATGATGATGGATATCATCGACACCACTTGAAGAAGAAGCATTTTGATGATTTTCCGAGGTAAGCCGTAATGATGTTCCTTCCTCCACATTCTCAATCAATGGCTCATCCAATAAAGCATCACGGGTTCGTTTAGTCATGATGGATTAATAGATGATGATGATATAGCACCAATTCAATTTCAAAATCTACACAAAAGCAACTTTCCGTCTTCAACCACTTGTGTTGATTTGAGCTGATGATGTTGTTGGAGTATTTTCAGATGCGGCTGCTTTCAAAGTTGAAGTGCAGCCGAAATTGAATTTTTGTTTTTGATGAAGAACAAAAAATGAGTCAGACAATTCATTATGGTGGATCATCATCACGCGGTGATAAAGACTTCAACATGGACGAATTTATCTTTGATGAACCTGAAGTAACATTGAACGAAGATGTATCAAATGTTGTTATCATTGATGGATTACCGATTATTGAACAATCCAAGGAAGAGGCTTTAAAGTCCAAGGTATTGCAAATTGTGGAGAAGAAGGGAGAGGCTAATATTTTGAATTTTTACATTCCATATGATAGCAACGGAAAGTCAAAAGGAATGGCTTTCGTTGAAGTAGAGAATGCCGAGCAAGCTAAGAAGGTTATTGCTGGCGTAGAGGGCTTCCAATTTTCCAAGTTTACATTGCACGGAATTTCAGCAGCTGATGTAGACAAATATAACAAGTTTGATGAGAATACATACCTACAACAACAAAAACAACAACACTCAAAGCAATACAAGGAAAGAGACAATTTGGTAAGCTGGTTGAAGGATGAAAAGGCAAGAAGCCAGTACGCCTTGAGTTATGAAGACACAGTAGATATCTGTTGGAATGACCCACTTCACTTGAAGGAGATTGTCTTTTCGAAAGAAAAGTGGTCCGATGGTGATATTGACTTTTCTCCATTGGGATCCTATTTGGTTACATATCATGAACAAGGTGCTGCCTTGTGGGGTGGTCCGCAATTCACACTTCAAGACTCATTGTCACACAAAAAAGTGACTAGCGTACAATTCTCTCCAAAGGAGTCATTTGCTGTTACTGTAAGTGAATTGCCAGGAAGAGCTAGCTTGTGGGATTTGAGAGCGCAAAGAAAAGGTTTGACTATCCAATTGAAGGGCAATCTCCGAGGTCCTGTCTTTAAGTGGAGCGCCGATGAGAAGTACTTTGCAAGATTGGGTGAAGACTGTATTCACATTTTTGATTCCTCAACTATGGAATTGCTTGGCGGAAAGCCATATCTTGTTCCAGGTGTCAGAGATTTTGCATTTAACCCAGAAGGAAAATCATTCTTGATTTATGCAGCTGTGAATGAATCAAACGGTGAAGGTACCGTTTCCTTGGTTGAAGTTGGAAGAATTGTTAAAGACTTGAAATCAAAGCCATACTATAATGTAACAGATATTAAGTTGAAATGGCAACAAGCTGGAGATTATATTGCTATTGCTGTAAGCCGTGAATCTACTCTTTCAACAGAAAAAGTTACGACAACAACATTTGATATCATGCGAGTCAATCAAAAGAACTTCCCAATTGAAGGTGTAACAGATTTCAATGACTGTGTGGATGACTTTGAATTTGAACCTGTTGGTGATACCTTGGCAATTATCCATGGTCCTGGTAATGTCAAGAAATCTTTCAGCTTGTACACATTCAAGGGCACAAGCCACAAACTTATCAAAAAGGCTGAAAATAAGACAATTAACAGAATGTTCTGGTCACCTCGTGGTCATGACTTAGTACTTGCCAACACCAAGTTGGTGAGCGTTACATTGGAATTCTGGAATGCTGATGAAGGAGAACTCATTGGTACTGGCGAGCACTTTGCCATGACCGACGCTTGTTGGGATCCATCAGGAAGATACTTTGCTTCATTTGTTAGCGCTGAACGAAGATCTAACGACAATGGTTTTATTATTTGGACTTTCCTTGGTAAGATTATGCATCAAGCTCATGTTGATAAGCTTCATTCTTTCAAATGGAGACCAAGAATTCCATCTCTCCTTACCAATGCCATGGAGAAGGAAGTTAAAAAGAGATTACCTCAAAAGAAAGTCGAAATTGAAACCAAGCAACTCGAAGCTGCTAGAGCAATGCGTGACGAAAAGCTCAGAAAAAGAAAGAAGGCATGGGATGAATTTGAGGAAGTTATGGCCAGACTAAAGATTCAATATGAAAAGATGAAACCAGAATTGATTTCTCTCAAGGGTTACGATCCAGATGAGTACAATATGGAAGAAGTTGAAGAAGTTATTGAAACTACTGAAGAGGTCATTGAATAAGTCTCCAAAATCAAACTTGATAATTTAACCAAATTTATAAATTCAAGCAGTTGGAAACGTAATTGAACTGTAATGAAAAGTGCATAGTAGTATCTATCTACTTTTTATTTTTCTTGGAGGGTTGATGCATTAACTTGGAAGAGATGGTAGCTGACTCCTCTTCCTCCTTTTTTCTCTTCTTTTGTGCTTGCTTAATAGATAGTTCAGCATCTACATCATCACCAAGCTCTGTTCGAATAGCCATCATTATTTCAACCTCTTCCTTACTTCTAATCATGGAATTTAACTCTTGTTGTGATATGTCCATGTCTGTTAATTCTTCACCTGTATTTACACCTTCCCTTCCCATATAATACGGTATTGAGCTTTGATGTCTTTGTCCTGAAATAAGAGCCTCTTCAGGAACACCCTCAAGAAGTAATTTTTCCATTTCTAAAACTTCCGCAGACACTGGCTGTGATGACGTCGTTAAGGGTTTTTTCTCATCCTCGTGTTTAGTTAAATTATTCATCATCGACTGCTGTATTCGTTGTTTGGCAAGCTGCACAGCTCCTCTTCTCTTTTCTTTACACAGCTGAGATTGAATGAATGAGGGAGGTAATGACTCTGAAAGTTGCGAATTAATTAATGCAATTTCTTTAGATAGTTTTCCTTTTGTCATTGTTTCAAGTCGTTGCAGACTAGATTTGAGAACTTCCTGAGGTATCATCTGAGAGGAAGTGTCTTCAGATTTTACAGTGGATGCAGAGGTTGATGATATATCTGAAAGACGTGTTGGAGAATCGGGGTCCAGTTCTGTTTTCGTTCGATGTAAATCTCTAAGAGCTTCTACATGTTCCAAAATAAAGCTTAAATATCGATTGAATGACACATCTTTGGCACAAATTTCATGATGAAATGGTAATTCGTTTGAGAGATTAAGTAATAACTGCTTCAATTCCTTATATCTTTCTCGTATCGTGTTTTCTCCTGTGTGCGTATATTCTGCAACTTCTCGGCAAGTTAGTTTGATAGAACATGATTGCATGGCCATTATCAGCGCAGCTCCAACAAGAGCCACTGGCCGACGTCCTGTATCCAGACATTCTTTGATGGCTACTCGTATGATTCGTCTCATTCTCATGTTGACATCTGTTTTCTTTTTCATATCTACATTGCTGTTTGCATCTAAAAAACAATCTTCAAACTCATTCGTCATTCTGTCACACAGCACCTCTAGATCAAGGGGGTCGACTTGAATTCCAAAATTATGACAAATTGCTTTGTATTTCTTTCCCAGCTCAAAAATACTGTATCCAGTGACCTCTGAAAGATCTAAAAGAGTGAGTGGTAATTTAGCACGTCGACAAACAACATATATCGATCCACAAATTATTCCATCGATCCACTTTGTTCGTGTATATCGTAATAATTTTGTCGATGTTGAGTCAACTTCTGGTTCCTTAGCTTGTTGAGAATTGGATGTCTTGTTAGAGTAGAGAGTTGTTTTAAACTTTTCTTTGAGAAGAGCCATATTGTGTTCACGTTGGTCTTCAATAGAGGGTGGCGCGTTAGTATTAGAATAATCTGGTATATCGAAAATTCTTTCAGGACTGTTTCCTTCACTAGACTCAATCTTGCAGTCTTTGGATGGTGAGACAGCCTCTTCGTCAAAATCAATCTCGGTTTCATCCTCGTCATGATCTATTACATATTCACCTGTATTTAAATTATAAATCATGGAAGTGTTGTCTGTTGTGTCTTCCGCAATATCATTGCTGTGTATTTTCCTACTAGTCTTTTTTCGTGACTCATCACTCGGTCGTTCAGCCATTTTACAAACTAGATCCATCACCTCTGGTAAATATCGTTGTGGAACATTAAGAGCAGCTAAAAGTTTTTGTGCTCGTGTTTCGGCCTTGTGCTTGGCCGATATTTGTCTTTGCAATCGAGCTTGAGCTTTAGAACTCAATCCCTGAATGACAGAATTAGGATCTTCTGCTGTGGCAAAAATATATGCACCGATCAAACCTTCGTCATTAGAAACATGACGACCAAGTTTCGTCGAATCATCCTTATCAAACTCAATCTCTTCTCTAAAAATAGAGCTAGTTTGAAAACCGGCTGATGATGAAATACTTGTTCCACATTCCGTACAACAATCGCCATAAATACCATCGGAATCAACAAATTCCAAAGAAGCTCCACAATGGCTACATCGTGTTCCATCGTCATAGTACTGTTGTTGTTGTTGTTGAGTATTTCCTCTCAATGATGATCGTTTTCCATACATGCTCATCATTTCTTCATGGTCCTCCTCTTCCGAAAGGCTTGGCGTGCGAGAAGACGACCCCGATGAGGATGCCACAGAATTTGTTGGTGATGATGCACTCATTTTTTTTGAAAAAAAAGAATTCCATAATGCCTCTTTCAAAATGATAACTTCAACATGATTCATGAAGGTTAAAGAAGAAGAGAAATTTATTATTACCATGAAACTTGCCGCTCTTTTTAACTGCCGCTCCTTTCAAATTTAAAAAAAAATGTCGCAATCAACAACACCCAGCAAGAGCGAAGCATCAAATTCTTCGTTGACCCATCCTGTGAGCTCCCTCGAATTGTACTTTTCAGATAATTTCATGGAAAATGAGCCCATGTATCGAGTGTTTGAATTTCCGGAGGGTTTTGATATTGAAAGTTTTTTAAACGGAATTAATCCTTCGGCTCATGATGAAAATCAAATGCAGGATGACAACGATGAAGAGCTTTTGAAAATGGAAAATAATGTAGAAGATTTACCGATTGCTTTTTATATTAAAGGAGAGAGAACAGCTCCTGCAATTTTATGTACCGATACCAATAGTTTTGATCTCACAAAAGTTGATACCTCCAATACAGTATTGGTTTTCGATCCCAATAGTGGAGAAATTCATGGAAGAGTGTCTTGCACTTATGAAATTACACCAACTATTGTCCGTGTGAGGGAAGAAATTGAAAAAGTTCTTCCTTTCTACCCAAAGAATGGTTTGAGTGAGCTCTCAAAGTCTTCAGCAAACTCTGGGAATGTTAAATTTCGTTCTGAAAATCAAAAACATGCAATGACACTAGAGGAATTGGAGTCTTGCATTAGGGCGAGTCGTCAAGAAATTTTCGATTGTCTTGTTCATGAATGTAATGCAGTGTGTGATGATGAAACTCAACGGTGGTACTTGTTGGATCAAAAGTTGTTCTTTCAAATTTATGAATTACTGCTCTTGACCTTGGCAGAGACATCCTTTTCTGATAAGCTTATTCTTGATCGAGAATCAGTTATCACAGAATTAAGTCAAGATTATGATTCTGTTTTGCTTCAACATTGTCTTCAGTTAATATCCGTAAGAGATACGAATAACCAACAATCACTTAATTTATTCTCCAATACTGTAGAGATTGATGTAGACAAAATTTGTGTTTTCAATGCAATTTCACTCTTCTCTTCTCATAACAAGTGGCGACTCCAAGATTTTCAGAATACTTGGCATGAATCTTTGAGCTCTTTCCATCAATTACAAGGCTTCAAAAATCCTGAAATTTCCTCTCTCATTTCACAAGGATACTGCATTACGGTGGAAGAAGAAAAGAATGCATCTCAAGATAATATTATGATTTATTTCCTCGATCGACGATCACTGCCAGCTCAATTCAAAGAACGTCTTGCAAGAATGTTCAACTGCAAACCCAAATGGACATTTAATGAGCTATTGATATATCTTGCAGAATTGTTCCCCGCTTCAAAGAACGAATCATCTCTCCATCAAGAAATGGAAGCCATGCTCCGTAAACACTGTAAAGTTCAACAAAATCCACTCAAAAAAGAAAAATACTACATGATGAAGTAACGTTAACAAAATAAACTCTTTTTGCAAAATTCTTTTGTTTTTGGATTGCTACAGACAAGTCAAACCAACACTTGCGAATAAAAATTCCATAATAGTGTTTTATTTACTTTTTAACAGTGCTAGCAGAAGGGGTAGTGGCTGGCTTTTCAGTAGCCTTAACCTCAGTTGGCTCTTGAATTCCTGACATTTCTTTCAGCCTCAACAATGCCTCTTCCTTGGAAATGTCAAGCTTTTTGTTTGATTGATTAAAGATCTTGTCAAAGATGGTGATAGCTTGAGTCACTTGTGATGAAACATCGCTGACATTGGATGGAATAATGACAGTGTTACCAGTCTTGGCAAGTCTACCAAATTGTTCAATATAATTTTCGGCAATCTTCAATGCAACAGCTTTCTCTCCATTTTCGTGTGAAATAGCGGAGGCCAATCTTTCAATGGCTTCTGCGTAAGCTTCAGCTGCAGCCTTGACAGCAAATGCCTTACCCTTGGCAAGATTAATTTCTTCAATCATGTTAGCTTCAGAAACCAACTCAACAGCAGTCTTTCTACCCTTAGCAACGTTTTCTTGAGCTTCCTTTTCAGCGAGAGAGTCTAAGACAGTCTTTCTCTTCTTACGTTCAGCTTCAGCTTCAAGGTCCATCGCCTGTTTAATTTGAGTTGGAACTTGAATGTCTCTAATTTCGTAACGTTGAATTGAAATACCCCATCCAGATGCAATCTTTTCGATACCTTGCACAATTTTCTCGTTCAAATGTTGTCTCTCTGCGAAGGTATTATCGAGTGTGATTTTACCAATTTCTGAACGCATGGTTGTTTGAGCCAAGTTCATAATGGCAACAAATGGCTTTTCAATTTCGTAACTTGCCTTGTAGGCGTCAGTAATACGAGTGTACAAGACACCATCCAAATTGAGTTGCACGTTATCTTTAGTGATGGCTGTTTGTTTGTTGACTTCCAAAATAATTTCCTTGGTTGTGTGCTTGTAAGCAATAGTGTCCAATAATGGAATTAAGAAATGAATACCGCTGTCCAAGGTCTTGCAGTAACGTCCAAAACGTTCGACTACCCATTGTTCAGCGTGTGGAACGATGACAATTGGCTATTTTGATCGGCATCGAAAAGTTTTGAAATTTGATGATTTCACCATGTAATAATATAATAATTTCGGAATGATCATTAAGAATTTCAGAAGATCATTTCCAAATTTCACAATCAGGATCATCATGAAATATTGGATTAATTATTTGAATCCATATGAACAATAAGAGGAATTGTATGAATTTCAATCATTGTACCGTTAGTCAAAAGTACTTACACTCAACAAAGTAGTTCTCAATCTCTCGGAATAGCTCTCAGAATTTGAAATTTGTAAACCAGGAATAGCACCATGAGTAGAAATATTTCCTCCCACAGTAAATTCCTTTGTATTAAATTGGTAACCTCTCATCATCATCTTGCTTGCCATTTCATTTTGAAATATCATCAAAGAACCCATAGAATACTTTCCGAAGAGATCATTCTTGGCCGATGATGATGCAATGACCTTCTTGATCATGCCATAATTGTTGTTTGATGATGATTGTACTAATTTACGGGAGAGAGCCTTCGAGCATTGGCGTAACATTTTTTTATTTTTAATTCTTTTTTGATTGACTTGAAGTTATCTAACTGAATCAAAAGATCTCCGAGATTAAAAATTGCTTTTCAAAAAAACATCTCAGGCTTGCTTTGAGACTTCGAACTCCAGCCCGTCTCAATATATATTGTCAAAGATGTCACAACAGGATGGACCTCAAAAAGTGAATTTAGGTAAATTTCACTTCAAAATGCAGGTTCCTTTGGCTTCCTCAACATTTCCGAATTTCACACCAACAAAAAAATAAATCGAAATCACAACACCGAAACACATGCACCAACCACACTCTCTAGGCATTCATGGCAGTGCTTTGGATCTCATTGGAAACACTCCACTCCTTTCACTCGATCGAATTTATAATCATTTCTTTAATTCACACCATTTGACACCTCCAAAAAGTTGTAGACTTTTGGCAAAAGTTGAATTCATGCAACCTGGAGGGAGCATCAAGGATAGAGCTGCAAAGAAAATCATAGAACTCGCCTACAACAAGGGAGAACTTAAAAAAGGAATGACAGTGGTCGAAATGACAAGTGGCAACATGGGTGCTGGTCTCGCCGTAATTTGTGCCATCACAGGAAATCCATTCATTGCTGTCATGTCAGAAGGTAACTCACCAGAACGAGCAAAAATGTTGAGAGGATTAGGTGCTCAAGTGGTTCTCGTTCCTCAGGTCACAGGCTCACCTGGACAAGTGACAGGAGAAGATATCGAACAAGCTGCCAAAGAAGCCAAACGAATTGCATTAGAGAATGGTGCTTACTATGTCGACCAATTCAACAACGAAGGAAGTATATTGGCTCATGAAACAACGACAGGACCTGAAATTTGGAATCAAACCAACGGAACAGTGAATGCCTTTGTTGCTTGTGTTGGAAGTGGAGGCACTTTCATTGGAACTTCAAAATATTTAAAACGAGTGAGTGAAGGAAATGTGAAATGTGTGGCTGTAGAACCATTGAAATGTCAAGTTCTTCAATCCACCACCACCACCACCGCCACCACTCATGATCATCTTTCACAACAATCCATTAAGGAGAAACATGTACTTCAAGGAACTGGTTATGGTTTCATTCCTCCTCATTGGGATCACGCACTCGTTGATGATTTCGAACACGTTTCGGATGAAGAAGCCATTGAATATAGACAATTATTGGCAGAGAAGGAAGGATTGTTTGTGGGATATTCTGCAGCTGCCAATGTTGTTGCTTCTTTAAAATACATTCTTAAATCTCTGAATTCAGAGATTGTGAAAAAGGTGGAATGCAGAACGATGAATGATCGTGAGGAAGGAAATTCGAATGTGGTACTGGTCGCTACTGTGTTGTGTGATACAGGGTTGAAATATTAAAATTGTTCCAGGCGAATGTTTGGCCGTAAATTCTGTATGACACAGTTATTTGAAATGCGAGAAATAATTTCATCCTAATTAATAATGGAGCTTCCTTAAAAAACTGTTGGATTCTGTCACGTGTCATGTAATTAAATGGCCAATAGAAAAAATGGCGGAACTGCTTGTGTTAGCAGACAATAACAACAACAACAATACTCTAGTCATTAACACGACCGCCATCCCTAACTGTCATCCTCTTCTTCTCAACCTCACTCTCACCAATCCCTCTCTCTTTCGGAGTCATGATCTCCTTCGCTCCGTTTCCGATTGGACTTCCATGTGTCCAGACACTTACATTTCCATGGCACTCTCTTTATTTGTCTTACTTGGCTATCTACTCACCTTTTTATTGGCTCTGATTGGAATTATCTACAAACGCACAAGTCAAAATATTGTCGCTCGGAATTTTATTTTATTACTCTTCACACTCTTTGCTGAATGTTTATTTGTCTTGCCCATCACTTTGAGAATTATTGTTGGAAAGAGTATTTATCCGTGTGTCATTCCTTCATTGATTTTCTTTATTTTACCTCCAATTATAGCATTGCCGACTATTTTGAGATTATTGAGAGTGTATGGAATGTATCGATTGAATTTGAAGAAGGCAAATTTCGTTGCTGGGAGAGGGAGTAGTGCTTCTGATGAAAGAAGTATGCATATTCTACAGGGATTGGAGGATGGAGCTGTCAGTCATCCACACAAAGAAGTTCAAAAAGATGATGAAAATAATCAAATCGTTTTGGAAATGAAAGAGCATGATCATGTACATCAAGAAATTAAGGATCCAGAATCGATCAAAACCAATCATCCTCAAACGTCAAACCATGTCAACAAGGATTCTGAACCACAGCTCAAGCGATTGTCTCTATTGACCTCTCCTCACTTTAAGCTTTTACAATTACTCACCAGTGATAAGATTATTTTTGTTCTTTCGATTGCTGCTTTACTCATTCACATTTCGTTATGGGCTATTTTTGGTGGAATTCAAGAAGGAATTCACAATTCGAGTGGAAATTGGTTTTTTTTGGCCACGAGTTTTTTTGAAGTTAATAAGGGATGTGGAATTAAGCCAAATATTTTCATTGTGATTGGAGTAGAGGGAGGATTTTATATTGTTATAGAAATTATTTCATTGATATTATGTATCAGGGCAGATCGTGATACTTGGAATGTGAAAATTGAAAGTTTGGTATTTATTGGTGTTCAAGCAACAAGTGTCATTGCGTACATTGTTCTGGGATTTATTCCAGTGATTACAACATTGGTGGATTATTTTGCTCCATTTGTTCTAATTTGTGCATTAATGCTTTGGTTTGAATGCACCTATTGCGTATTATTGCCGGTCTGCTACGCCATTCTCGAAGATTGGAAAAAAGCATCCAAGAATGCAGCTTCCGAGAATACTGTGTTAAAATTATTGAAAAACAAAAAAGCCTATGAAATGGTGAAGGATTTTGCACGTAGAAGTTATTGTTTGGAACCAGTGTTAGCGTGGGAAGATATTCAACGATTCAAGTCATTGAAAAAGGAGAAACGACAAGAGTTCGCCTTGAAAATTATTGAGAGATACTTGAAAGTGGGAGCTGTGATGGAATTGAATACATCTGGAATTGACAACATTAGAAATTCAATTCTTGAGGCAATGAATGCACAGAGTGATCATGAAATTAGTGTGAATTTGTTTGACAAGGTTGAAACCGAATGCATGTTAAATATGACCGATGTGTTGGTGAGATTGCGAGAGAAGAATGAGTATATTCACTCCTTAATGAAAGAATAGCTTGTTTGGTGAGAATTTACAAGATTCATAGAAATGAGTTTTCATCCCAACAGTATGACATGAAATTCTTCATCATTAAGGATTCATATAGAACTCTCGGGAAACAAATTTACGAATCAGTTTTGGAAATCGTCAAAATTGACACACCTCTGTAAGTCCATATTACTTTTAAGCTTGTACAAGGAGAATCAACACCCAACACTGCAAATACTGGATCAGAGTTTCAAATCACACTCACAGTCTAGAACGCAATGTACTCCTCTTCTGACAGCACTGTCGAACCATTGGACTCTTCTCTCAAATGACAAGTTAAAAAAATCTTCTGTCCTCCATGTTCCTGACAAGCACGGGTGGCCAACTCCTTCAGTAAAAATGACCAAGATGCGAGACAAGATTCTTCGCGAGCGCACTTTTATTTTTTACTCAGTTTATAACACCGACCAATTTTCAATTCTTGTTTCAGAGTTGAACTGTTCGACAATTACGCAAGCTGAAACCAAGATTTTCATACAGTATATGTTTCATTCCGTCTAGTTTCATATTCTTTAGTTTGGAATTGTGAGACCTAATATACAATAAATAGCGGCCGTTAAAAAAAGGTGACACTGACTTTAGTTGAATTAAACATAAAGCCCGTGTAAAGTGCAAACAACCAACAAGAAATTCTAGAATAACAGGCCAATATACACTCAAGGATAATCTATTTGTTCTGCACTTTTGACGGGCTTGGTGTTAATTTCAAAGTCTTACAACTAATTGCTTTTGCTTGCATTCAACAGAAATTTTTTCGAAAAGAAAAATGAAAAGAAGACGTTGCTGCCTTTGCTCCAAGAACGCTTTGCGAACCGTGCCAACAAATATCACCATACTCGGAACAGAAAAGTCCAATGCAACACCTTTGCTATGCAATACACATTACAACAATATCAATAATTTTAAAAACACCCACCACATCAGCAACCCTGTTACCATTGAAATTCAAAAACAACCAAAAGGAGTGAAAGATATCATTTCAATCGTTACCGATAAATTCGGTCAATGCAAACATTCCGACAACAAGTGCTGTAGTAATTGCAAAGAAGGTAATACGCGATGTAAAGGCATCTCTTTCGAAAAAGTGAGCCATTTATTAACAGTATCGGGAATCATATCACACAATGGCCACAGCTTCGGAAGTGTGAATTTCAATCATCATGGCGAATTTTGTTTTTTTAATGTAGACTGCAATAATTGCAATCTCAACAAATATGGAGTTTGTGAAAAATGTTATGAATGCTATGAAACAAAATTACGCCATTATCAGCGAACAATTGAAAACCAAAATACCAAAACAGCTCACCTCGCTGCAAGAACACAAGAATACAAAAATGTCATCAAATCATTGAAGGCAAAAATCTCTCGACGAGATACTACAATTAAGAATTTCGAAGAATTAATTGAAGAAAAAGATCAAAAACATTATTTGGTAGAACTTCTCTCGATTGTGCTAGAGGAAGGAAAGTTACATGAAACCCAGTTCTTTTATCAATTATTAGAAAATACTTTGCAAAATTTGGTTTCGTCGAAAAATGTTAACGGTTTTCGATACAAAGAGTGTATCATTCATTGGTGTTTATTACTTCGATTTTATGGTGGTTCTCGTTTGTGGAATATTTTGAAAGGAAATTCTTCCGGTGAAACTATAACATCTGAAAACGCATTAGATAAGCTTAATCTATTACTTCCATCTATCTCAACAATTAAGAGCTATCTTCCAGACTTGTCTTTTGGTAACCTTGTCGACAGTGATTTGAAAGATATTGTTAAAGCCATGGCATTGAATAATATTAGTAATAAGATCATAATTTCATATGATGAAATAGAGATTAGAGGAGGATTATGTGTGATGAAAAGTACTGGAAAAGTAATTGGATTCACAAATTGCAATGAAAAGTCTTTTGAAGATATATATAACGCAAAAAGAGAAATTACACCAGACGATATTGCTAGTCATGTGTGCCAGTTTTTTGCAACAACTCTTGACGGTGAGATGTCTTTTCCTATTTGTTTTGGTGGTCACAAATCAAACCATTATGAATTTATTACAAAGAAAATGACAGAAATTAGAGATCAATTCAAACGAACTTCTTATGGAGATTATGTTTTAGAGGTGGTTGGAGGTTGTAGTGATGGATTAGCTGGTAATTATCAATATGCAACCTCTCATACTAATGAAAATTATGTTCACCTTTTTGATTGGTCTCATTTGCTCAAACGGTTGAGAAATCGTTTATTGAAAGGGGATGATTTGATTATTGAAAAAGAGAGTTTTTCTATGAATACATTATTGAAGGTTAGAAATGAACCCCAACTGCGAGACTGGGTATCGGAAAATATAATTTACCCAGTCGACATTATGAAAATGGAACCTGTTTTTGCATTGATAGATTCTAATGTTATTAGTGGAATTGAACAAAGCAAGCAAATAGGATGTTGTGCATTAGCAAAATATTTAACGTTAATGCAACAAATACATCAAATTTTTGACGATGAACGATGTTCAAACTGGAATGAGAAAAAACAATTAATTGAATCTGTACTGATAACACTTAAGGAATGGAAAGATGCGAATCCTAACATCATTAGTGACGAATTGTATTCTCATATTGTGATGACTATGACTTCACTTCGTTCTCTTTTTGAAAAATATGGAAACCATATTCAAATTAAGGCTTGTGGAATTTCGACATTAATTGTTGAACATTTTTTTTCCTTAATTCGAGGAAAAATACGATACCCTAATTTTCGAGATTATTGTGGGATCTATCGAGCCGTATGGATTGCTTTGAAGACGAAATTGGCAAAAAATTCTCCAATTAATGTCAATCAACAATCAACCACAAAGTGTTATGGAAATTGTAACGTACGCTTAGACTATTCTGAATTACATCGAAAACACTATGTAAAGAAACACATTCTTCAAGAAGACGATGAGGACACTTTGTTAGAGAAAGATCAAACTATTTCTGAAGAGATGTATGAATATGTGCTCGATGTCACTCAAGATTTTCTTCCACAGAATCTTCAGTAATGATAATGAACACAAAGCAAAGAAGAAAGTTGGATGTAGATGTAAAAAAGGAAATTGTTTGAATTGTAATTGTGCCAAGCTTGGAAGAATATGTGATGCAACTTGTGGGTGTAATTCAGAAATTTGCAAACGGAGACAGTGCCAAGTTTGTTCCAACTACACGGAACTAATATTATGTTCCTGTTGTTCTGATATTGTTTGTGAACGATGCTCTTACAATGGAGAATGTCAACGATGTTCTATGTTCATAGTTTATCATTGCAAATGTTGTCACAGACTAACCAATGCCGTTTCTAAATGCCTTCAATGTCAAAATTCAACATGTTGCAAGTGTTACTATGATGGCCTTTGTAAGATCTGCCATCCAAACATGCCAACATTCTATGCAATTCATGCCACAAGCCCTGTTTATCACTAACTCCATGCAAGGATTGTGGCTTGAAAGTATGTAATGACTGTTTGAGAGAGAGATGGTGTCGATCATGTGATTGTGATGAGGGGGAATGGTTGTCTTCAACTCAGTCACAATTCCAGTCCTCCATGGACGTGACAAATTTTTAAGAAGTAGCTACCATGGCTCTTGTAATGCCAATTCAACATATTGAGGCACCAATAGTGATGTGGTGTTTCCTTTATGTGTCAGAAACAATCAATTGTATTGGCAGGTTTTGATGGATTGAAACCATCATAAAATCATCCTATGGTCGTTGTGTTATTAAAATTCCCAGCGAAAAGTTTTCTCGTAGCTTGAGGTGTTCACGAAAAAATACGCTCGAGTTGTCCACCCGTGCTGACAAGTGTCACCCCCACCAGTAAAAATAGTTCTACTATTTCATCATCATTGGTTGAATCAACGCATTCATTACCATCAAATATCAATCAAATTGCTGAAACAAATACTTCCTCTCCTCCTACAGCTTCCAACGAGATCAATACACCATTCATTGATGATATTATTTTTGAAATTCTTCATTTCCTCGAATCATTGTTTATTATTCAAGTTTGTATGAAAATTTCCAAACAATGGAGACAAGTATCGTTTCAAATTCCGCTCTCGTTAACATTCCTATCCACTCACTTCAAACAAGTTTCTGAACCAACCAAACTTTTAGCTAATTGTGAATGTTTGAAGAATTTGACTTGTTTGAATTTGTACCTCACGAGAATTGACAATGACGGTGTCAAATATATTGCTGCGAGCAAATATTTGAAGAATTTGACTTCTTTGAATATGAAACACAATCAAATTGGCAGTGAAGGAGTCAAATATATTTCTATGAGCGAAGGTTTAAAGAATTTGACTTCTTTGGATCTTGATTACAATCAACTCGGTAATGAAGGAGTCCAATATATTTCTATGAGTGATTGCTTGATAAATTTGACTTGCTTAAATCTGAAACACAATCAAATTGGCAGTGAAGGAGTCAAATATATTTCTATGAGCGAAGGTTTAAAGAATTTGACTTCTTTGGATCTGAATAACAATCAAATTGGCAATGAAGGAGCCCAATATATTTCTACAAGTGATTGTTTGATAAATTTGACTTGCTTAAATCTGAAACACAATCAAATTGGCAGTGAAGGAGTCAAATATATTTCTATGAGCGAAGGTTTAAAGAATTTGACTTCTTTGGATCTTGATTACAATCAACTCGGTAATGAAGGAGTCCAATATATTTCTATGAGTGATTGCTTGAAGAATTTGACTTCTTTGAATATGAAACACAATCAAATTGGCAGTGAAGGAGTCAAATATATTTCTGTGAGCGAAGGTTTGAAGAATTTGACTTCTTTGGATCTTGATTCCAATCAAATTGGAAGAGAAGGAATGAAATATATTGCTGCGAGCAAATATTTGACGAATTTGACTTCTTTGAGTTTGAATAGAAACCGAATTGGCAATGAAGGTGTCAAACATGTTTCTACAAGTGATTGTTTGCAGAATTTGACTTCTTTGAGTTTGAATAGAAACCGAATTGGCAATGAAGGAGCCCAATATATTTCTACAAGTGATTGTTTGAAAAATTTGACTTCTTTGAGTCTGAGACGCAACCGAATTGACCATGAAGGAGTCAAATATATTTCTACAAGCGAATGTTTAAAGAATTTGACTTCTTTGGATCTTGATGATGATGTATAGCTGATAATTTTTCAGACAAAGTGGAACGTTCTGATAACTACAGCCTAGAAAGGTCATTAAATGCTTGAGAAATATTTGCAGTTAAAGCTAAACATGTTTTCAATGCAGTTTAAATGCTGCTTTGATATCTACTTGTTGCAACGCCGAAATAATGTTTCAATACTTTTCATCGTGCTTCATGTTCTTGCTCTTTACGCTTGATTAATTTCATTTCCTTCAATTGTTATTTTTTCAGTATATTTTTGACAACAGCAAACTATTGAAATAGATTCCTAGTTCCCATTCCATTATTCTGTTACCTGTTGAGCATTCCCTAGTAGTTCATGCTATGGTTAGTCGTGTTGTGATGATGATGAGGATGAGCAATAAATGCTTCCGACGGAAGTAATCCTTGCTCTTTGGCTTTTGTAAAAAGCTCCAGAGCAGTTTGTGGTGCCCACTGAGCTTCTTCTAGACACATGAGCGCATATTGATGTGTCAATCCAGTATATTCTGATAATTGAAAGACCAAATGTTGTTGTTCCGTGGAATAATGTTTTGTTTGTACAGAAACAGACTGTTGTTGAGGATTCATCTGATTCATGAGTGAAGAAGAGTGGAAATTGGAGTAGATCGGTTGTTCCTGTGGAATTATTTGAGAAGAACTTGAACTGATGTTCTGCGAAGTCACAACATTTGGTGACGCTGAAACAGTAGTGGTTTCAACAACAGTTGGAGCAGTTTTTTCTCGTTTGTGCTTTTCTTTTTCCTTCCTTTGTTGAGCTCGTTTCACTTCATTGGCTAAATACAACAATGTATAATTTCTCATCTTGTCTATCTCTTCAATTTCTTTGGTTTTGTCAGGAAATATTTCAATCAATCGTTGCATGGCATCTACATAGTGATAAGTATCTCGTAAAGTGAAAAAATTTTGGTGTGCCCACTTATTTCTACATGTTCTCACTTCAAATAAAAAAGATTTTTCTGCATTGGTTAAGTTCCGTTGATTTTGTGCAAATAAATCATTCCAATGTCGTAAAATTATTGAAATTATATTTTGAGTATCCCAATTTTGTGTTGCATCGGAAGATGTTCGATTTAGCGAGAAGGGTTTTGAAGACGTGGTGAAATCAATTTCTAATTTGTTTGAAGATTGTTGAACCGCTAATTGCCAACCCTCTGGTCCATATTGTTCAATTAAAGCCTGCCTTAAAAAAGGTTCATATACTCGATTAAATAATTTTAAACATCTTCCGAGCAAGTCATGAATCTGTTGATCATCCCATTCATTGGAAATAAAAGTTCATAAATTTCAAAAAAGTTTGAAATCATGAAATTAACAAATTAAACTTCTCAACTGACAGGTTCCGTGATGTTTTCATACCTTTTGTTGATCGAGGGTTTCTTCCGATTCTGATGATGACGAAGATGGTTTCATTTTTTTTTGCAACACTCTGTTGAGGGCTGTCAACTTTAATAATTTATTGAAAAAATGTTCATTAGAAATCTCTTCAAGTCATCACGAGCCGAGAGAGGTAGGTATTTGTTGAAATTTCATCATGACAACAACAGCAAATAATTTTTTACTGGATATTCGTCGCTGTCACTGATTGGCCTCGCTATTACGATTTTTAATTCATTTTCACCACAACAACAGGAGCTTCTTTTTTAACGGAGGAAGAAGTTGATGAACAAAATTCTGGAAATATAAATCAAGAAAGTTATAAATTACCTGCTTCTATAACTGTGCCTCTCATGGAAGATGATGCTCTCATGAAGTCATTGTTTTTCCCAAATCAAATATTTGACAAGTGTGATTGTCCTGTCGAAGATACAAAGCCCAGCACATTGGGAGAAATATTTTGCAGTGTGTCACCTTTTTCCGATGACGTTTTAACATTCAAAGATTTGGATCGAAAGGATATGTTTCTTCAGAAAATGAAAGGCATTAAATGTGAGCGAACGAATCGACAAATTGAAATGATGGCACAGGACTATGTCATTAAACAACGCTTTCAATATCGATATTTCTACAGGAAGAGAGAAGATAACACAAAGAATTCTGAATGTCTTCTAAATATTGCAATCGGAGTCATGAGCGTTAATCCACAATGTGAGAGGAGAATTTTGGATTATGATCCATCGGAGGAAGGTCCTTTTTTCCAATTAGTACCTCTGGTTGGTAATAGAATTCTTTCCTGGAACGATTGTTCTCTTGTGAGTAAGTGTCACAACATATTTGAAAAGAGAGTTATCATATTATTCATTATTCTCACCATTAATCGTTGTGATCGTCACAAAATCGCCACACATACAGCTGTTGGACTGAGATGTAAGGAGAATGTAACAACCATCATTGATTTAGTGAAATTAGTGAATCAAGAACAAGTCACAAAAGTATTGGAGGAATTAGCAGATGAATGTTGCATGTGGAATGGTGAAAAAATGTTCAGTTATACCTCCAACAATAGTTTTCACTGTAAGTGTTGTCTCCATATTGTTACACGCCTACAATTATACTCTTTTTAGTTCTGAAAGCTATTATATCCAGAATTCTAACAAGCCTTTCAAAAATTTCCACTTTAAACGATGAACAAAAAACTATTTCTAAAAAGTCATTGGATGAAATTATTGAATCAAAGCTAACATATAGTATCAAAACCTATGTCAGAGAGTTTGTAGAATCAAAAGGATATTCAAGAGCAATCATTCCTCTAGCTCACAAAGTTAAACCACTGAGTCCAGAAATTATCAAGCAATTTGGGGAGAGTTATCAAAGTCTTCCTTCAAATGCCTTGACTCAACCATTACTCTTCACAACAGAGCAGCAACTTGATATTTACAAAAAGATTGTGGAAAGCAATATGTCCACTTATTTTGTCAGTGAAGGAATGCAGGAATATCGGTTTTGGAGCGTAAGTAGACGATTTTGTGCAACAATGTAACAAATGTCTAACTATCTTGGTCATTATTATCCATGACTGAAGTGTTTGAAACGCTCCTTGTCCAAGGATAAACAACCTGTTGAGGATAAGGGCGTGTTACAAATTATTTTAAAGGATAAGGCATTTGATCTCTATGACTATACGCCTCAAAAGCCCCAACGATAGAGGACAAGCATATTTTCTGCACTAGTAAGCAATCCATACGGTAAATTAAAATTTGATTTCCATCAATAACGGATAATGATTGTCCTTAGAAAAGAACGCATTTTCCTTTTCGTATCTCAAACAGGTGTTGAAAATATTTTCGTCATAATTCTCGTTGATTTGTATGCATGCTTGTGATTGATGTTGGAATTTGGAAACGAAATTTTCTAAGCTTTTGCCTCTTTTTGGATTGAACATGATTACTGTTAAATGTCCAAAGACTTTTTCTGCTGATTTTTCTAATAAGGTCATCAAATCATTATGATATTCCTCGAAAAACAAACAATCAGCAGCGAGTAAGATATCAAACTTTCCCAGCATTTCCAACTGTGAAGTACTTTGCCATAGTAACTGAGAACATGAGATTTTCTCCTCAATCAAATCACCACTTTGCACAAGATGATTAATATTACATCTCAAATTTTCCACCACTGATGCATTTCCATCTGTCAACACTATTTCCTTGATACAAGGAAATGCTTTTGCAATCATCAAACCGGCGACACCAATTCCACAACCAATTTCGAGCACTCTCTTTCCATTAAAAAACTCAGCTCCTAATTTGTAGACGCTGTAGAAGGCGAGAATTTCCTCAGAAGGCCAAACACAAATGTTTCCAGTGTTATCCACATTATCCTTATCTGCAATCTCCAAATCTTTCATGGTTGTTTCGGTTTTTACCCTCACCTCAATGCTTAATTCATTGAAATTTGAAGAAAATTGCTTCTGACTGGATCCATATTTCTTCAACGAAAAATGCATCCATTTATGGCGTGATAACGCGGATGGGATAGTTTCACCGTACGCCACTTTAGGTTGTTTTACTTCTTTCCTTTCTATCAACCCAAAACTAGATATGCAACGTGTGACAGAAGGTGTTTCAGAGTCTGTATTTTCATATTGCTTGCTCAACAAAAACTTCTTCAACATTCTCCATCTCATCATAGCTTTTGTATTTCGTGGTTCATATTCGTTAGATATTTGCGCTCTACAAACTTGCCCATTCTCTAACCCTTTTTGTTGCTCATTTTGAATTTGTTTTCCTTCCGACGACTCTTCCGATGTAATTGTTGAAAGACGCTCCATCATACCATGTTCCATCAAAGATAACGATGAAGAAGATGCCGTTTTTGACCCGCTCACGAACGTCATACAATAAGGTGCTTCCATTTTTTTTAAGATTCCGTAAATTTCTTAATTCGAAAATCAAACAATGTGTATGATGCTTCTCAGCCAATAATAATAGAGGAGAAGAGATTACACGTGTAGTGAACAATAGGCAAGAGGAGAATTTTCTTGTGTGACATCTTTAAATGCATTGTAAAAACACATACAGTTCAAAACAGCTTGAAACACCATCCATTTTTCCAAATAAGGTCCTGAAAATTGGTGTGAAGTTATCGGTTCGACTTTTTAAATAAGGACAAATGGTAAATTTTTGGGAAACAAATCAGCCAATACAACTCCCGAGAGAAGATGATACAACAACTCAAAAAAAGAGTCATTATGAGTCGTCGAGCAGCAGGAATATTTAACACTACATGGGCAAGAGTGATCAATAGAAAGGCATTACTCATGACTGGAATGGTCTGTTGTGGATCTCTCTATGCCTTTCAAAGATATCGATCGAATACTCTCGAAATTCAGAAAAGAACCATGCTCCTAGCTCAAGAGGAAAACTTTTCCGAGGAGGATAGCACGACTCAATGGCAGTTCATTAACCCGACCTGTGGAGCATCCTCGCCAGCGTTTTTAAAGGAATATCAACCGGAGGATCTGCCGGTCGTGGAGGCAGATTTATCGTTTGCTCCCAATGTTCCTCCACCCATACAACGAAATTATCCAGTGCGGCTTGTGGTAAATCTTGAAACCACTGTAGTGTTGGGAAAGTTGTCACCTCAGCACAAGTATGAATTTTGGACATTCAATGGAAAAGTTCCGGGACCTTTTATTCGTGCTCGAGTTGGAGATGTCATGCAAATTAATTACACAAATAAGGATGAAAATGGAGTGGCTCACAATATTGATTTTCATGGTGTGACTGGACCTGGAGGTGGTGCTGAATTGACCTTTGCAGAGAAGGATGAGACTAAAACTGCCTATTTCAAATTGTTGTATCCAGGATTGTTTGTGTATCATTGTGCAGCGGGACCTGTACCCACTCACGTTGCGAACGGAATGTATGGACTCTTATTGGTGGAACCTGAGAATGGCATGCCAAAAGTGGATCGAGAATTTTATGTCATGCAAAGTGAATTTTATGGAGAGCCCTCAGATGACGATCCCAAAATATTGGAATATTCCTACGTCGATGGATTGGATGAGAAACCAGCCTATGTCGTTTTTAATGGTAGAGACAGTTCACTGATTGAAAATCCTCTTCAAGCTCGAACGGGAGAACGATTAAGGATTTATTTTGGAAATGGAGGACCCAATCTCACCTCTTCCTTCCACGTGATTGGAGCTATTTTTGATAAGGTCTATCGAGAAGGTGATGTAGTAAGCAATCCTGCGAGATTTCTTCAAATTGCATCAGTTCCTCCTGGTGGATCTACAGTTGTGGAATTTGATGCACAAGTACCTGGAAACTTTACCTTGATGGATCATGCCATCTTTAGGTTGGATAAGGGAGCCACAGGATTTTTGAAGGTTTCTGGTGCCAGTCGGCCAGATATTTATGATGGAACGGATCGACCTAAACGATGTCCAAATTGTAAATTGCATGACTAGTTGATTTGTGAATATGATTCATATTCCAAAAACCATGTTCATTTAAAGAATAAAAAAAAGACCATGAAATAAATGCTTTCGTAACGAACTTTCAACGTTAGAAATCATAGAATATTGTCTGACACTTGAAGAGAAAGGCATTCCACCTTTGCCTCGAAATTACGCATTAAAAAAAAAATGAGGCGTCGCGTTCAACAATCCGATTTCGCCACTCTCAAATTTACTCTCCATTTCTTCTATCCTACCATTTCAGCGATTACAGATGATCAACAACAGGAGGACACTACCATCAAAACGACGTCGTACTCATCCAACATGAGTCAGCTTCAAGATGAGTCGGCTTTCATTTCCGAACAATTACAGCAGGTTCATCTCGAAGAAGACCGTGTCAATAATGATAATGATGACCAAATTCATTCATTTCCAAGTACTAAAAGAAGCGAGTTATCGTTTGAGGAATGGAGATTGGTCGCAAATTTTCTATTGAGTAGAAATGCCTTCCAAGGACTTGCCAGTGTCAGCAGGACTGCTAGGCTTGCAGTCTTATCTTGTCATTTTGTTCAAAACGTATTTGTTGTGAGAGCTGTTGTTAGGGGATGGATGGAAGCGCTTCATAACTCAACCAGTGTTTCGACTTTGGTTCCTAGCGACAGACTGAAATCATTATTGCAACCATTACATAAGTACCATTTGCTTGATTTGACACCCTTTGTACATCCCAACGATAAGAAGAAAGCAGAATTACAGCAAGACAATTCGTCACACGAGTCACTGGTGCCAGTTCCCAATTATTACTCATCTGAATGCGTAAAATATGCATGTGAAGCTGGATTTACTGCAATGATTGATCAATTGTTAGAAAAGCCATTTCTTCTTCGCTTCCATGCGCCAGATTTAAAGAACTTTTTGAAAGCTGCATTTACTAATAACCATGATGATATTGCAAAGAAGATTATCAAATTTTTCGTGAAACGGCTTGTGTTGGAATTGGAAACCAAATCTTCAAGAGAAACCAAGAGTAATTTGAACTTTCAAATCATACTTACTCTATGTTGTGAATCTAGCACAGCCAACGTAAATGAATTCTATTCCTTGCTCGAGAAAGAATTAGTAGCTATATTTTCTTCAGCACAGATTGATACAATTTTAAGCAAGTCAATACTACCAATCATTTCCGAAGGCCATTTAGTTAAGTTTCTCAAAAGGAATGATTTTGCAAATGCACTGTTTGTATTGAGGAAATTCTTTACTTTGATGCAAATTCATGATGTAGAAACGGTATTTGATAAGATGTACATAACTTTTTCCGTTACATTTTCGCAACATGGTATTAATGCAGAACAAATGATATGGCTGTTTGATAATATTTACGATCTAAGCAAGGCAAATACGCTTATTTCGAAAGTAGTTCACAGATACATACAAAAAAAATCCGAGCTCTATTATGAATACCTTACTCGGTTTAAACATAGGGACGTAATGACTGATAAGAAGTTATTTGAGGAATCTCTTGCTTACTTAACTGCCTATTATTGGAATAATGTATTCTCAGTCATTCAGCCATCGTTTTCTGCCTTTATCCAAGCATTGAAAGTATGTGACTATCCTGCTGACATGTTACTTCAAAGATATGAGCCATGGCTCAGCAAAAACTATCCAGATGAACTAGCAGAATATTTGTATGAAAATATCTCTATTTTGGAAGATAGCAATGCACACCATGCTCAACATTGCATGGACATGCAAAATTTATTTGACTCACGCATGCAACAAAAACTTGCTTCTGTATTTCTCTCTAAACAACAATTTGATTTTGAGAAACTCATGTACATACTACAAAAATATGACTGCTTCTCAGACCTTTTATCAACAATTTTAGAAACATCTTACAGAGACATTGTGTTGCATCAAATATATAGCAACATCATTTCCAAAATTTCAAAGACAAAAAATCTCAGAATGATGAATGATTTTCTCCCCACAAACGAAGTCGACATGCAACAAATGACTAATAATGTTTATTATACAGCAGCAGTACTGATGTATTGTGCAAAATTTGGGAACAGGAATTTGTTTGAATGCATTGTAGATCAACAAAAAGATGTCATTAGCCAATTTCCGCAAGAATTACCTGTTGTTTACAACACGATAGCTGACATGGCTAACATTCAACCAGTATCTCTGAGAAAAGAGTTTCATTTAATTTCATATTCAACAGAAATACTTTTATTTATTATTCGACATGAAATTTTACGGAAATATTTGAACGTACTTGCGTCCTTATCCTCATTGCCTGTCTCTGTTTTGGAGTTTCATCAAAATTCTATTGGATTTGTTGACGACAGTCCCAATCAACAGCCTGACATGCATGCTGTATTGAAGGAGTATGCATTGAGCGATAAGGATATTTCAGAACTAATTTCTCTTTATATTTCCCGGAATGTAATGGCACAACTCTCGAATTTATTGCATTTCCCTTCCTTCACAAGCGATCATTTGCTAGAAATACCCGAGGCCTATTTATTCAATTCCATTACTTTGGGAAAGCTTACCGATTTGCACAGAGTAGTAGATTTATTGATGGAAAATTTTGAACAAGAAAGAATCAAAAATAAGTTCAAAGAATTCTTTTGCTTCATTCATGGAAAGCAATACTCGTTCTTAGAGAATAGTCGAGTTGTGCAATGTTACAGCAAGTACATGAAGATGGTCGAAGAGATTATGTATGACCTATTGTTCGATGAGAAATATTTCCATGCAGTTTCTTCATTTCACAATGGCTTGAACGATGATACTTGTACAGGTGAATCCTCTACGAAATTACAAGGTACACTTTTCAAAATGCAAGACAAGTACGCTCTGAAACGATCCAAGAAAGTGAAAACTGAGGCAAAAGTTCTTGTATTTAAGCTTTCTGATCATGAGAGATTATTACGAGCCTTAAAATCAAAATTGGAGCCTCAACAACCATTATCTATCAAGTTTGAACACTACCTCATGTGGAAATCATTCATTCAACAAGTTTCAGAGCCTGAAATTTTGGACCAAGTGAATCAATTATTGGCCGAGATTGAACCAGAAACACAAAGACAATCGACCAATTTTCAACCATCCTTTTCAACTCAAACTCTTTCAAATCCTTTTCAAATTTCTTTTGGATCCTCAACTGGCTCAAGTATTAGCTCAAGTATTAGCGATTGTGGCTTCACTGTTAAGCGCTTGAAAAAGAGATGAAACAGAACACAATTGGAACAAGGAACATTTTCAAAAAAAAAATGTCGACACCACAACAACAACAGATCATTCATTTCAAACTGGACAAGGCTCAACTGATCCAAGCCTTCCCTCCCAAGTTTATGAACAAGAATAAAAACTTTCTCTATTCATTGCATCATCAAGAGGATCATGAGGACGGTTATGAAGGAGAATTGAGTTATAGTCGATACCGAGCCTTGCAACGACCTAAATTGTTCAACAAGGTTGCGATGAATCAATGCCAAGTAATTGTTTCTCCTGATATATTCCAATACAATGAAAAAGTTAAAGAAGATGAAGAAGAAAATAATATTGGATCAAGCTCTTCAAGCAGTTCTTCATCAACAACAACAACAACCAAACATTGGTATGTGAACTTTGCAGATGCTCGCTTGTTTGTCGCTTGGACAGGATCACTGTTTGCACAGGATGAAATTCAAGTGGCTGAGCATCCAATTTTGGCGAGTCTGGCCTTATATTTAGCCAAGATGAGTAGAGATGACACCAAATACACTCCAGTGACAGTTCAGTCCATGCCTACTCCGGTATTGATTCAGAATGTGGATCGACGAGTGGCTGTTGATGTTACAAATTTTCCAATCTATGGAAATAATTTTGCGCGAGCTTCTGAAGATGTCATTCGCAAAGCATCAACTGTGATGGACATTAAGACAACTCGAAAATCGAATATTTTAGCAATTGCTGCACCAAGTGGAGGTTACGGAGAGTACAAAATGAGTGAAATATTGAACATTTTCGATACAGCCTATACCGGTTTCAAAGCATGTAAGGACGAGAGTTCACAAGCTGGCTGTTCTGTCACCGTGGTTCATACAGGACATTGGGGATGTGGTGCATTTGGAGGCAATAGAGAATTAATGGCCATTCTGCAAATACTGGCTGCTCGTGTGGCACAAGTTGATTACTTATTTTATCATGCCTTTAATAAGGATGGAGTAACTGCAGTTCAAAATGCTCAAAAATATCTTGACCAGCTATTGGGTACTCAAGAATTGGACCCAAATAACGAGAGCAACTCAGTTCCTTTGAATGACATTTTCATGCAAATTGTAGAGAAGCGATATTTTTGGGGATTCTCAGATGGAAATTAATTATTATTGCAGCATTTCGATCTTGGTGTCAGCTTTATTTATTACACTAGAACCTTATTTGCTATTCCACTCTTCGTGTTCTTCAAAGAATTTTTCCACTCCAATCTTAATACCTTGAACGTACTCAAGAAGAACCTCATAAGGTTTTCCTAAAAACCATTCCTTATAACATGTGAGTCTCAAAATCCAACTTGCGGCATCAAAGAAAATCGTCCTCTCTTTGTGTGACTTCCAATAATCTTCGCATCTGTGAACATCTATGGAAAGGAAATCAATTTCAGAGTTCAAACAAGTCTTTACATATTCTTTTTCCTCATCACACAATGCCCAGTTATTGAGAATTTCGTTCATATCTTCATCGAGAACAGTCAAACAAGCCCACTCCCAATCAATCACACCTGTTATGGTTTTTGAATGAGGGTCTATGAGAGTATTATTCGGGGTGAGATCGTAGTGACATAGTTGAAACTCATCTCGACGCACCTTTATGGCATTTCTTCGAAGATAATGAATCACTCGATTGAAGAGTTCTTTGTAGTGGGAAATTGCGGTTGAAGAACCCAATTCTATCAGGGACTCATTCAATCCCTTCATTCGATATTCAATAGTTTTGATGAGATACTCATTAAAGGTGTTGAAAGGACCATTTTTGGTGTCACAATTAGGACCAATTTTCACACGAATTAGCTTGTTTTCCTGATCAATCACTTGCATCTCCTGAATACTTCCAAAGAGTAATTCCGGTTCCTTCAATTCTTGATCATTTTCATCGACCATCAACAATTTTAACGAACTCAATTCTCCTCTAATTTTTGCAATTTGATTTATATAACCTTTTCGTTCATGAAAACTCAAAGTTTCATAAATCTCACTCAATGCCACTCCCCTACACTTTTCCATCAAAATATATTCATATCCAATGAAATCTGCACTCGTATCGTACGTGAAAATTTGAGGACATTTCAAATTTGGCAATTGTAAGGAATGTAATACTTTCATTACGTGTACTTCATTGAGAGTTTTTAAATATTTCCAATTCGGAGAGGAGAGCTTTAAAATCAATTCCAAGCAAGGGCCATGAGGCTGTTCTTGATCACGACCTCGAAACAATTCAAGAGAGTATACGGTATTCACGACTCCATTATCGAGAGTTTTGTGTTGGATGAAAAGGTCAGTTTCCAAAACAATGTTCTTTCCAAACACTTCATAGAGTACATTCCGAAAGGATGGTGAACTTTCGAAAGCGTGTATGATTACTGCCCGAATGTGTTGATCGGTAATTTTCACTTCATATCGATTTTGAGATTGTGACATTTTTTGACAGAATAAATTTGCTTCTTTGAAAAGAAATCAATTTCAAGAATGACCTTCAAGGTGTAAAATGAAAGCATTACCCTCAAGAAGTGTTACCACCTTTAACGAAATTTTGGCAGACTGACCAACTACAAATCTAAGATTAATCTGAAAACCATCATGTCATGTTATTTTGACTGTTTTAGCCAACCCAACCAAATTGGATCAATTACAACAAGCTTGATTTTTGCAATCAAGTTGTTTCATGAAGGGTGCTACTACTCACGCAAACAAAAAGAGCTGTTCTTAGTAGTAGTAGTATCACTCCTACCACTCTTCTCGTCATCATGTCAACCAAAAATCTTCTCGGACATCTCTTGATGATGATTATCTTTTCATCATCTTTACTCATTAGTCAATTCCATAACAACAACCATTGCGGACTTGTTTCAGCCGCTTCGATATCCAAACAACAACAACAAGTCTTGTCTCCGAAAACAACATCTTTCTTTCATAACTCTCTTCAAAACATGAAATCATTCATTTTCAAACCAATTATTTCTTCTCATGAACAAGTAGCTGTCATCATGTCAACAACAATTGACATTTTCAATAGTTTGGATGACAGCAACTCGACCCATACGAAAACAATTTCAAAAGATATTCGACTTCAACAACTGGATCCATATCCATTGAGTGGTATTTCTCTTGGAATTTCAGTTCTCTTTGGATTGTTCTTTTTGGGTGTATTGTTGTTTCTTATAGTGTTCATGATGAGGACACAAGTGAGAAACAAGATGATGAAAAATCAAAAAATCATGTTGAGTTTGGTGATGGTTTTGATGATATTTGAATGTTTGGGATTGTTGGTGAGAATTATTTACGACTGTATTAGTATTCACACAGTTTCCAAAATTGTCAGTCATGTGGAAGTGACATTTGGCGTTGAACAAGCACAAATTGCAACGCAAAGCATGAATAGTACAGTGAGTGCTTTTGATGCTGGCATTCCCGATGCAAACATCATTATCATGTATTTGATGGGTAGTTTTGAAGTTCTTACTATTATTGGAAATTTATGCACAATTTCCATAATTATGACCTTCGTGTCGTTTGTGTTTTTAAAAACTGTGAAACTTGCTGGAGGCTCTGCTTTCACACCCAAGCAATATCAACTATTACTTTGGATTGTGAATGGAGGAGGAACGTTTTTTGCATCATTGATTGCAACATGTGTCGTGTTGGTCTCGATGGCATATTTTGTGTTCAAAATTCGAGTGATTTATGATTTTCAATTACCAATCTTTATTGTGGCTTATTTAATTTATGTCATTCAATTATTATTTCAACTCGTTTCTTTTAATGTGAGTATTGGTTTAAATTTTATAATATTTTAATAATTTCATATTAATTTAACTTTTATGGAAATCAATTCTTGAAACTTACAGATTGTATCCATTAGTGTGTTGAAAATTATCAAACAACGATCGAGTCAACTCAACAGAAAAAAGTCACAAACTCCTCTTCTCAAAGTCATTGCTCTCCAAACAGGTTTAACACTTTGTGCGTTCATTCAAGTCGTTGCCATGGGTTGCAGTGCTGTCATGACCGAATGGGTCTATATGAAATTATTTTATTATTTTTTAAATTGTTTAGGAATTTTATTATTTACAACCTTAATTCTTCCGTTATATCATCCGTTGTTTATGGATACGGCCAAAGAATTGAAACAATTGAATACGAATAATAATGAACAACAAAATTCCCAATCAACCACTCGTGAACAAGAGTCCTCTGAGATGCACTTGTCTCCTAATGGATCGAAACGAAAGAGTCTTTCAGTTGTAGAATTGCAAAGCGTTTAGAAGCAACTTTTGAGTTGAATATGAAATGGAATTTTTTCTCATAGAAAGTCTAAAAAGTAAACCAGTGCTCGAAGAAGGGAACAATTCATGAACTTTGGAAAGCGTCAAAAGTCAAAAGAAAAAAAGCTTAGATCAGCAACGAGAGTAAACGTCAACAATGATTCGGATTGTATTTTCATTCATCTTGATTTATTTAATCACTCAAAATAATTTCATCCTTGCTGAAGAAATTAAACAAAATGTTGTTGTAAATCAGAATCATCAATTGAATAAGATGTATTGTCTTCAACAACAAGCTCGATTTCTTTTTGAAAGCAACTCGACTGGTGACTGCTTGTCTCTCGAATTGACAACTGACAGCACTCGTACTTTCTGCTTGTCCACAACACTCATCCAAGATTTATCACTCTTCTCCAACCATCCACTACCATCGAACGATTCCGAATTTCCATTACCTCTCTCATTGATTGCTTTATATAACATTACTTTCAACTTTCCACAAAATCTCCAAACGATGAAAGCCACTTTTTATAATCCTCTTGGAATTGCTAACACTTTCAACCCTGATACTGTGATTCACGTTTGGAATCCTGTAATGAATTCATGGTCTGAACATTCTCAAAATGGTATTTTACAAATTCAGCAAGTGACAACAACATCATTGATTTTAGGAGTTTTTGCTCGTAAATTCGAGACAGTATTTGGAAAATTTTATCAAGCAACTTCCACTAGTACTAGATTTCAATACACTTTGGAATTGTCGCAACGAATTGAAGTGTCATTTGTCAAGAAAGTGCCAACAAGCAATGAAATCAAGCCAACAATTTTCAAATTGGAACATGTTCGAGAGATTTCTCCAAAAGTTTATCATCCTCCAAGTGGTTATGTGACTTTGCATGCATTTAAATACATCTCTGCTTCCGGTGTGAACGACGACAATGACGAACAGCAACAACGAATGAGCGCTCAAGAAATGTCAAAATTATGGACCTTTTATTTTGATCGTAGACAAGGATTTAAAGATACTACGGGTAAGGCCATGAATGTGACACTTTCTTCATTGACATTGGTTTGTGTCATAAATTCACAGAAAAATGTTGATGTTAGACCTCTTGTCAAGAATCCTCTTCACACTCAACTCGTCGAACATCAAAACAAGATCGTTTTTGATTTTAAAGAAGAGAATAATGAACCACCACTTCATTGTGAATATCATGTACTCATTGTGAAACCAATCGTTTCTAACAATGAAAAATGGTATGGAAGAAACAAGGAAATAGAACTCTCTACAAGTCATGCATCAGAGATTTCATCGTTTGGTGGAAAGAAATTGTACAAGATCTCTGTGGATGGATGGGATCAAGTGGAATTTTCAATGACCTCACATTTAGGGTATGGAATTTTTAGAGCCTTTGTGGATGGAATACCTTCTGATTTGATGTATGACGTTTATGCTGAGATTAATTATGAGACAACAAAAACTGTCACTGTTCGAAATTACAAGCCACAAAAAAGCACCGTTTTTGTGTCAATCACAAGTACCTCGAGCGCACTATCTTTCACAATCACAACCTCAAAAGCACCAACGTCTGAAGGAGTAGCTTTGATCAAATTCATTATTGGAGGAATGTTATTATTTATGTGGATATTCATGTTGTTGCTTAAACTCACAAAATAATTATCATAGTCTCATACGATAGAGGGAATTTTAAAATGTGTGAGGCTCTAATTTCCAAGTTCATCCAAGAATGCAAGTTGGATTTGAGGATGAGAAATGTTTTCAATATCACATGTTTTGATTAAGATATATCCATTAATAATTGTCACAATACGTCACACACATTAAGGCAACACGGCTCGAGTTGCATAAGTGTTGTTGATATAAGTTGTTGTTGATTTGCCGAATTGTTGCGTTTCTCTCTTCCTTCTATTCTTATATAAACAAATAGAACACCAACTAAACCAACACAAGCATCCCAGACCACATACTCCACACAATGCTACTAGCAACACACATAATCCAAACATCGCAATAATCACAATTGATGGAATGACATTATATTGAGTGGTGACCACTTGTCCAAAATTTTGTGATTGGGCTGCTGGTATTATTTTGTAATCAACTAGTACTTGTGTGGTATATCCTTCCAATCCTCCTCTCACTAACAACAGTAAAATACAAAACACACTAACAATCAATGCAATAACAGAAATTATAAATCGACTTCTAGTTTCGTTTTTCGTAAGAGTTGTGTCACACATGGATGAAGTAGCCACAAGTGATGAAACAACTCCACACAGCACCACTACTATAAATGTAATTATTTGCGCTGCAAAGATCATTGGAATAATTGTCCAATCTTGTGGCGTTGGATTTGGATCATAATTTCTTGCTGCGAAATATTCATATAAAATAATGCACAGCAATTCAATTAAGGAAAAGAAACACAAGCAGCAAAGCATTGGCCCTAAACAAATACATGCAAAACATCCACCCAGTGTTTTAGATAATACCTTCTTATTTCCATCCTGAGGATTGGTAATTTCAGTTTGTATTGGAAGAATTTCTGAGTTGACTTCTGTGAATCTTTTTGTGTCCAATTTTGGAATAACAGGTTGTTGAGACTGAGGTCTTATTGGTTGCTGTAAAGCGGCTGTGGGATCCTCCATGCCAATTGGATTAAATCCTCCAAAATAATTATAATATTTCGAATAATCTACTGAAGGTTCTGTAGCATGATGGTTTGACATCATGGTGACAGGTGGCACTTGTTGTGACAAATTTGCTTCTTCAAAAGGCGGAGGTGGAGGTGTTGGTAATCGATCCTGTTGTTGAATCGAACCTCCATTATTCGTCGAAGGAGCAGCTGACATTGCATTCTGTTCTTCCTCTTCCTTCTCTTTCACTAATCGTGCAATGAAATTATTTTCATCACTCACACCCATCTTCCATGCTTCTTCTTCGGAAGAGTCATGACTCGATGAAGGTGAAAAAGGAGGTGGAGGTGGTATTGGTGATTTATGAGGACTAGTATTTGAACCATCCAACACAGGAGTAGCTTGGGAAGTTGAATCCGATGCTGACAATAATAATGCATGATGATGACTCTGCGATGAAGGCTTGTTCATTTCTTGAGATGAAGAACCTGTACTTTTTGCAACATCTTCTGAAGAAATTCTCGTCGTAGGCTGTTCTTGTTCGCCTTCTTCAGGAGAAAACGGAGGAGGAGGAGGTATTGGGATGATACTTTCTAGGTGTTTGACTCTTACGGACGTTGATGCATCTTCAGGTAAGCCATCACCATTCGGAGAGGAAGATGATGATGAGGAAGGTGAAAATGGAGGTGGAGGTGGCTGTTCAGATGCATTCATCGTGATAGCAATTTCAAATAATAATAACCGTTTGTTTGGAGTTGTTTGTTGGAATTTTTTCTTTTGGTTTCAACGTTTAGTGAACTCGAGTAATGTTCAGGAAGAAATTTGCTTTTTTTGGGTATCTGTGAAAGAAAATGTGACAGTGTTGAGTTTTTTAGTGGTCATCCACTTCGTTCGAAGGATGTGAATAATAATCATTGTAATAATAATCCTTGCAAGTATTGAAATCGCCCAAGATGGTAATTGGGAGTTTGTGATTTTTGCTGGCGGAACGATTCATCTTGTTAGTGGCTAAAGAGTCTGTTGTTGATGCTTGTTGACATGATTGCTCTTTTCATGTTGTGAAATTCTTCTTCAGAAATGTTTAAGCATTTCAATAATAAATCATTTCTCCAATTAAAGAGTTTAAAATTTTTAAATGAAAAGTCCTTGTCTTGTTTTTTCTTTTTGTTAGCATTGTTGGGAGGAATGATGCTGACTTGTTTACACAATTCTTTGTGTTTGGATATGGTCAATGTGTCTAGTAATTCTAAAATGTAGAGCGGTGTCGTTGTAAACTTTTTTGAGAGAATGAATTGAACTTCATGCTCATTCTCTTTGGCGATTTCAAGCAATACTTGAAATTTATCCAAACATTTCACCACTGATTCATGTTTCATAAATGCTTGATATTCTTTGATAAATTGCTGTGGCTTGTTAGCTCTAAGATACGTGTTTAAGGCCAGTTTTTGCACAGGCTGAAATAGAAAGGAATATATAGAACAAGTAACGTTGGAAGCAATAAGAGCAGGTTCACAAGTACTGATAATTTTGTTTCTCAAAACAAAAAGTGCTTGTCCCCAATCAAATTGTATAGAACCCGTAGCAGAATTTTTCATAAATAATTGATGTGATATTACCGTAGGTTTGGGAAGCAATGATACACAAATTCCCAAATTGTCAGCACACTTTTTGAAATATGTTTCAAATCCTTCCAGTGAATTGATTTTGGGCGATTCCGTATTGATGCGAGTGTAAGAATATTCATTGTAAACGAGTGAATTTCGGTAGAAAGCAGATGTACTAAAGCAGTTACATGAAAAATTATATTTCCATCCATCAGACATATCAAAATTTGAAAAATAACAGTCTACACTTTCTACAAAATGATCTCTGAACTGTTTTTCTAATTCATTCAAATATTGACTGTTATAGGCGAACGAAAGTCGCTGATTTTGTCAGGCGAAAAAAATTGCCTGTCTGGACCAACCAGGCAAATAAAAAACTGACATTGCGAAAATTTGTTTTGCCTAACGTAAATTTTGTTTGGCGCGAGAGGGAAATTGAGAGGCTGAGCCACTAACGTTGACTTTATT